TGAAATATAACCTGTTGATGAATATGACACTGACTCATATTTTCTGAAAACTAAAATTTATAACATGAATGAATTTCTTATTCGTTGAATTTATGAATTCTTGAGGTAATCTTATTCTAGTTTTATTTATCACTGGAAAATAACGCTTTACCATATTTTTAATCGTAATAAAAATGTCAATTATCAATATTATTTCGAATAATAGCTGTGAATTAAATTTAACAGTTAGCGGAATTTATAATGTTACTCTCGTTTCTGTGAGTGGTAAATTTAATCCCATTCTTTTAGACCCTTCAGATTATATATCATTTATTAAAGATGACCATGAAAAAACGTATGATATGTATATAAATAATGTGATCGAAATGGGATATTAACATGATTTTAAGTTATTTAAATGAATCATTTATCGTATGGTATGAAGAAAATTTTAAATCAAAACCTGATAAACTTTTTGAACTTGATGAAATAAATAACCTTATTAAATTCCCGCTGAAAATTAAATTTTGTACTCCCCATCTTCGTTCATTGTTGGGGATATTAAATTTTGAAAAAGATGTTGGGGATGTTTTGTATTCTGACACTGGTTCCAATTTCATTTTAATCAAATGTGATAAAGTTAATACCCAATGAGATTTTCACATCAAACATTAGACCCTAACTCTTACCCATCAATACAAAACATTTTATCCATCAACTTAAACACATTTTCTTTATCATATCCGTTTCAATTATCCGGGAATTCATTTATTCTTCATTCAAAAGATTTATCAAATATTAAATTTAGAATAACTGACCTATTTGATTGTGATTTAGAATTTATGAATGAAATATTATGGCAATTTCAAATAGAGAAAATAGCTGATGAGATAACGGATTAAATATTTATTTTTAAATCATAATAAATGATTAAACAACAGCAATTAAGGCACAAACACCCAGGTCCTTCAGACCATTACATACGCCATATATGCATATAATTCAAAGACGGCAGAACAAACGCAAAGGTTGAAATATGGAGATTTGGAGATAGTATTGAAAAATGAACATTTCGAATTCGTTTGCAAAGGTGGTGCAGTGATATCAAATATAAAAGAAATTTTATTTATGAATTCAAAAATTAAAGGAATAACGGATGATATAACATCAATTCCACCAGAAGAACAGAGATATTACGCATTAAATGCATTTCCTAAAGTTTTGAAGATTGGAAGATTTAATTTAAATGAGGAATTCATAGAAGGTTTCCTAAATGACATAATGAAGAGGGTGGATAAGGAATATGTGGATAGTGAGTTAAATAAGAAGGCAAATTTGGTTTATGTTGATGAAAAAGATAATGAAATTAAAGAAAAGGTTGAATGGTATCATGAATGGACATTTGAGACTTTTAAAGTTAAAGCGATACAGAATGGGTTTCAGGATGTTTAGACCTTAAAGCAGATAAAACATATGTTGATGAAAATTATGCAAAGAAGTCGGAAGTAAATGATGTGATTACAAGCATGAAAAATGAAATACTTCAAACATTATATCCTGTTGGTTCTATTTATACGTCAATGAACTCAACAAATCCAGCAAGTGTTTTAGGTTTTGGTACGTGGAAGCAGATTGTAGATAAATTCTTATACTGTGCTAGATATTCAAAGCAAACAGGTGGTTCGAAGAAAATTAAAGAAGCAAACCTTCCACCGCACACTCATACAGGAACTACAAACTTTTCTGGCGACCATAGCCACTCATTAAGAGACCACCCATTATACAACTCAGAATATGAAGCCGGTTATGATGTTTTATCTCCAGATTATAACCATTCAGCAAAAAAGATTTTTCGACAAACTGAACCGGGAGGAAATCATTCACACACTTTCACAACAAATCCAACAGGCTCGGGTAAAGATTACATGCCACCATTTGTGACTATATTCGCATGGTACCGCATTCATTGAACGCGCTTGAGCCCAGACCTTTGGGTCAAGGCTTACCGAATGAACTAAATATATCAAGTTCAAAAAGTTTATCAGGTTTTGATTTGATGCAGTCCAAAAATAAAGTTAGTTTTATTTTTTCAACTTTTTATTTTGTATGTAAGAACAGAAATGTCAGTCGAAGCAAAAACATTCACGAACAAATCTAATGGCGAAACATTCACAAAAGGCACTTATAATGGTATTGAAGTCTTACGTAGAGACAAGGATGGTTACATTAATGCAACAAATATGTGCCAGCAGTTTAGGAAAGACTTTAGAAAGTTGTTGGAAAATAAGTCCTGGGAAGAGTATTATAAGGCATTTTGTGAAGAATATAGCAACCGCCGGAATTCGGACTGTTGCTTTTTATACAAAATTCATGCAGGAATTCCTGATGAAATCAAACAGGTTAGAGGAACGTATGTAGACCCAAGACTTATAAACTATATAGCAATGTGGGCTTCTCCAAAATATTGCATAGCAGTTGGAAAAATTATGGACTCCATAGACAAGAAAGTTCATGAGAAATTAGATGAAGAAGAACTCGAAGATACAGTAGAGAATGCAAAACATTTGTTTGAAGAAGAAGTTAGAAAAATGTGCGAAAAACAATTAGAACATGAACGTGAGATATGTTATGGTTATAGAGATTCTCCATGCGAACTAGACCAATGGGAACAAGAAGATTTAAAGAGAGAATTTAGAGAATATGAACTCGCTAAGATAGCATTAGAAACTGCAGAAAAGAAGTTAAAAGTTTGGGGTCGTTTTGTACAAAAATATTGTGAGTAAATGAACCATTTATTTTTGTCATAAACGACCAAAAATATATTTTATCGTTAATGGTTTCAGGTTATTCAATAATTAATTATTTTTGAAGAACTGAAGGTGTCACTACGTCACCATGTCACCAGGTTAATTAACTTCTCTTAAAAATGATGACAACATGACATTTTGACAACAGTCGGGGAAATTTGATGCAGTCCAAAAATAAAGTTAGTTTTAAAATTATTTTTATTTTTTTATTCCTATATAAATGACAGCAACAAACAACAGCAACTATATCGTTTCTGATGAAAAAGTTATTGATTCATTAGCTGAGGAATTAGTTGTGGCAGAAACTAAAACCCTCAACGAAAGAATTGGTGAAAACAAGATTGATTTGCATAACTACCTCAAACACGATGGAGGAAGAGGAAGGAAAACTGGTATGGCTTTATTAGTAAATAAAATTTCAAATTTAACGATTATAGATGTTGATATCAATAAATCGTACAATGATGAACTTAAAGAAACAGTTAGAAAAGACATTCTATCAAAACTTTCGGATAAAGATGTTATCGTTAAAACCGCTTCGGGAGGTCTTCACATTTATTGCAACACTAATTTCTTCTATTCAGTTTCGAACAGAATGATTAAATGTTATTCATGCAATGATTATGATATTGATATCATGACTTCTATTGATGATTCAAAGCGTTCTTTAGTAGTTATGGCTGATTCAAGAGTTTCGAAAAGAATGCAACAGAACCAATCAATACATACTCATTCATTCGTGGAAGTTACGATTCAACATTAACTAGAACAGTGAATGATATATTAAATGATTTGAATATTAAGGTAAGAGTTGAACAGAAGAACGAAGAAATAAAGACTATTATGAATGAAAACAAAGATGTAAACATTGACGATAAACTTGCCCAGAGCATAGTCGATGGTATTAGTGATTTTGAAGTACATAATGACGGTGGAAACATGAATTTAGAAAAAGAAGTTACATTATTCACACTGTTTCAAGCTATTAATTCGTTACCTAATCATTTAATTAATGAAGCATACGATAACGTTTATAACTTCTGCAGCTTAACAGAAAATGCAAAAAGTAATTTTGAAAAAGCACGTAGTAGATATGCACATTTAATGACTTCTCCATTTGTTTTAGTGAAGATTCTAAAACTATATCAAAAAGAATATTATGATGAATATGTTTTACCTTTATTACGTAAGCCAAAAATAACATTTGATATCAAACTTGATGACTCGTTTTTGATAACAGATATTAGACGCAAGGCTGAAAATCATCAATATAAAAACAGTTCTGAAGTAATTGAGGATTTATCACGTGTAATCCGTTTTGTAGATTGTGGAAACAAATACTTCATTCAGAAAGATTATAATATCCACGACAAAATGAATCAAATATCATTCGTTCTTCAATCAAACATGAAAGAGTCACTTAAAATGATTAAATTATTTAAAGAAGAAGGTAAAACCATAACAGCATGGGACGTACTACTAAATCAATTGTCTTCATTAACCGTTAAGGGTGTTTGCTTTAAATCTGATTCTCCAGATGTTTTCTCAACGTTTCAAGGTTATAAATACAACGTTCTCGAAAAGCCAGATTACTCAAAAATTGAGATGTTTATGAATTTCATTAAAGAAGCCATTTGTGATAATAATGATGAAGTGTATAAATACCTTCTCGGCTGGATTGCATCAATGATTCAACATCCTGGAATCAAGAATGAAACAGCAATTATTTTGAAAGGACTTCAGGGAACAGGTAAAAACAGATTTACAGACATTATTTCTGAACTTCTCGCTGGTTATTCATGTAAAAACATTACCGAAATAAGTGAGCTAACGGGTAATTTCAATTCAGTAGTTGAGAATAAAATGTTTCTTGTACTTAATGAACTCAAGAATGTTGGTGAAGATAGACTCGCAAACTTCAACGCTTTGAAATCAATTATTACGGATAATGAGATTAGAATTAATGAAAAGAATCAACCCAGAAGAACTGCTCAGAATGTTGCCAATTTCATTTTGGTAACTAACAACGTCTACCCTGTCAAAATTGAAGTTGGAGACAGAAGATACGTAGTTTTAAGAGTTAATGGTAAATTCAAGGGTCAATTTGATTACTTCAAGAATTTGATGAATTCATGCACTAAGGAATTTTATGATAATTTACTGACGTATTTTATGCAATATGACCTTTCATCATTTAATGTACGAATCATACCGATGACTGAAGCCAAACAAGATTTAATCGAGTTATCAACAAATCCTTTAGATGTATGGATAAATACACATTATGATGAATTGTGTGCAGGTATGACGTGTAAAAATGCTCTATTCTGCAAACCATCAGACATGAAAGACAAGAATTTCCAAATGAGCATTAAGGATAAATGTGATAGGAAACAGAGAAGAATAGATGGTAAACAAACATGGTGTTATGTTTTGAAAGAAGAAATGAAAGGATTATATAAACAGGTTGAACCAAACGATAATGAGGATTCATTTACTGACGATGAAATACCTGTAAATGAGGCAGTATAAAGTATGATTTGAATTTATTTTTGCATTAATCCTGCTGTGTTGTCAAAATGTCATGTTGTCATCATTTTTAAGAGAAGTTAAATAACCTGGTGACATGGTGACATAGTGACACCTTCAGTTATTCAAAAATAATTCATAAATGCCTTCCTCCTTTCGTCCCGCTGTGTTGTCAAAATGTCATGTTGTCATCATTTTTAAGAGAAGTTAAATAACCTGGTGACATGGTGACATAGTGACACCTTCAGTTATTCAAAAATAATTCATTATTGAATAACCTGAAACCATTAACGATAAAATAACTGATAACAAAATTTTATTTTTATATAAATGGATACCCCACAAGCTCAAAATTTACCACGAATCATAACAAGGGAGGAAATGATAAAAATGATGCAAGAACGAATTAAAAACAACAAACCACGAAAACCGAGAAGATGTGGTTATGCAGTAATGATGGAAAGAAGAACCCAGAAGGGTTCGGGAAGAGGAATAAAAATTAAATTTGGATAGAGTTTAAAAATTCATCTTTATTAAATTCATCTCTTCCAATCAATTTATTTATTCTATTAAATTCTTTTATTTTTGCTTCACCCAGTTTAAGGATTGAACGGTAAGTTTCTAATTTTTCGATTATTTCTTTCCTCTCTTTATCGTTTTCAATTACTTTAGTTTTATGGGCATCAGCCCCACCGCATTGCGGCTTCTTTTTGTAATAGCATATTTTTGATTTAATTCTGTTTAGTTTCTTTTTATATTCATCGTCTGGACTCTGAATCTTAATTGAATCAGGACTCTTGGATGCTTTGTTGTCACTCATTTCTTACGAATTAAAAAAATTAAATATTATTTAAATATAATGGAGTAATAAAATAAATTGGAATTTCTATTAATTTATTGTCAACTTCAACTAATGCATTACCGTTAATATATCTAACAAATTCAGCTATTGTGTCAAATCTTCGTCTTCTTTTTGTCATTGATTTATCAGTTTTTCCATAATCGAGATGAATCAAAACTTTATCCCCTTGTTTAAAATTCATGAGCCCCGAATTAATTTGTTCACGTTTAACATCATTCAACCTTTCCATTTGCTTTCTAATATATTCCCATTCTTTTGAAATATCATTTTTCATTTCCACTGGTTTCATGTTTATTGTTCTATGCCATGTATTATTGTAATAATATACTAACTGTTGTATGATGGAGTCATGATTTCCATCCCAGTATATCTGACCGTTAACCCCTAACGCATCTCTAAGAGTTCTCATTACCGCATCAACTGTTTTATTATGAAACGTATATGGAGAGGATGAGAAGTAAAAATTAATTTGTGGGAAATAATGAGCCATAGCTGCCTGAAATCCTTTATCACCATCACCCCTGATATTATCTACTCTTTCATGATCTAGTAAGTATTGTATAGCTCTTCTTGTTTCCTGTTCTGTTTTCCCTTTCACCGGAATGCAATATAAATATCTAGTGTTAATGTTAATGGCAAATAAATAAGTAACGTTTCCTTTTGAATATTCCAGATGATCGATTTCGTATGAATATGGATATGGAGCAAATGAAGGGCGACTAAATTTTTCCTTTAACGGTTGAATTTTTGGGTCAGTTGGTTTATTTAATATTTTGAAATCCTTTTTAAAATCTTTTTGCTTCTTTAATGTTTGAAATGGATATAATAAAGTGAATGATGAAGGATTAACTGAAGGAGGAGGAGGTACTGTCGTTGGAGGTTTTGGTGTTGCAAGTGGTTTAATTTTATCTGCTTTGATTTTGGATTTCATTCCCCCCTTCATTAATTCTGGATGTATTCTATTCATTTGTTTTAAATATGCTGTATATAAAGGTTTGATATACTTTCCCGCTTCGAGTTTATGTTGAAGGATGAATTCCAAAAGTTGATCTTCATTTAAAAGTCGGGTTGAATATGGTTTAACTAATGAATCATAAATTAAAGCTTGTGCTTCATTTATGGTCTGAAGGACCTGGGTGTTTTGCACCTTTAGCTGTTGAACATTTGCTACTTTCTCTTTCGGCTTTTGCGGCTCAGGATTATATAATTTATATAATTCATCAATATCTTCTTCTGTTAATACTTTATTTTTGAAATCTTTCAACTGTTTAAGTTGTGATTTAGTTTTTCCCTTTGAATATTCATTATTTTTAATTTTGTCTTTAATTTTAGAAATTATTTTATCATGATATTTCAAAACTTCATGTTTATAATATGGATAATAATAATCCATATCATCACCCGTTATATTGTTATCATGTTTTTGGAGATACGATTTTAATTCATAATAAGTAAGAAAATTTTGATTAAGTACTAAATCATAAATTAAATTTTTTAAATCTACGCTATTCATTTATATAAAAATAAAATAAGTGTTTTAAGGGTGCCCGCCTCTTTGAATCATAGTATCAAAACCATTATTTACGGTTCCTTTTGTCTCTTCTGTGGCATTTTATTAAAAATAAAATTTTAAATTGTATTAAATAAATGGCATACAACATCCATTTTCACAACATACAGCCTTAGTGTGTGCTCCTGTTAATGCAGTCTTACCAATTGTTAAGCGAGTCATTGACCCGTTTTTAAGTTGTAAATTAATATTCTGACCATCAAATATCAATTTATCATGTATTATATCCAAATAATTTTTAGGTGTTAATTGTTTATTTTGTCGTAAACTAACACCTTTCATTTTTTGTGCAATCTTTTTAAAATCACTTCCATCAATTGAACCGTTGAATGATGTATAACACTTAGGACATAAAGCAACCATGTTATCACCTTGTTTCTCAATTGCTAAACCCAATAACTTCTTCTCATGTGCTTCTTCTTCAGCTTTATTCTTTAATTTAGGTTTAAATTTCTCATCAAAACAGAAGAAATCAAATGGTGCGAATTTGAAAATGTTTTTATCATAAAATTGTTTATCAGTAACAATTGCTTGAAATGCTTGAGTGTTAGGAAGATTTGGGTCGCCAACGATTGCCCAATAAGATGAATCAGTATCACCTTCAATGAAATGAAAACGATTAACATTCAAGCATTTATACATAAAATCATAAATGAAAACCAAATACCAGTATTTTGCGTTATCTAAAGTGAAGAATGCCTCTTGTAAACATGTATCACATCTATAAAATCTATCTTTAAGCATCACTTGATATGTATCCTCACCTATTTCTCTTATGTTTTTAAACTTATTTGACATACATGCAACGCGTGCCTTCTGTGCATTCATTATTTTAGTCTTTGCGTAATTTTGTGTATTCATTGCATCGTAACCATATGATCCATTAAGCGAAATCTTGCAAAATAAACTTTTTCCTTTATTTCCTTCTAATTCAGCCTTTTGTCTTTCGTTCATAAATTCGTTCGCAAATTCATTAAAACAGGTGTTTTTAGTAAATGTTAAAATTGATTGAATGTCATCAATGATAAAATGAAATCTGTCTATTAGATACCATAGATAATAAGAAGAAAATGGTTGATATTGGTTGTGTGTTGATGCTAACTGAGTTAATTTCCTCTGTTTCTGGTCAACTGGTAGATTGTTTGATTTCATGTAATTATACATAAAACTGCCAATTGTTTTTTCATCTGTGATAATATCTAAGTTTCTTATTATCGGTAAAAAGTTTATGTAATCATTAATGTATTTTTCATCAATGTGACCCTTTACTTCAGCCACGAATAAAGTATTTTTCTTTCTAATAATTCCCAGTGCTTTTGCTTTCTTTGTTGCTGTATCACAAATGATAACACCATTCAATCTTCCCGGCATATACATTTTATGGTCAGTATATTGAATGAAATCATGAGGATTAGATGAAAATGATGAAGGATATAATGAATTAAAATCAACACCAACGAAATGAGTCATAATGTTGGTGGTGTCCTCATTTGATACAGTTTTAGTTTCTGGATTATATGAAAGTTTATTAATGCGTGTGATTCCTTTAAGATTTACTCTATGTTGAACATTTGATAAACCACCAGTAATTCCATTACGGAGAATGTGATAAGCTTCAACTGAATCTAAAGTCATTGGTAAATTATTTTTAATGCATAATTTCTTAAATTGATTCTTAAACGTTGAACATCTTCATTTTTATTTGATTTTACGACATTGCAATAACAACACATTAACTGACAATTTTCTTTGGTATGTGGTTTTTCATTATCGATTCTATCCAATGTTGGTTTATTTGCATATGTAAACGCTTTACCACACATTTTGCATTTAGATGAAAGGATTAAATCGTGATAGTATTGAAAATCATCCATTGAAACATTATTTTTAGTATCCCTTTCTGCTTTTTCATCTTGTTTCTTATATGATTCAATTTTATATTTCCAATACTTTTTCGTTAATTCAAAACTTGATTCTATCTCTTCCTCAGGATATTTTTCATTAGGATTAAAGTCTTTATATGCTAAAGCGTAACGAATCATTGAAGCATTCGATGATAAAGAAAGATTATGAAGCATGTCAATTTTATAAACAAATGTTTCTTCAATAATTTTATCAATTGGTTCTATCATAATTTCAACATCTTTATTGCAATAATGAATAAAATATTCTAATCTATTCTTAAAGTTTTTAGCATCATTGAGATATATTTGATAATCACTATCTGATATTGTTTCTTGAGTTAATGCTGAATAAAATGAATCTTGAGTGAATGGTTCCACTTTATATAATTCTTCTTCGTAATTCTCCCACGTGATGAATTGATAAGGGAAAAAGGATTTAACACGTGTTTTATTATTTCCGAAATCTTGAGTGAATTGGTCTAATGTTCCACCCGCTATATAATTTCTGATGTCAATAAATCTCAATTCATATGGAACGTTTGTTTTCTTTACAATGACTTGCTTAAATTGAGAAGAAGAACCCAGCATTGATTTTATTTTCCATTTTGCAGTGTTTAAATCACGAAGAATTAAATTTAAATCAAACTTTCCCGAATTAAAACCTATGATAATCACTTTATTGAATTCCTCATCTAGAAGTTCTTTAAATGCTTCCTTCTGTTTTTCATTTAATGTATGAGACAAAGTCCCCGCCGTTTGCGGCTTCAATAATTCTTCATATTGTTCAATATTTGATTTAGCAACTAATGAACAGGTTGAAAATAAAAATTCAATCCAGTCAGAAATAAAAGAATCACTCGAAGTTAAGCAAAAATTCCTCGTATATGTTTTATCATTTAATTTAACCGTTGATGATACCATGAATGGTTTTAAGTAAGCATTCAAAGTTGCACACTCAGAAAGTTGTAATTCTTCTTTAGTCTCTAATGTTTCAAAGTCAAAAGTAATATAATATCTTGTCGGTTTATAATATTTCTGCAAATTGTGAGCTAATAACCACTGATATATCTTCTGTTTCGTAATATGTGGTGCATATGGTTGCTGTGTCTTTTGCAATTGAACGTCTTGAATTAATCTTCCATTATTTTCTTTACATTTCTCACAATGCTTTAAAAATCTTCTTTGGTTTTTCCTTTCTGGATCATCACGGATAGAATAAACTTCTTCTTTACAATATGGACAAACTTTATAGCCGGTGAGTGCTTCAACGTTTGTTATTCTGTCAGCGTGAAGTTTTCCACATGGACTCTGTGTTAATAAAATATTTACTGTTTCAAATTCTGGATCTATCATTATTGATTCCACTAATGGAAAGTCTACCTTATTTATGTCCACGTCTTCTGGTTGAGGATCACAATAATAGAAATCAATATTAACATTTAACATTCTCGCTAATCTCTCACTTTCTGATGAAATGTCAAACCCATCATATGCATCTATTGCTTCATTTAAATAGCTTCTACGAGTTTTAGGATTAACACCATCAGGAATGTTATAGAAGCGTTTAAATAACCTTCTACCTTCTGCTCTAATTTGATTATCATTCATTTTAGCTGTTCCGTTTTTGTTCATTTATTTAAGAATAAAAATTAAAAAAAATAAAAAATAAAGTTTATTTTTTAAAGCCCATAAAATGAATTAAGAACACATAAATTTTTATCATCTGCGACGTGACGAATACATTTTAATTTACTCAAGAATGCGTACCCTGATACATTAAATCTAATTCCCGTCTTATTTAATTTCACAACTTTGAAAAGGAATGTATGAATAGCTATAAAATGATGAGAAGATGTTTTATGGGTTGCTTCCATTTTTTCTGAAATAAATGAATAAATATAATGTTTATAAGTTTTCATATCTTTTATGTTCTTAATAACGAATGGTATAGACCTTTCCACTTCGTCTTCCTTCGGTGCTGTTCTTTCATATGAAACATTATTGGTATCTTCAATAATGAAACCACAATCACACAAAATTTTATAGGTTCCAATGGTTTCTTTTGATATTTTATCTAATAAATCAAAAACTTTATCAACACCCGTGCATTTATTTAAATAATAATTTGTGTAAATATCATGATCTTCTTTCTTAATCGTATTAGTTGCATATGTCACGTTTTTAAGAGCTTTTTTGAATTTTTCGGAATCTAAAGGTGGTGAAAGTAGGATACAGGGGTATTTTTCATTATCAATAAATTGTAACTTATGTTTACGAATAAATTTAGTACCTTCTTCCGAAAGTGTTTCGTCTATTTCACCATCTAATAAATTTTGTGTTGATTCTGAGACATAATTTTTATATCTTTCTTTATGAGATTTCTGAACTTCTGATTCTGAAGCTGGGATATTCATTAAACCCTCTACTTCATTTTCTTTATATTTTTCAACTTCTCTTAATTCCTTAATTTTTTCATCTATTTCATCTCTTATTTTTTCCAGTCTTTCAATTTCATCATATTCATCATCTTTAATCCGTTCTTCATAATATTCAGGGAAAACATCAGGTTCTTTAGGTTTTTCTTCTTCAGATGTGGGATATAAGAAATTTATAACATCATCTTTATTCATTTTTCCATCATAATCTAAATCATTTAATAACTCCGCGAATTTTTTACAATTTCTTAAATAATATTTATCAACTTCATAACACAACTCCTCTAATATATCCTTTATTTCCTCGTTTGTGAATCCCAATTTTTTAACATCGTTAGTTTTGACGCTCATTTCATACAAAATAAAAAAAAATAAAATAATAAACATAACTAAGTTTTAATTTTTCGTAAGACATGAATTTTTAAAGTTTATTTTTTATTCATGAAAATAATTATTTCTAATTTCTTTTACTCTCTCGTATATACTAGATTTAAAGAATTCAGAACATTTCCCATAATCTCCTAAATGTTTTCTTATCCCTAACGTGTGCCAGTTATTATATGAAACTGAATAAACTTTATCTTTATCTTTACACCTTTCATCACTTCCAATATATTTATATCTCAGTTTTGATTTAGCATTTTCATATTCATTAACGTTTAATAATTCACAGTCTTCCTTTTTAAATAAATGTTTTATGTATTCAGGATTTAATACTCTACGTTTATATGCTCCTAACTTAGTTCTAAAGGTTTTTCTACAAAATTTAGGAATTCCATCCTCTTTAATGTCATCAATGATTTCCATTTCATTATTTTCAATTTCTTCTTCTCGTTTATGAGGTCTTTGATTATGACTCCATTGATTCCATGAAATTAAATATTCTTTATCATTATATTTATACCTCATTAGCTTATTTTGGCTTTCATATTCATTTAATAATTCACAATCTTCATTTTTAAATTGAAGTTTAACCCATTCAGGATTTAAACAATGTTTAATTAATCGCGGAATATCTGACATCATCTATATATAGCTTCTTTTATAAAAGATAAAAAAATAAATTATTTTAAAATTAATGTTAATTTTTTAATGATTTATAAATAAATATATTTTAATGCATCGTCTATATATAGATGTAACAAAAAAAGTCACACAACCCTTCATATACTACTACTATTTTTCATTGAAAATTAAAAGAAAGATAAACATAAAACTCATTTATATTTTATTCACATATTCGATATTTAAACGAACAAATGTAGTATTGGTTATGTTAAATAAAAGAAAGACAAATAACAACAGAAAAAAACATATTATCGCTAATAAATTAGAAGTCATCGTCATCTGATGTACCAAGATCGAAGAATAAGTCGGAATCTCCTCCTGGAACCTTTCCTCCGTAATCTTCAATCATGATATCGCTCATTTGTTTGAACTGTCCCCTAATAAACGTTCCCCAAGGGTCAGCAAGTTCTTCTTCTGTTGGTGGTGGTGGAGATGTTGGTCTTGGAGGGAGTTTCTTAGATTCATAAATTGGTCCTGTTGGAATTACAGGAACTGGTGGTGGCGGACCGAATACAAATGGCTTGTTAGGTGGAGGTGGAAGGTTAATGGTCTTTCCGACTGGAGATCTCGGACTTCTTTGTCTAGGACGTTCTTCTTCCTCTTCTTCATCAGAACTATCTTTCTTTGGAGCTGGAGTTACGTCAATTGTAAGAGGAATAACAGGAATTGGCGGTGGTTTAATAAATGAAATCGCTTCTGTTGAATCGCTTGAAGAATCTGAGCCTTCGTCTTCTTCTTCCTCATCTTTGTCTTCTTTTTCGTTAGTTTCTGGTTTCTCTTCGTCAGATTTCTTTTCATCATCGGAACCGGATAAATGGATTTCCTTAACTTCCTCGACTTTATCATTCTTTTTGTCCTCATCGTCGCTATCTGAGCTTGATTCGCTGTAAACGTTTTCTTGTTCTTGAGGAATTCCTGTTACGCGCGTAGGATATGGATCGTTTATACTTGAGTTATCATTATCTGAGTCAGAGTAATTTGATCCCTCGCCGGATACATCAGTCTCCGTTGACTCCAATGTCTTATCGGATTCATCATTTGAATTCAATGCATCGGCAATTCGATGGAGCTGGGCCCAATAGTTTGCAAGGGAGAAGTGCCTTTGTCTAAAGAGCTTAGCAATCGTAATCTTTGCATCGCAAGTTTTTTCGAAGTTATCAAATTTGTAATCCGAAAGCTTAAGGGCTTCAAAAATGGAAAGCAAGGCGTTATGTATCATTGATTTGGTTGGATTTGCAATTGTCATATTAAATAATTTAATAATCAACTCGTCACAGATTTCTGGAGGCTGTTCCATGAAAGGTATAAGTCGTACTATAATTTGGGATGCAAGTCCTTTGTTTGCTGTAAACTCTCGATCATCCATAACGAATTTGATGAATCTCTCGAAATTATCGATGAAAAACTTCTCCAATGCGACAAGAGGATTTTGCTGTGGCTCGTCGTCGTCATCGAAAGAAGCATCGACAAATTCGATCTGTAAAAGTAATGAGAACAAAACTTTAAGGCAAGAGCACGAAAATGTAACGTCCTCGGACTCTACTGCCATGGTCAATATTTTATCGAGCGTTTTTTCGTTGCAAAAGTTGATAATTGAATGACTTTTGTGATTTGCAGCGCTGCAGACATTTGCAAGTATAATTCCGATACGGTAATTTTGTGTTTCAACTAATTTATCGAAGAGAGTTTGAGGCATATTAATTTTATCGAGGTAATACGTCATTGCACGGGAAGAAATGGCAGATAACGATCGGAGGATATCAAATATTGGTGTATAATCGATGTTTGGTAAGAGGCTTTCGAAGAAGTTCTCGTATTCTGTAAGAGAGTAGATGGTTTGATCGCTCTGGTTCTTAAAGATCGAAGCAAAGATTTCTGCTATGCAAAGAAGTGTCGTACGTGGAGTATTGACATCAGAAGCAAGAGATAAAATGTGATTTATAAACTCCTTGTTTTTCATTGTTTGAGCAGCAGTACGTTCAGCGTAAGCTCGGAGAACGAGATCATAAAGATGCTGCTCTTCAGGAGTGAGCTTCTGATCTGTATTTAGAGCTGCAACTACTAACTCATTAAAGTTTTGCTCGACGTAACTAATAATTCCTCCTTGATGCGTTAAAATCGCTTTAGTAACTTGTGGAGCATGCACGAACTCGGGGAGTGTGCAATTACCCGATGCTAGGAGTTGATTTAACTTATCATATATGTTTCTTTGATTGAGCAAATCAAACATTTTTTATTTACTCGCAATTTTCCAAAAAAAGCGTCACTTTTGATTTTATCATAGCCCCTCAGGATTTCGTATCGCCTAAAATAAATATTTGCAAGTCACAACAAGTCAAAATAAAAATATGTTTATGGCTATTGTAAAGAAATTTTTTGCCGATGTTTTGATAAAAAAAGTAGATGGTTGTCGTTTATCTATAAGCGTTTTCATTTATTCCATCATCTAGATATAGAAACATGAATTATTCGAATTTATTCTTTAGATATTTCTAGAAATAATGAAAAATGTCAGATGTATCATTTCCCACTTACAGAAATATTGGAAATGTTGCGAAGTACAATATATTAATATTAATTTAGCTTAAAGTATTCAATAGATATAACTTATATGTTAAAAATCATCAAAGCACAAAAGCGATACTATGTAGCTTAAGAAAAAGTTATGTGAAGTACCTTTTCGACTTTATAAATATTTGTTGATATATCTGGATTATGTAACTGAAATGAAGAAATTCTACAGATATCATGCCTGTAAAATCGAAAAATGTTTTTAAGAAACAAGGAATAATATCGGTAAATCAAAGATAACAAATAATTTGGACTGTAGATTCGATCTTAAGGCTAAATATTTTGGGGTTATTGTTGCAATGTAGAGTAAAACGTGTTAATCATTCATACAATGTGAGTTTGATAAAATAAAATTTAAATTTTAAAAATGGTATCAACTAGGGTCTAATCCATAAAAGTCTAAGTGACATGTCGTATCGATTTTTGTTTAAGGAGACAGCATGACTATTTTTTTTATATAATTAAAGAATATAGAAATTTGATTCTAAATTCTCGTTTGAACTTTAAAGAATCTTCATTTCTGCCTCGCCCTAAGTGCCCATGTCGATTTCGTGAATTCCAAAAAAATTTCGAAAATCAAAAAACGAACTTCATTCCTTCATTTATTCATTTGATAAATTGGATTTTCGAATTTTTTTGGAATTTTGTCTTTAAAAAATGAGCAAATCCCAAAATATATAATGAAACATAAGAAGCTAAATCTGTCTAAACTAATATTAATTTATATACTTCTGAATTACTCCTATGTTTTCGTAATACATTCCTTTTTCGATAATCAATAATTTAATTTTATAGGATTGTGAATATTTAATCTGTTAATAAACTTTAATATGATAATTATATAATAAGTTTAATGGTAAATACTTGCTTCAATGATTTATTAATATGAGTGTCTTCATTCATCGTATTATATTATGAGGATAACAGCCATTTACATAGAATAGGAAAAATGAGAGATTTAAAAAGAAATGGCACTAGGTTTGTTCATCAAAACATGATTCATCCTGATTCGAATTAGGGATTGATTTAAGATGAAAAAAATCGCGCCGTCCAGGACTTGAACCTGGACTCTACTGCTCCGTAGGCAGTCGCCTTATCCAATTGGGCCAACGGCGCTTCACGAATGCCGTTAAATTTTTAAATTAATAATTGATATCGGAAAATCTCGGAATTTTTTACAAGCTTCTCCTAAATGTTCATCAAAATCGTATCTGTATTGGAAGGCTTGATTGAATTTATTCAGTATCCATTGCTTTTTTTTTATAATTTACATCCATTTCGTAACGAAACCCAACCATCATTAATTTTTATTCCATAAATCATATTCAACACACTATTTAATATTCATTTTAAAGCATCAGAATTCTTTTTTTCTTTTTTTTTCAAAATTCAACATTGAAATTATTATTTTTTCATTAATTATGTAGATAATATATATTGGTTTATGTAAGTCGTTTAAAATATTAACTTGCACAACCTTGACATTATATTTTTTGTCGATGATTTTCAAAGAAACAGATTGCTAGAGATTTAGACATGCAAACTTTATTTTTTGCCTAATGTAACTATTGTACATACTAAATCCTCGAATGTTGAATTATTTCTCCATCCATTTGAACTCCAGATAGTTGATTTATCCAAGTTGGATAAAAAATTAGGGATTCTAGCTATATCTTATATAAGCACTAAATAAATTGTTATTTCTAAATATTCAGATAGTACGCGGGAATCTTGTATTTTTTAAGATTGAAATCATTATTAATCGAAGGTTAAAGCTATAAATGATAAAAATGCATTTGAATACTGATAGTATAAAACAATTCATTGGAATTTCCGGGTTAATCAAAAAAAGTCAAATCTGTCAGAAGTGAAAAAGTTTCTTTTCTCATGGAAATAGGGTGGATCGATCTTTATTTTGAATCGTGTGCAGAAAATTAAAGTGTAATCTTGGAATGATGATTTGTTTCAATTTGAAATTGTTAACCCAATGAAATTGGAATTTAAATAGCTATTGGTAACTCAACACTAAGTGACATTGTCATCCGAAACGTAAAATTGTTAAATATCAATTTTTTGAGTTCGAAGTAAATTAATTTCGAGAGATCATTCAATTATTTTTTTCAGAATTGATGAAAATGAATCATATAATTAATGCTCTGCTTATTGTTAATAGTAAAATCAACAATGACCTAATTAGCTCTGAAAAGATTTCGTATATCTATTTTTGAATCGACGCGTGGTCCAAGTATTTTTTGTGATATTTGGATTCAGTAATATGTAAGATATGAAATTCCTGAAATAGGTCTACCTACTGGAAATTGAATTAAAATTAGAAAATACGAAATAATTGCAAAATATTGATATATATTAGATATATAGTATAGGTTAAACTTTTGCAATAAGTTCTGAATCATTATATTTTTGTGAGAGACCCGTGACATAAAGTCATTAAATTGAGAACTCATCGTTTTTGTAAAATAAACATTATAACGTTGGCAATATTTCAAGCCAAAAATAGAATAATCAAAATGCGTATCATATTTATAGTATATATCTTCATTTATTGAAGACTTGTTAAAACGATGTTTTTGTAAATTACTCAAAAATTGAGGCAAACTAGGTCATGCATATTCATTTTTATTATTATGAGTGAAGTTAGATTCCAAAATTTGGAAAAACTTTGTTTTGAATTAAACCCCCAAAATCTAATTTTTGAGAAGAATCCAATCATTCTCCATGCTATTTCTCTAATTCTTTCCGCTGAATCATGCTTAATTGATATGATAATACTATATTTTGCATTGTGGATCTATTTAGGGATATCATCCATGGATAAATTTTTACCCTTCAAATTACCCTCCCATACATACCGCTTCTCAATTCCTCTCAATTAATTTGATAGGTCATCAGGTCTTGATTCAGAGAGATATTGTGAGGGCTCTCAATAATTGATACGGCATGTGGTCCAAAGTTTGAAAATCACAATCAACAATGTTTAATACAAACACTGTTCCAATGTTCTACTGGATGATGTCAGACGCAGACAAGTATCAGTACAACTGCCTCAGATACTCCATTGCTACAACAGCTAGCAAGAACCAACGCAACAAGAGAATCTCCACATTCAATGAAGCAATGGATGCCATTAAGATGTTCGCCATCCGCGGTGATGCCAATGACAAGCTTAGATCCCTTGTTTGTGGCATCTGCTGGTTGAACGAAGGCATCGCCATCAACACTCATCAGCTCAAAACATTACTCGGAAAATGCAAATCCTCAATCAATGGCTCACTCCAAAAGATTGGCTTCTCATCAAACATTTCTAGAGCCGAAACAACAAACGCCATGACAAGATTCTTCCCATTCCTTAACGAAAATTCATCAGAATTACGTAAGTGGTCAGTTAGAAACTACCCACAACAAGTTCTCGAACTTTCTTCCCCACCACAAGTTCCACATGCTGAAGAGCCAGTTCAAAAGGAAGTCGCTATCGCAGTACAGTCTGTACAGAACGAATTACCAATGCCACCAATTGAAGTTGAGCCACTTATGGACTGCTTCTATGAACCAGAGATCAACGATTGGCAATTCGAAGACTTCGTTTAAGCATATTTGTAGATTTTATATCACAACTTGTTTTTATTTTACTGTAAATATTCTATCCTCGGACTTTAATTTAACTTATTTCGTTTTATCCTTTTTACAGTTAAAGAAATTAAAGAGTTTAGAACTGGATAACTTAACCAATGAATAGCTTGACAAACGGGGATCTCAATGTACAGAGGTGGATAGTCAACTCCATCATTAATCGTCCAAATTTCCATCTTTTTCTCCAACAGTATATTTCCTAAAAATAATATCGATTAATAAACATAGAATAATATGCATTATTTAATTTTCGCATTTTTGAGATTTTGATATTCTTTGTTGTTTAGAATCTTTACACGTGTCATGTTTTTCATAAAAAGCTCACTTTTTATGTTTTATCCTCAATTATCCAAATCAAAATTAGTTTGTATTCCATATCAAAATCACTAATATAATTCAAATACTTAGACCAAATGAAATTTGGATGATAATTTAAAATGTTTTCGAAAATTTATTCATTAGTTTTAACTCTATTATGGATATCTTATTTACTTTTATAATTGCAACCCTGATTAATGATTATCTCCAGGGATTCACAACGATTTTTCATTTGATTACTTTGAATGTTCAATATTTTCTATTTTTATTATTTTATTATTAAACGAAATCAGATTTATTATCAAGTTATATTATTAATACCATGGGAAATGCATAAGATATCTTTTTCAAAATCGATTTTGCTTAGAATCCCCTGCAAAATATTATTAATCGAAACAATATCATATATAAAGTTAAACTGTTGAAAGCAAAGCCAACTATTTCTCTAGAGATGCCTCCCCGCATCTACATTTTCGGGCAGGAGGTCTATACTAAAGAAATCAATTTAGCATGTTTGGGCCACAGATCCGGAAAAGTATATGCAACAGCATCTCCAGATCGAATTTTATATCTTTGGTCTGTTTATGAGAAAAATCCTATTCAACAGTATGGTCCTTTTAACTCAAACATAACAGCACTGACATTTAATTTCCAAGAAGATCAAATTGCACTCGGAACTCAAGAAGGATATGTTACAATTTTAGACTTAGAAGAATCTAAAACAATAATGAGCTGGTCACCGGATGATTCAAGGATTACAGCAATCGCAATACATCCTACTTCATCAAATTACGTTGCTGTTGGAGATATCAATGGCAAAATTAAAATATTTTCAACAGAATATCAGATGCCAATCCAACAATACTTTATTACTAAAGCACAAATAAATACTATAAAGTTTTGCCCACAAGGACGCATATTAGCAGTCGCTGGAATGGATTCTCAAATCCATTTCTTTGACATCCTCAGCGGAGTCAAAATTGGCGTTTTTGTAGACAATGTTGCTCCTATTACATGCATTGATTTCCATCCAGAGGAGCAAATTTTAATTTCTTGCGCTCAAGATCGAAGTATTCACGTATACAACTTATATTCAGACGAAATCTTTACATCCTACCTTGTAGGACATTCTACACCTACTACCATTAAATTTTCCCTCAATGGAAGTACTTTTGCAGCGTTTTCTGAAGCTGCAATTTCAATTTTTTCTACAGCTTCTATTACAACAGTTGATCACTTCATGACTCCAAATGATGGATTGATTGACGCCAATTTATTTGATGAATGCGTTGAAACTATTTGTGGCGGAAAATTATATCCTTCAATTTCGATTTTTGACTCGAAAACATTCCGTGTTATCGAATCAGAACTCACCGAAGAGAAGAAAACCAAGAAAAGGAAGAAAAAGAAGAAACTCGATCCGTATATTTACGACCAAGGCAATCCTAAGAAGGTCAAAGAGATCTACAAACAATTTAGATCGTCTAGAGCTGAGTTTTTAGCTACAATTTCCAGGAAACAGAATGCTCACGCGAGAATGTGCGAAATGATCAGATCAAAAGGGGTAAAAGGCATGGTTAAAGAGGTTGGCACGAAAGGGGAATGCTCTTTGGAATGTTTGCAGCTTCTTAACAACTTCAAAATGCTGAACAACGCTGAGATTTCGCTTGATATTTTGTGTGTTGCGAGATTTTGTCTGAAAGAGGACTTGAAATTGTCATTAATTGCAATTAGATCAACTCTAGCGAGTTGCCGACAGATTGACAAGCAAATAGAGTCTGTGATGCACGATATAGCACCAAGAATTGTTGAATCTACTTCTCACTCTGATGAAATTGCGAAAATTTTGTCAGAAATTATCGAAAGATGGCCAAATCTCATCAAATAGATTTAAATAAATTGTTTAGTTTTATAATTTCTTTTATTTCAGCTGATTAATGTGGATTCATTTCTTAATTCCAAAACTCAGATTCAACAACGGATCATTCTAATAGAACCCTTCAATAGCGAACATTTAAAATCAGAAATAACAAGGAAAAAGACACTGCAAATGCCATTCAACTTTACAACATGACTGCTAATTTCAGATTTAAAATCGAACAAAGCATTCGGATATTTAGCACTATTTTTCTAGTTTCCTTATAAAACTTGTTCAGGTTTTTCACACAAATTTTCAGCCTTATATGAAAGCTGCATATTTGGGCATTTTCAGATGATTATTTTTGCTGATATGAATATAATTAAAAAAAAGTTTTTTATTTACAAAACGATGTCAGTATTAATGTTGTAGATGCAATATCATATATGTAAGGTGTTTCAAAATCGCGAGTATCATGATAAATCTTACATGAAACAATAAGATTTCGAGGAATTCCAGAATATATGATCATTCTTAGGAAGTCGAGTTTCGTGTTCTCAATAATAAGAGGACACCGAATTGAACGACATTCAACAAATGAATGAGATTCAACATTTTGGACTGAAAGAGGGAAGTTAATGTGTTGAAGATTTAAACAGTTGTTGAATGAATATTTTTCTATCAATGAAACACTGCTTGGAAGGATAGTGATATTATATATGTTATTGCATTCATTGAATGAGTAACTGCAGATAACACTGCAATTGATAATAAGAGTTTTATCTAATGATCTATTAAGATGAAAAATGAGATATTCACCAGTTTTATTTTTATAATATATAGTATTATCAATACATTTACATCTATCTGAATCGAAATTACTTATTTTTTGAAGTGAATTACATCCTGAAAATGAATTGTTTGATATTTTTACTAAATTATTTCTTTCTGTAAAATTGATTGAATTAAGTTTTATGCAGTTTAGGAATGAATATTCTGATATTGTCTCAATAAATGACGGAATATTTATACTCTCTAATGAATAACAATTCTCAAATGATTTATAACCAATTAATCTAGAATTTTCTAATATATTTACACTTCTCAAATTAGTACATCCACAAAAACAACTATCAGGGATATTATTTAAATTGTTGACAGATTGAAGCTTGATGCAATTTTCAAATGCATTATTCATAATAACTAACAATTTTGAAATAAAATTCACTGAACTCAGTTTAATACATTCTTTAAATGACTCAATTCCTATATATCTCAAACCAGCAGAAGAAAAGTCCAATGAATATAATTTTGAACAATTTCTGAATGCATAATTTTCAATTGAAATTAATTGTGAATCTGCTTCAAAATCCAGCTTAGAAACATTTGAATTTTCAAAAGCTCGTTCTTTGATTGTAGTTACTGTTTTCGGGATTGTAAACAGATGATACGAGGCGGAAACTCCCCAATACTCATATAATTCAGTTTGATTCGAATTCATTATATATAACTTCGGAGTAATAATAAGATCTGATCCATTTATATATGAAATTGAAACATGTGTATTTCTATGAATTGCAAATACGGAGGAAAATATTGTTTTATTAGTAAAAAACATCTTTATTTTCGGAGAATTATCTGTAACGAAGTCTTGGGCATCAATAGTCATTGATGAATTAGGGAAAATAATATGTTCTAGTTTTGTACAAGAGCTAAACAAACCATGACCAATGTAATCTAATGTTCCTAAAAAAGATACATTTATTAAATTATCACAAATACTGAATGCAGATTCTTCTATCCTTTTTACATTATCTGGAATTGAAATCGAGATAAGATTTGTAGAACTAAAGCAAAATCGTCCAATTGTAGTGAGAGAACGTGAAAATGTTATTGATTTGAGATTAGAGTGATAGAATAATAAATCTCCAAAAGCTGTGACATAATCAGGAATTTTAGAAGATTTTTTACAAATAAAGAATAAAATATTTTTATTTGCAGAAAAAACAAAATTGTTATTCTCAACTATTAAATCTTTATTATTAGTGTGAATTATAAGATTTGTTAAGGTGACATACGGATTGTAAAATGCATAACCATTAACTTTACTGATTTTTTATGGAATTTGAAAAGAAGTAATATGAGTATAAGTAAATACTCCAGATTCTAATGAAGTTAAATTTGATCCATCTTCAAAAATTACATTTTCTAGTTTACCGCAGCTTCTAAATGCACTACTTCCTAATATTTCAACAGATCCTGGAATAGTGACATTTGTCACTAAACAATTACTTTCAAAAGCTTCATATTGTATCTCAAGAAGCCCTCTTGGCAAAAGTATTTCAGAAACTTTATTGCAATTGCGAAATGCAGAATCAGATATTTTTTAAAGTTTATTACATGATGATAAATTAACAATAGTTAGATTCTCGCAATTATAAAAACTATATGATCCAATTGTTGTTAAGTTAGGATTATCATGAAAGGAAAATGAATTCAAAGTTTTAAGTTCATAAAAGCATCTGTTTTGTATGATTTCGCATTGAGCTGATATCAAGAGATCTGGCCATGGATCTTGAACTTTGTTAAGTTCTTTCTCGCCATTTGTATAGCAACTTTGCGGAATATCTTTGTAAATAAGAAATAAAAAGAAAATCATCATGAATCATTTACAAATTTCCATTTGTAAACATTTGCTTATGAAAGTAGTTTGAAATAATTAATTGAACGAATACAAGCCAATCCAATAACTAATAATGGCATCCCTTGCCAAGGGGAAAAGAAATATCCCCAAAATTTGAATTATTGAATACTTTATTCTTTTAAATTTAAATTGAATGTGACAATTCATGATTTAAAAATCACAACAGTTGATCTAAATTGGTACAACAGTATGTAGTGATTAAATGATTGCGCTGCACTAATTTCTATATATATATCAGCATAAATTTTCAATTCAAAAAAATATTTTTGATCAAAATTAATTAAAAAATTTGCAAATAAGCATTATACTATACAAATGTATGCATATTTCAATGTCAATATACTAATCAGAAAAGAAAGCAATAGAAATATAATAAAAATTACATAAGATTTTATTTTCGTATAAAAAAATAACAATAAACCGACATTATCTATAAAATTACTCTTGAGAATTCATAGCTGCATTAAAGAAAGCTATTTTCTCTTCGTCACCTTCGAGATAAGTTGAAATCAACTCATCTCTGTTCGGATAAAGCTCCATAAGCTCGCGTAGTACTGCCAAAAGCTTCTCTATGTACAGAGGAGGTATTTTCATGTTGTCGAAAACGTGTTTTGGCAAAGCAAACACGACAACTAAAATTTGGAAGAAACTTTCTTTGTAAGAAATGTCTGCTTTGGAGTACAACCAGATGAAATAGTCAATTTGCTCTGTAATGTACTCGAAATCCTTAACTAATGGCATTGCACTCAAAGATGGCAACATAAATTCTTCTATATCATATTTATCTGGGCAAATATTCATCACAAGCATTCCAAACGCAATCAGACAATTATCTCTCATCCTGTAATACCTGTCTGCATTCGATCCTTCCATCGTCAGCTTCTCAATACACAATTTATACAAATCATCAGAGACATTTTCAATTAATTGTGGTTCAGCACGTCCTATCTGGTGTATTAATACAAATGCGTCAGCTTCCTCGCATTCTTCTGCTATTCCCATTGATGTTTTGAGCAATTCTTGTTTAAATCCTTCGTCAAGTGACTCGGAACAGCTCGAAACAATGGACGCGAAGAAAGATAAAGCGAAACTCTTGAGAGATGGCTCATTAGATGTCAAAAGATTGTTGCATATCGGCATAAAATCTTGTAATACAGTAAAAGCCATTTCTCCAGCACTTGCAGCGACCATAGACAAAAATAACTGCATAGAATATAATGTCTGTCCACATTTCGATACTAATTGACGATCGTCTGATGAAATAAATGCATTTATATAATTCAATGCATTGACGATTAAATTTCGAGTCAATGAACCAAAAGTTTGGTATTCTAAAACATCGATCATGTGGGCAGCTGTTGAGAAGCCATCGGATGCTTCTTTACTCTCAGGACAATCATCGGCGTCTGGAATAACCGCGAGAATGATATTTCCCATTTGAGTTGTAATTGTTTCGGGAGGTTTCGTCATTGGATCTGCTAAAGCGTCTGCAATGCATGAGACAGCGAAGGCGGACGCACATTTACAATCAGAATTACGACTTTGCGATTGAATTGTTGCGCATTGCAAAGTATGAGTTAAAAACATCTTAGTTAAGTCTGGCGACATATTCGAGAGTATCGCTATAAGCCTAAGCGCGATTTCTGTCTGCTTAAATAGAGCTGTATATTGAGATTCTACAGCTGTTATGTCATCTTCAGTCGCAGCAAAGAGCATTGCCCTTTCATACTCTTTACTTGGGTCTGTTGCAGCTAGTGCTAACACTTTTGACATGATTTGGTCGACAACTTCCATGAAAAGATCAGGTTTTTTAATTGCCATAAGTTCTAGAGCCTGGAAACATGTTAAAGCAAGTCCTTGGCTCTCATTTGAAAGGTTCTCAACAATATAGTTGAGGAAAATCGATGCGTAGTTATCAAATTCTGATCCAACGTTATTTGCTGCGCTATGAATGCATTCTACGCAAATTGGTTTGAGTATATCTGCTGTATCGCTCGTAGAATTAATAATTTCGATCATTAACTGCATAAAAGTCTCTAAATGAGTTGAAATTTTCATTGTTGAAGATCTTACGAGCATATTCATACAACTAAGAGCAGCTTGTTGAAGTACAGGTTCTGAATTCGATATTATTTCTACTAAGAATTCAAATGCCGTGTCAAAAATAAAATCTGACTGATTAATTTTATCCAAAATGTTTGCGAAAGCCGTAACTACGTCAACAGTTAAGGCATTCTTAGCTGCAGCTAATACTTCACTAACTAAAGGTTCTTCTAAATCTCCGATATCGATATAAAAGTTTTCAATAAAAGTATCCACAGCGCTTACAGAACCTTCAACAAGAAGTAGAGAATCTGATTGCATACCTCCTGCAAGAACATCTGCGATATCTCCAAGTTTATCCAAGAAAAATTCTCTTGAACAGTAAAACATCGAAGCCAAAGACCGTACGATAATAAAATGATTAGCCGTATTAGATTCAAGCTGTTGGAACAATGAATAAAGGTATTCTAGGAGTTCTTGGTACTGGCATAAAACTTGGAAAGTTTTTTCAAAGAAGTTGGCTTGTGTAATACTCAAAGGATCATCTGGTTCGAATAGTTTGATGCTGATCAACATGAAAACTTCGAAAATATTGTTCACATAACCTGATTCAACAACAACTGACGTATATTGTTGGCACATTGACTCTATGAGGGTAGCAAACTCGAGTAATAAGTATGAATCGTTCTCTGGCTTATGTACAAGCGTTAAACATAATTCTAAAAGTGGTAAAATATCAACTGAAAATTTTTGGCAATTTATTGCGAAATTAAACGTATTTGCTACACGCTTGAATAGTGTTTGTTGTTCGTAGAATGGTTGAAATATTTGTAAAGCAGAAGCCCAATATTCAGGAATTTTGTCTAAAATGAGATCTGTGTTGCAGCTAGGTAAGTATAAGTAAAATAAAGCTGAATATCGAGTTAAAATGTCCTCAGAATTGAAGCCACGGTCGAGCATAGTCAGTAAAAAATTCGTAGTTTCTTCAGCGTTTTCCTGTTCCATTTGAGACACATCGACAAGTGGACAGAGACAAAGGATAAGTTCCAAATCGCTGTTTTCACCTGATTCTGCCAAACTTTGGATGAAAGGAATAAATACTGGATAATAAACAGCATCCATCTTAAGTTGAATAATATGCAAGATGTTTTGCCTATTATTGTAATCAGATTCTGATTTATACATCGTTAAAAGACTCGCGATTATATCTGACTTCGATTGATCATCAAAAAGGTCCCAGGAGTTACTGACACATTGCTTCAAAGCAATTACAAGAAATTGTCGATATATTGCTTCTGAAAAATCAGTGTAAATGTTAATAATTGTTGAAACCGAAGTTGGCTCTTGATAAAATTGCAACAACCACTCAGTAGCAGCATTAACGGATTCATTACTAGCGCCACTCCTAATGAATCCGATCACTTGCTTAAGTTGTTCGACAATTTCGCTCATTTTATTTTTTTTTGTATAAAAAAAAATCACTTTTTTATTTTGTGATTGTCCTTCATGCCGTAATTTTGATGGAAGTTTGTAGTATACATATTAGACTTTCTATTTTTCTGATTTTGAAGACTTTTTGTTGACTACATCAGATTTTACAAAAGTGACATTTTTCAAAGGTCTGTGTCATTCAGTATAGTTATGGGTTGGCAAAAAACAATACGCAAGCCATTTTTATTAATTTAATGCTCAAAATAAAATATTATTTTTTTGACGTCATCCTTACAAAAATTGCCTCATACCTCTCAATTTTTGGCTAATATAAAAGTCTCATCACACTTTTCAATGCTCGATTTTTAAAAACTGTTTAAAAATGGAGCTTATATTGAAATAGTGTAGAGACTAAAAATTACCACAGACTATTTCAGAGGATTGAGTTGCCACTCAATCCTCTGAAAAGTCTGAGGTAATTTGCAAAATTTTTCTTCTCAAATTGATGATCAAACGGAAACTCGTCAAACACTTTCACTCTGACGTACCGCACTTCTTCTTTTTATCCAAATTTCAGTCATATAAAACAAAATTATTAGTCTCATCACACTTTTCAATGCTCGATTTTTAAAAACTGTTTAAAAATGGAGCTTATATTGAAATAGTGTAGAGACTAAAAATTACCACAGACTATTTCAGAGGATTGAGTTGCCACTCAATCCTCTGAAATAGTCTGAGGTAATTTGCAAAATTTCAAAAATCTTAGCGGCCAAACAAATATGGATTATAGATTCGATCATCTTATTTACGTGCAATAACATTGTTTTCCCTTTACTGTTGGCTTTTCCTTTTATAAATTTCATTATCCAAGTAATTTCCTTATTAATAGGAGTCGAATAGCATCATCAATACAGAAGTTCTGAGTCATAATATAGATTCAACGCACGAAAATTATCTCAAAAATTAGTATGGCCAAATGTAATCCCATAAATCACACTGTTCACAAACCTCATATCACATTTAGAACCAAACATTCAAAAAGTAAATATATTTATTCCTATTTTTTGATTCGTATAAGCTATTTCTCACTTTTTTTCCTGAATCAGCTTTAATTGTTAGCCACATAAGCTGTCTTTTCATTGGAATCGATTTTGCAATATCCCAACATTCTGTTGTCCCATTGAAAAACACAATAGTTTTCGATTTTCAACATTTTAGAAATTAAATTTGAACTCAATTTATCGAAAAAAGGGCGAAATATAAATAACGAAGCCGAAAATTTATGAATAAAAACAAAATACATATATTACATGGAAAGAAATTAAATTATTTTTGCAAAATGTTATTCACTTTTGGGGTAGGGATTTTGGGGGAATTACCTTAAAATGTCACCTAAAGTTCTGGGTTTGAACCTAATGTACTTTGAATTTTTTTTCACAATAAAAATTTGGTTGTTTCAGAAATAATAGTATTCGATGTGTGAAGATTTGAAATAATTAATTGTTTGATAGTTGTAGGTTATTCTGGGAGACATTGCTTATGCAAGTCTCCCAGAATGGCAAATTATCCCGCAATCAGAATACGATTGCGGAACTTTGAGTGGCGAAGTGCAAGATTGCCCTGTTACCACTCTTGCAATGTCATTCTGGGAGATATCGTCACTGCATGTCTCCCAGAAAGGCACTATATTCCGCAATCAGAATAAGATTGCGGAACTTTGACATGAGTATCATTTGCACTCGAGTTGGTCATATCTTGCCATTCTGTGTTAAACCACTTATACTACAATCTTAAAACTTACTTCACTCCTATTTAATATCCATTTTGTATTTTTCGAGAATGCTCAATTATCATTACCTCAAGCCTATAGATATAGCAGAATAATTTTCATATGTATACATATCAATTCTCTCAATTTTTGAAAGCCAGACACGAAAAATATGAAAACAAATTTAAATGTTTATCATATTCTGTAAGGAAAATTCTGACTAAAGACCCTTCAGTGAAAAAAACAGCTTATCTGTATTTTCATTACTTAAGCCTTGTTGGGATAGTATATATAAAGATTAACAATATTTTATGAAGTTTTTTATTTAAAAATATGGAGCCAATAAAAATGTTATCGACCCAATATCAAAATTGTATTGTGTTTCAAAATTGCGTGTATCATAAATGACTTCACATGAAAGAATAAGTTTACGAGGAATTCCCGAATATACAATCATTCTGATGTAATCAAGTTTTGTGTTCTCAATAATAAGAGGACATCGAATAGAATGACATTCAACAAATGACTTGCAATCAACAGTTTCAACTGAAAGAGGGAAGTTGATGTGTTGAAGATTCAAACAGTTGTTAAATGAATATTTTTCAATCAATGAAACACTCTTTGGAAGAATAGTGATGTTATATATGTTGTTGCACTCGTTGATTGAATAACTGCAGATAACGCTGCAATTGATAATAAGAGTTTTATCTAATGAATGATTAAGATGAAATATTAGATATTCACCTGTTTCATTTTTATAATAAATAGTATTATCAATACATTTGTATTTATCTGATCCGAAATTAGATATGTTTTGAAGTGAATTACATCCTGCAAATGAATTATTTGATATTTCAATAAGAGAATTTGTTTCTATGAATATTATTGATTTAAGTTTAATGCAGTTCATAAATGAGTACTCTGATACTTTTTCAACAGATGATGGGGTACTTATACTTTCTAAATTAAAACAATTCTCAAATGATTTAATACCAATCAATGTTGAACTTTCACCTATAAATACATATGACAAATTAATACAACCACTAAAACAATTATCAGGAACATTCAAGATATTACTTACATTCACTAATTTAATACAATTTTCAAATGCATTATTCTTAACAAATAAATTATTTGAAACAAAGCTCAGAGATGATAAATTAACACAATCTTTAAATGATTCAATTCCTATGTATCTTAAAGAAGTAGAAGAAAAATTAAATGATAACAACATCGAACAGTTTCTGAATGCATAGTTCTCGATCGAAAACAATTGTGAGTCTTCTTCAAAATCTATGTGTGGAACATTTGTATTTTCGAACGCTCTTTCTTTGATAGTTGTGACTGTTTTGGGGATTAGAACAGTTTCAGAGAAATATTCGGAAAATACCCAACATTCATAGATAACAGTTTGACTCGAATCCATAATTAATGAACCAGGTGTGATAATAAGATTTGATATGTTCATGTAAGAAATTGAAACATTTACATTTCTATTAATTCTATTATAAAAGAACATTGTCTTGTACGTGAATATCATTCTTAATTTTGGGGTTTCACCATATATAAACATACTAAAATCAACGCTCATTGATGAATTGGGAAAAATAATTAGTTCTAGATTTTCACAATAGTCTAAAATTTGATTCCCAGCATAATCAAAAGTCCCTAAAAATGTAACATTTATCAAGTCATAACATCTAATAAAAGCAAAGTTTTCAATATTTTTAACACTTTTTGGTATTGTAATAGAGATTAATTTTGAATAATGGAAGCAATATTCTCCAATAGAAATCAGAGACTGCGATAATGTAATTTTCATAACATTTGAACTTTCAAAGCATTTATAACCTATAGATGTAACAGAATCTGGTAAAGCGATTGATTCAATTCTAGACATGTAGAATGAATAATCACCTAAAGTTGTGATTGAATCAGGAATTTCATAAGTTTTGAAAGATTTATTATTAAAATAGAATAAAATCTTTTTATCTGAAGAAAATATAGCATTGTTTTCGATTATTAAATGCTTATTTTTTGGGTGGATTGTAAGATTTGTTAATTTGTCAGGCAATGCAACTCCATCAATTTTACTGACACTTTCTGGAATTTGAAATGAAGTGATTTTAGTTCCATAAAATAATGAGTTTACCAAGTGAGTCAAATTCGAACCTTCTTCAAAAATGATATTTTCGAGATTTTCGCAATGTTCGCAAATTGCTTCATCTATTTTTTCAACAGAAGCAGGGATTATTAAATTTTTTACTAGTTTATTACTGTAAAAGGCTCGAAATTGTATTTCGAGAAGTCCCTTTGGTAAGAAAATTTCAGAAACTTTTTCGCAAGAATAAAATGCATACATTGAAATTATTTTAAGTTTATTGCAAGATGATAAATTAATACAAGTGAGATTCTTGCAATTAGAAAAACTTTCTTTTCCAATTGTTGTTAAGTTAGGATTTTCTTCAAATGAAAACGAAATTAATGAATTTAATTTATAAAAACACAATAATTGTATTATTTCACATTTGGCTGATATTCTGAGGTGTGGTGATGTATTATTCACTTTAATAAGTGTCTTGCCATCCTTTGAATAACAACTTTCATCAATATCTTTGTAAAGTAGAGATAATAGAATATTCATATTATATTGGCACTATGAATCATCTTTGAAAGCTCATCTTATAAATATAGTTTTTATTTATCGTATATTAAAATTTAATTTCACCCTATATTATAAAGCAATCTTGCTGGATTGGATAGTGAATAGTATGAATTATTGATTGAGAACACAATATAAAATGTTTCATTTATGCTGAGGGGAAGTTTCCTTCCCCTCTTATTTGATAGGATATTCCCCCGCAATTATAAATCTACATCATTGGATGTAAAAGATTTTGAAAGTACGGTGTATTTGATTTAAATCTCAGTAATACTCATACGATTCTTAGCAGAACATCAGATATTAAGTAATTATGAAAAGTAAACAAAAGAATTTTAAATTAAAACTATACAAAATAACATAAAATATACAAAAACATGAAAAACAGTTGTAATGAGATATAAAATGATCATAAAAATAAAATTAGTAAACTAATCTTGAACGAGGAGATAAAGAAGCGCGTTTTCTTGGAGTACCTGGATGCACTTTATTCTCCCTAGCCTTGAGAATTACAGGGTTCCATGAAGGTAAGATACTGAACAAAATTTCAGAATTTGCGTTAATTATGAGGAATGCAGCCTTGTTGTTGCATTGTCCTGCATACTTCGAAGCAGTGAATATAGTAATAACCGATTTATCAGATCCGAATGGAAAATCATAGCCATTCATCGCAAGTTGGTGGCCTCTTATGATTGTGGTCATTCCTGATGTCTGCATGAACTTCTTAGCAGCTATTGGTCCCCAGCAGACCGTTGTACCGCGTTCATTTGGACCCCATGTATCAATAAGTCCATTTGGATCAGACCAGAGGATGTTTGCTAAAAGACCTTCATCGGGAATATCAAGTGGTCTCTTAAATGCTGTAATTTGCTCGATAGTCTTAAGTTCCGGACTAATTCCGCCGTGGATACAGAAAATTGTGTCGTTGACGATAGCTGCTAATGGAAGGTATCTGAATGAATCACAGAATTTAACCCACATATTCACAGTGGTTTTGACTTTGCATTCGTTTAAGAAACCAAAAACTTCAGACATTTCTGGACTTTCGTGATTTCCTCGAATTAAGTAGACGTTTGTTGGGTATCTAATCTTGAGAGCATATAGTAAACAAATTACTTCTAAGCTTTGTGGCCCACGATCAACATAATCACCTAAAAATAGATAAGTTGAATCTTTTGGCATGCCTCCACGTTGAAACACTCTGAGGAGGTCATTAAATTGACCATGAACATCACCACATACATTAATTGGACCCTTTAGCTTTAATACAATTGGATCATTTTGTAATGCACCAATTGCACTTGTAATCAATGAATTTAAAATGGTGGAAGGTATCTTGCTTTTGTAATACTTGTTTGCCATGAGATCATCAATGAATTGGTCTAGGGTATCCACTTGCATAAAAAAAAATTATAAGTTTTTGATCCCGAATTTTTGTAAACTTATCAAATCAATGTGAAATGCATAAAGTCATTGAAGAGAAGAAATCAATTTTAATATACTGTAACCATTTTACAGTGTTTTTACATCATACGTTTGAAATTCTTGACGGTTGGAATAATTCAAAAATTGAGAATAAAATAAATTCATTTAAAAGCAATTAGAGCTATTACCAATAGTGATCTCAATTTAATAAGTTTCACTAATTTGGCAAATAATGATTTTGGGAGGAGTGACCAAAAATCACAAAAACACAATTATTCGGCGTTTATATTCCCATCTGTAGTACCGGGATCATTTCCAATCATTTTCCAATTCATTACGTAATAAATTTTATAGTTGGCAATTTCTTACCGTCGTTTTACGCGTACTGAAAAATTGAGCAATTTATCTTTACAATTTGGTTCTACCTTTTCCTCTTGAGAATAGCACTGGCAATTGATATCGGACTATCCTTACTGATGGTGTAATAAACAGAAATTCATCAAAAGTGACAGCTCTCAATTTTTTGACATTTGTAAATTCTAAATTGAATGAGAAAAATGAAATAATACTAAGCATAATACAATATTCTAGATTTAATTATAATTAGGAAAAAGTTAGTTTTGTGAGTACTTTTCATAGGCATATAGAATGAAATCTTCTGAAAAATAATATCACATAAACTCATATTATTTTCTAATATATAACTATTTTATATAAAAATCAAATTCAATGATCTTAAAAGCGAAGGATAAACCTCAAAATTTACGAATATAATGAGTGGGAATATAATGCTTATCTATCATAAAACCATATGAAATATTAATTTTTGCTTTACGCCTAATTTTTGACGACAATTAGCAAAAAATGTTAAATGTTAACACTCAGTCCATTTGAATATGAAAAATAAAATTGACTTTGATTAAATGTTTTTATTTATCATGCAATTCTTCTTGCGACCGGGGCGGCGACAAATTTGCCCAGCCAGTAAAGTATTCAATTTTTGTTGCATTTTTTTTAAAGCTTCTTAACTTAAATCATGGAATGTCTCAAAGACAAAAGTAGCATACAGCATGTAAAGCTAAAGAAAGATAATCATAATTAATACCTTAATTTTTAATATTACGCATTTTTAGGTGCAAAATTTAAAAACATTCTAATACAATAGAGCAGTTTCCAAAAGTAGCATACAGCATGCAAAGCTAAAGAAAGATAATCATAATTAATACCTTTAAAATTTAAATTCTTGATTTTTTTTAAAATCAAATATTTATAAATTAAAATTTCATACAATCTTTCTTCGAATCTGTTCTTTTCTTAAGCCGCGAGCGAAGCGAGTGGCTTAGTTTCGTAATTTCATACAATCTTTTTTCGAATCTGTTCTTTTCTTAAGCCACTCGCTTCGCTCGCGGCTTAGTTTCGTAATTTCATATAATCTTTTTTCGAATTTGTTCTTTTTGTCTCCCGCGAGCGAAGCGAGTGGCTTTTTATTTTTTTTTAATTTTTTTCTTTCTTACTTTTTTTCCCTTACTTACAAATTTGATAGTAACTTACCAAATCTCTCTATCATATAATAATAAATTAATCCATTTTTTCAGATCTGACACTTTACATTTCTGACATGTAAACCTATCACTTTTCACTTCACCTCACTGGGCAAGTTTGTGCCCCCCTCTTAAATGTTAACACTCAGTCCATTTGAATATGAAAAATAAAATTGACTTTGATTAAATGTTTTTATTTATCATGCAATTCTTCTTGCGACCAAAGATTTGAATAAAATTTCAAAAAAAAAGATAGCTTAAAAAATAATACACGGTAGTGTTTACTAATAGATGAATAGTATATAAATTCTATTAAAATGGATTTGATCCAAAAAAATATATAAAATTTGATCATAAATAAAATCGTTTTAAATTACTTCTTCATTTAAATTATAACAATTATTTTTGGTTTTATATTTTTTTGGATCAAATCCATTTTAATAGAATTTTATACTATTCATCTATTAGTAAACACTACCGTATATTATTTTTTAAGCTATCTTTTTTTTTTGAAATTTTATTCAAATCTTTGGTCGCAAGAAGAATTGCATGATAAATAAAAACATTTAATCAAAGTCAATTTTATTTTTCATATTCAAATGGACTGAGTGTTAACATTTAACATTTTTTGCTAATTGTCGTCAAAAATTAGGCGTAAAGCAAAAATTAATATTTCATATGGTTTTATGATAGATAAGCATTATATTCCCACTCATTATATTCGTAAATTTTGAGGTTTATCCTTCGCTTTTAAGATCATTGAATTTGATTTTTATATAAAATAGTTATATATTAGAAAATAATATGAGTTTATGTGATATTATTTTTCAGAAGATTTTATGTTCTTCTTCAAAAATTTATTTTTTTATTAAAAAGAATCTTTACAAAATATACATTTACTTTAATTAATATTTAAAAACGTGCTCTATCAAAAGTTCCAAAAATTCAATATTTTAGCTTTTCTGAGGTGTCACTTTTGATGAATTTCTGTTTACAACAATGGACACAACAAAACCTTTGGATAAATCAATTTATAAGTTATTTGCTTAATTCTAATTTAAGCCTTATACATTAAATGTTTTAAAACATGAGGAAGTGTCATACTTAAAACGAACATTAATAGATATCATTCCAGATCCAGGATAATGCTTAACAAACAAAGAGTACATTCGATTTAGCATAAGGATAAAGCCATGGTATTAAACATTTGTAAGCAGGATATGTTATCATTTGCAACATGGTTACATTCGTAAAGCATAACGAATCGGTAAATAAAATATTTTCAAAATATAACATATCTATTGGCGATTATTCGTTCGACAACCCTACAAGGATGAGTTTGTATTAGAGTTGAAGCTGAAAATTATTATAATTCCAGCATTTTTTGAATGAAATTTAAAAATGGAAGAATAATGCCATTCTATAGCATTATGGAAATTTTTGTGACATACATATGAAAAGATTTTAATTTTCTCTTAAAAATATCAGTTTTGTAATAGAATTGATAAATTTCTCAAAAAAAGAATAATCAATTTAAGTAAAGTATCAAGATTACTGATAACATTCAAATATAATTAAGAACTGATCACCGTTCACGACTTTGGAGAGATTTCATTCAAAATTTGAATTAGGTATTCAATTACTAATTTTTGTAAGAGAATTCAAACTGATAGTTACTTCGGTATTTTCAATGTTTCACATTCTTCCTCACTGAGAATTACCCAAGATAAGAATCGATGTTCGTTATATTTTCAGTATCCATGTGATTCTCCCTACATTTGCTCACCTTACGAAATTCATCTCAAAAAAGGCGAATATATCTTAGAAGTATGGGGTGCCCAAGGAGGTACTTCAACTTACAAATCAAGTTGCATCTCCAAAGGTGGATTTGGAGGCTACTCATCAGAAATTTATAACGCATTTAATGACCTCCCTATATATCTACATTTAGGAGCTACTCTGCAGGAATCAGAAGCTGTTCAACAAACTTTATATAATGGTGGTGGTCGTCGAGATAATATAAAGGATTCACCTGGAGGCGGGGCAACTGATTTTCGAACAAGTCCAGGTGACTGGGATGAAAACTTTGAATCAAGAATCATAATTGCTGGAGGTGGCGGAGGCAGTTTTTGCGATGACTACGCTGATATTTCAGGCGGAAATGGAGGTGGTCTTTCTGGATCAACATACTCTACAAAAACCGCTTGTTATGGCACTCAAAAAGGAAGTTCAGGAACCTCAGATAAATGTGGAACTTTGGGTCGAGGCTATGGAGGATATTATGGTTCTGGAGGTGGAGGAAAGTATGGAGGAGGTGCAGGAAGTGGGCGATCTGGTGGGGGCGGTGGGTCTAGATCAATTGACAAAGTTTATTCTTTAGAATTTTATGAAGCTGTGACGAGAGAGTCAAATCATACAGGCCCAGGCGCTGCTCGCATCACATACATTCATGCACGAACTTGGAAAGACAAGTATTATTGCCGTTGTATGCTTAATTATTTAAGTCCAATTTTTATCTTTATTTTATGTGACTCTTCGAATGATTAAAAAAAAAGTTTTTTTTTATAATGTTGGAAAACCAAGATCAGTAATAAATAGTCCGTTTGGGAACTGGACTAAGATTAATATATTGAGAGATTACTATGTTATCAGTGTGTCACAACAATTTTGGTTTTGAAAGCCTTATAAAATATAAATGGCACTTTTTATTATGTTGTTCAGCTGTACAACATTTTATCATTAATAAATAGCAGGACCACTATAATTCGTGCTTATTTATACCATATTTCAACATCAACTGATTATCCCTTCAAATTTCTCCAATAAAAACGATATTGTTGCTTTATCGTTCAACAAATCCGATAGATCATTCGATTATTCACTCCCATTATTTAATTTTTAAAACTTCAAATTCAAATAGCAAAGGTTTACATCTCATTCAATCTTTCAGAGAATGTTATTTTCAGATCTCATGTAAATCATACAATTAAAATTTATTATCATATCTATCTCAGTACAGCACAATTTTATTATCCAAATTTGATCTTCTCAATTTTTTCAATATGGAAATTTTGCTAATTATATCCATTATCTCATTCTATTCATATTTGTGTATAAACACAAACCTTATTCGTAATTTCAATTAAATTTTGAATGAGCGAGAGCCCTTCTGATAAAGAGCCTCAGGAAAATGAAAATAATTCCGATAATGAGATAGAGGAAGAAAACGAACATATTGCTCCAAAAGAAGAGAAGAAGGAACAAGGAAAAGATGAAAATGCGATAAAACCTAAAAAGAGAAGACATTCTTTCTCCTTCATTCCAGCTGCTAAAAAATCAGATCAGTTAGTAAGATGCAATTCAGAAATATTTAATGTTAAAGAGCTTGAAGGAACTGAGAAACCAAAAATAAAAGGCAAAAAATGCACGAAATCAGCAGAAACTTTACTATACGAAAGTTTACACAGACTAGCCACGACGTATCCTTATTTCATTCGAGACATTTCGGATTTTGTTTTTTCAACACATCATCGGCCATAGTGGTTTTGGCGAAGTTTGGCTCGCAAATGATCTAAGAACAGGAAAATTGGTTGCTATCAAAGAATTATTCGCTGAAAAGCTTGTAGGACGTACATTAACTAACTTTATTCGAGAAATAGTTACAATGGGTAGAACAAAGAACAGATTTATTATTCCTTTTGTAGGCTATACTGTCGAAAAACCATTCTGTATAATCACAGAATACATGCCTAATGGAGCTTTGAATAATTATCTTAGAAAGGAATGGAGAGCAAAGCCAATATTCTCAGGAACACACCTTACAATGATAGCTATGGGTCTTATTTGCGCTATCCGCTATTGCCACGTACAAAGAATTATTCATCGTGATATTAAAGCTGCAAACTTACTTCTCGACCATCACTTCTTACCAAAACTCTGTGATTTCGGTATTTCTCGTTTCATTGCTACTCGCGCGATGACAGATGGTATCGGAACCGCATCTCATATGGCTCCAGAGATATTCGTCAGCACAAAGTACAATATTAAGGTCGATGTATTCGCTTACGGGGCAACTCTCTTCGAAATGCTCGAGAAAAAGAATCCATACGTTGGACATCCGGTAGAAGAGGTCATTTCTAACTTCAGAAAGGGTAAAAGACCAATCTTCAGGAACAAGGAAATCCCAGATGGTCTCAAAGACTTACTAAACCGTTGCTGGTCGCAATCTCCAAAAAATAGACCGACACCTGCTGAAATTTACTTAGAATTCGCATCAGGAAAGGCATATTTCGCAGGTACAGACCACAAAGTCATCAAAGAATTCACCCATGTGTTGAATAAAGAAATGAATGAAATGAAATTCACGAGAACAGCGAACAAGAAGCCGGCAACCAAGTGGCAGAAGGAAACTGTGAAGCAACTACAGACCAAATTAGAAAGATCCATGAAAGTCGACGCAATGAAACTCGCATTTGGCATAGAACTCTCCGAAACACAAATGGACGATGAGCCACTGATGAAAATTGACACAGATGACACAGACCAAAACGATAACGCTTCTGACGAAGAAAATTTCGAAAAGGAACATGTAGAAAAAGCTGAAATCATCAGTAAATCATCACCCGAACCCAACAAAGAGCCAACAATCATTGATATTCTCAATGATTCACAGCATCCAATGTTCAAATCTTCTGTTATTGAAGTATTAGATAAGGTTACAGAAGAAGAATTCCCTGGAATATACTCTATTCTTATCAAATACTTCATGAGCAAGGACGATGACCTCATTCCTGCTTTCATTCTTGAGAATTTCACAAAATTGGTCAAAAGATTACCGAATATCATCAAATTCTTCGACCAATACCACTTCTTCTCTGTTCTCCCTGTCAATTCACAGCAAGCACAACGTGCAACTCTCTTCTTCGTCGCTCATATCTTCGAAGAATCTCCAAATTCAATCCATTCAACGGTTTTCAGATCATTGAATGCCTTGTTTAGGGTCTACCCCCAACAAACCCTTTATTTATTCCCTCATTACATCAACCGCTACAACAGACTTGAAAATCCCGAACCTGTTTTGAATTTATTCCTAAAACAAGGGAAAAAATACATAAACAGCGATTTCGGAGTTATCTACATCAGGTTGATCTATCAATTATACACAATAGAAGGCTTCTGCAAAGAAAACAAAGAAGTATTGAAACAAACAATTTCAGCTTTTACGAGATCCCAAAATTCATCAACAATGGCAGTTTCTTTGTCAATTTTTGCTTTGACGTTTGAAGAAACCGACCAAATACCACTCGACGCGATAATTAAAGCGTTGCCTAATATACAATGTGCAGATTCATGTGCGAACATCTTAATGAGAACGCAGAATTATCCGCAATCAAAAACATTGTTTAAGAGTCTTTGCGATAAATGTCAAAGACCAAAGATCGCGAGATGTCTGATGAAATTCGCGGCGATGTCGAATGAACACAGAAAGATATCAGCGAGTACAACGAAATGGATGAATGTTGCTAATCCTTTCACGTATAGAACATTCTTAATTATCTTTTCTGATAGAAATCTCAGACAAAATGTGATAAAATCAAGACATTTCGGTAATTTCGTCACTAAATGTTTGAGAACTATTCCGGATGATGTAATTCCTTCTTTGGCAACTGTTCTAAGACGTGCTGATTTGAATCAGGGACTGTTGTTAACAATGACTGATAATTCTTTCTTTGAAGCTTTGCTTGAGAAAATGTCTGTCATTCCTTCGAAAGAAAACGAAAAGAAGATTTTGGGAACAATGGTTATATTGGATTCTTGTGTTCAAAAGGGATATTCGTCTGATTTCAAGTTGTTTATTCACTTGTTGACGAATTTAATCCAGAAAAGTAATAATTTGACAAAACCTACAGCAATGTTGATTGTTTCTTTGAGTTCTCACAGCAAAATGGCTTCGAGATTCAAGAAGATACAAGGATTGGTTGAATACTTCACGAGAATGAAGAAGAAATGAATTTTGGAAGAAGCTTCTACTGTATTCCTTAAGAATATTAACTCTGTTTGATTTTTTTTTAAATTATATAAAGATTTATTTATGGTTAACATTATTATTTCAAAAATGAGGTCATTCCAAGCTCGCCTTAACTGTGACTAACATTTTGCTAAAATGTTATTCACTTTTGCTGTTTGGGATATTAGAATAGAAAACTCGTTTTCATGTCCTTCGTGTCGGTTCCCCTCAATTATCGCAATTTTTCTGTATCGGACGCGATAGATATGATTTCAAATTTATTGACTGCAGAAAAAAATTTAGATGTTTTTTTTGCGACCAAAATTATAAACATAGAAATCTAATTAATCACACTTTTACTTTCATAACAGGAATAATAATGTGATGCATTTTGAATCTCCCGAACGACAAGTGTCACTTTTTCTAAAAATCATTAATAAGTCGTACTTTACTACCTATTATAAATATAAACGACTTCTATTTAGAATAATTGTCTAAGATTTTAGCCTTTCATATGCATTCATTTAATTTTGCAATCTTCGAAGTATTCATTTATTAATCTATATATTTCTGTCTTCACATATATGCATTTTTCCTCTCTTCTTCTCTTAGTTACGTAACTATCTGGAGTGAAATGTAAACATTTGATAAGATTTAAATATAAATGAACTTAGAGATCATATTAGAGAGTATTTGACTCCAAAAACATAAATATTTCAAGTTAATTATCATTATGTCATTTAATTACACTGATATTAATGAAAGTTGTTATTCAGAAGATGGAAAAAGCCTCAGTAAAGTCAATGATACATCACCACACCTCAGAATATCAGCTAAATGCGAAATAATACAAGATAAGTGTTTTTATCAACTATATTCATTAATTTCGTTTTCATTTGAAGAAAATCCAAACTTAACAACAATTGGATCTAGTAGTTTTTATGAATGTGAATGTCTTACAATTTTTAATTTATCATCCTGTAATGGACTTAAATTAATATCTTCAAGGGCATTTTTTCGTTGCTATAAAGTTTCTGAAATACTTTTTCCAAGAGGACTTCTTGAAATTCAATATGAATGGTGTTTCTATCAATCTAAATATAAATCAATAGAAATTCATAATTCTTTTACTACAATTGGAGTGAGGAGCTTTTTTTATTCAAAAATCATCTCAATTAAATTGCCAGAAAGTGTAAAAAGGATCGAAAATGATGGCTTCCATGGTTGTAATAGTATGATAAATGTAACATTTTTAGGAGCTATAGATTACATCGGGAATGATGCATTTAATTATTGTGATAATCTTGAACTCATTATTTTCCCTAATACATCAATGATTGTCGCAGGACAATTTTTCATATCATATCCTTCTCCCAAAGTAAGGATGTCATTCACATGCCAAACATTCTTTTCTTCTTTTTTAGTGATTTATAGAAATGCTAATGTTTCAATTTCATATATAAATAAATCGGATCTTATTATTACTACACAGTTATTTATTATGAATTCAAATCAAACAGAAATTTATGGCTATTGGGGATTAAATACAGGTTTAACAATTCCTAAAAATGTTACCACAATCAAAGAAAGAGCATTCGAAAATTCTAATATTTACCAAATAAATTTTAATGCAGATTCAAATCTTTCAGTGATCGAAAATTATGCCTTTAGAAACTGTTCAAATTTGTATTCATTTGATTTTTCTTTGATTGCTTTGAACTACATAGGAAATGAATCATTTAAAGACTGTATTAAGTTGACATATGTGAGATTTTATTCCAGTGATGTTGTTGTTATGAGCAATGCATTTGAAAACTGCATTAACTTAGTAAATGTTAGTAATATCACTAATGTCCTTGATGGTTGTTTTAGTGGATGTACTAATTTGACAAATGTAGAAATTCGAGAAAGATCAAGAGTAATTTGTTCTAAATCTTTTGCTAATTGTTATTCGCTAGAATACATTCTCATTCCATCATCTGTTCAATATGTTTCAGAATATTCATTCTTGAATTGCATACATCTTAAATCAATCAAATTTATTGAAACAAATTCCCTTCGGAAAATATCAAATCGCTCATTTTCAGGATGTAATTCACTTCAAAACATATCTAATTTCGAATCAGATAAATACAAATGTATTGATAATACTATTTATTATAAAAATGAAACAGGTGATTATCTCACATTTCATCTTAATACATCATTAGATAAAACTCTTTTTATCAATTGCAGTGTTATCTGCAGTTATTCATTCAATGAATGTAACAACATATATAACATCACTATTCTTCCCAACACTGTTTCACTGATTGAAAAATATTCATTCAACAACTGTTTGAATCTTCAACACATCAACTTCCCTCTTTCAGTAGAAACTGTCGAATCCCATTCATTTTATGAATGTCATTCTATTCGATGTCCTCTTATTATTGAGAACACAAAACTTGATTACATCAGAATGATTGTATATTCAGGAATTCCTCGTAAACTTATTTTTACATGCGGGGTTTATCATGACACACGCAAACTTGAAACACCATATATTTTTAGAAAGGCAGCCACAACGTTTTTACTTATTTTATATTTAAAATAAAAACCTTTATTCAACCCCTTATAACCAATATTCATTACTAACATAAACTATTGAATTTTCAGATTTCTATTTTCGATTTCTTTCGCATTTGATAATGATAAAATAATACAACCTAATTATCCAGTTATTCAGGAGGTAAGTGAAGCAATTAGTTATATATGAATTCAATTGTTGTGTGAATTTATTTGAGATAATTTGATCTGAAGTATGTATATTCCATATGATTTATATATAGCACATAATGTGTACTTACAAGTCGAAATAGTTTCACTGAATTTCCGAGTCATCTAAAGCTGGAATTCGATATCGAATGAAAAACCGAAATACGGTAATCAATTTTTTTTGACAAATTTGAACTTTCTGACAAAATATCAATGGCAGAACGTTTTTCTATATTTCCTCTATGCCAACCAACATATGAGGGCGAACTTGTTGATGTAGAAAAGATCCGTGCTATTTGTTCTAATACATTGTCTGAAAATCCGCCAGAAGATCGCGCTCTTGCTTGGTTAAACATGCTACAAGTATATCCAAGAAATCCAGTGAATTGGGCCCAAACGCAAGAGCAAGCCCTCAGCTTATATCAAATTTTTATTCAAGAATACGGACTTGAAAACTGGCACCAACGGGTTTTCCCGCCATACGTCAAGAAAGAAGCATTTAAAGTCGAAAACAATGCTCTTATGAATGTAATTCATGGTGATATTGTTCGTACAGGAAGACATATTTATTTCTTACCTCCAGAAGATATCCCAGAGGGCTGCAACCCAAAAGATATTCAAGCACCATTTACATATCATATCAGAAGACTCGAAAGAATCCTATATGTTTTCGGAATGCAAAATCCATCTTTATCTTACATGCAAGGCTACAATGAGCTTATTGTTCCATTGTATTATGTACTAGTACAAGCGAAATCTATGTTTCACGACGATTATTTGTTAATTGAAGCACTAACTTACACGATGTTTCAATTTTTATTAACAAACACAGATATTCAACTGTTTTATACTACAAAAGACCAGTCATCAACAATTGTCAGCCAATTACAGATCTTTGAGAACCTTATGAAAGTTTTTATCCCACAAACTCATAAATTACTTACAAGTCTCAATATTTTCCCTCTACTTTACGCCTACAGATGGTACAATTTACTGTTTGCGCAGGAACACGACTTACCAGTCCTTTTAATGGTCTGGGATTCTCTTTTCTCTCATATTGAAGAATTAATCGAATACGCTTTCTACATTGGGATTGCGCAAGTCAAAGAAGTCGCTCCTCAACTTGATCCAACGAGTTTTGCGAAATCTGTCAAAATTTTACAAAATCTTACGATTCCTAACGCTCTTTCCATTGTCAAAGATGCTAATATGATGTGGGCAGAACGAAAAGAGAAACTTGGCAAGAATAAGAAATAATTTTTTTAATTATATATTGAAATTTTTGTTTTGTATTTATATTTCAAATCTCTATGTTTGAAATTGATTAATAAAATATGTTTTTACTATTTGTTCATTGCTATTTTAATGAAAAAGAACTCTATTTAGAATTTGATTTTTTTATTAAGATTTCTTCTACAAAATTATCTAATGAAATATAGTTCAGACATATATATTATTGTAAAGATCCCATATTTTGAAATCGAATTAATAAAAGTATTAACAAGTTTTGTTTATGAATATGAAGTTAGTAAAAATAATACTAATGTGTTACTGAATCTATAAAGAGTTTCAAAATTGCGGGTATCACAATAACCATCACATGAAAGAATCACTCGCCGTGGAATCCCTGATTCGATGATCATTCTGATATAGTCAAGTTTCGTGTTCTCAATAATAAGAGGACATCGAATAGAATGACATTCAACAAATGACTTGCAATCAACAGTTTCAACTGAGAGAGGGAAGTTGATGTGTTGAAGATTCTTGCAGTTATTAAATGAATATTTTTCAATCAGTGAAACACTGTTTGGAAGAATAGTGATATTATATATGTTGTTGCATTCATTGAATGAATAACTGCATATAACACTGCAGTTGATAAAAAGAGTTTTATCTAATGAACTTGTTGCATGATAAATAAGATAATCTCCAGTTTCATTTTTATAATAAAGAGTATTATCAATGCATCTATATTTATTTGATTCAAAATCACTTATGTTTTGTAGTGAATTGCATCCTAAAAATGAATTGTTAGATATTTTCAAAAGAGAGTTTGTTTCAATAAATTTGATTGATCTAAGATTTGTGCAATTTAAAAATGAATATTCTGATATTGTTTCAATTGAAGACGGAATAACAATACTCTCTAATGAATAACAATTTTTAAAGGATTGAGAACCAATGAATCGTGAATTATCTAGAATATTTATATGTGTCAAATTAATGCATCCTGAAAAGCAACCGTCAAGAATACTTAAAATATTACTAAAATTAACTAAACTAATACAATTCTCAAATGCATTGTTCATAACAAGTAAATCTGTAGAAACAAAACTTACAGAAACTAATCGAATACAGTCTTTAAATGATTCAACTCCGACCTTACTCAAGCTAGGAGGAGTATACTTAAACGAATTTAAATTAGAACAGTTTCTAAATGCATAATTATCTATTTCTGAGAGTTGTGAACTTGTTTCAAAATCTATACTTGTTTGGTCACAATTTTCGAATGCCCTTTCTTTGATTATTGTAACTGACTTAGGTATTCTAATAATTTTGCTTAATCCCCAATATCCATATAGATGTGTTTGATTTGCATTCAAAATAAATAAATTGGTAGTAATTATAAGTTCTGATTCGTTAATATATGAAATTAAAACTTTTGTATTTCTTACAATTGCATCATAAGAAAATAATGATTTGCACGTGAAAGACAAAAATAACTTTGAAGAGAAACCATAGTGAAACCAGGCGTAATTAACAATCATTGGTGAATTAGGAAAATTGATAAGCTTGAGATTTTTGCAATAATCAAATGCTTGAAAACCAACGTAATCTACAGGCCCCAAAAACGTAGCATTTATCAAATCAGAGCATGAAAAGAACGCAGCATGCTCAATCCTTTTCACATTCTCTGGTATTGTAATAGAGGTAAGTTTTGCAACTGAAAAGCAATTCTGACCAATCGTTGTAAGGGAATTTGGTAAAGTAATTGATTCAAAATTCGTATTAGAGAAGCAACCATTCTCAATTGTTGTAACTGAATTGGGAATAGTTATTGATTTATAACCAGATTTGTAAAATAAATATTCTCCTAAAGTTGTTACAGTATTTGGAATTTCATATGTTTCGAAAGATTTGTTACAAATAAAGAATAAAACACTTTTATTTGCAGAAAAAACAAAATTGTTATCTTCAAGTATCAAGTGTTTATTATTAGGATGAATCGTAAGATTTGTTAATTTGGAATCATAAAATGCATTTCCAGCAACTTTATTGACCTTTTCTGGAATTTGAAAGGAAGAAATGTTAGTAAAAGCAAAAACATAAATTTCTAATGAAGATAAATTTGAATTTTCTTCAAAAATAACATTTTCTAGTTTAATACAGTTTTGAAATGCATCCCTACCTATGTTTGCAACAGATGCTGGAATAAAAAGACTGCTGACTAATTCATTATTATGAAATGAGTCATGCTGCATTTCAAGAAGTCCACTTGGTAAAAGTATTTCGGTAACATTTTTGCATGTTGAAAAAGCATTTTCGGAAATTATTTTAAGTTTATTGCAAGATGATAAATTGATAATAGATAGTTTCTTGCATCCATAAAAACTTGATGATCCAATTGTTGTTAAGTTAGGATTTTCTTCAAATGAAAATGAATTTAATGAATTTAATCTATAAAAACATTTGTCTTGTATTATTTCACATTTAGCTGATATTATGAGGTCTGGTGATGAATCAGCAACTCTTTTAAGTGTTTTGCCATCGGTTGAATAACAACTTTGGTTAATATATTTGAAAAGAAGAACAAAATGAATAAACATAATGAATCATGGATAATATTTTTATTTTTATGTTTGCTTGTGAAGGTAGTTATAAACCATCATTAACAAATTTCGGATTATAAATTTAGTATTGCGAATATTGCTTGATTGTTGCTTTATCATATAAACATCTCATTGAAACTACATATACCATTAACTGTGCCAAAGAAATAAACTATATATCATTTAGGATTTTGATGGCACTTTTCATGAAACTTTTGAGAAAATTGAAAAATGTTATTTATATTTTGTTGAAGGGGCATGAGATCATATCTATATAGCTGATTTATTTATGATTTATACTCAGTATTTAAAAATTTTATTGTTTGAACAAGATTTAAAAAGTTTATTTATACCAAGTAAGCAAAAATGCTGTCAATCCATTACCATAACAATAAGGTGTTTCAAAATTGCGCGTATCATGAATAACTTCACATGAAAGAATAAGATGACGTGGAATTCCTGAATATATAATCATTCTGATGTAGTCGAGTTTCGTGTTCTCAATAATAAGAGGACAACAAATAGAATGACATTCATTGAATGAAAATGATTCAACAGCTTCAACTGAGAGGGGGAAGTTGATGTGTTGAAGATTCAAACAGTTGTTGAATGAATATTTTTCAATCAATGAAACACTATTTGGAAGAATAGTGATGTTACATATGTTGTTACATTCATTGAATGAATAACTGCAGATAACATTGCAGTTGATAATAAGAGCTTTATCTAATGAATGATTAAGATGAAATGCGAGATACTCACATGTTTTATTTTTATAATAAAGAGTATTATCAATGCATTTGCAATTAGCTGATTCGAAATTACTAATATTTTGAAGTGAAATACAACCGGCAAATGAATTATTTGATATTTTCTTTATATCATTTTCTGCAATTAAGATAATTGATTTAAGACCTACACAGTTTAGAAAAGAATATTCTGATATAAATTGAACAGAAGATGGAATACTAATATTTTCTAATGAATAACAATTTTCAAATGATTTAGAACCAATAAATCGTGAATTATCTAGAATATTTACAATTTCTAAATTGGTACACCCACTAAAACAATTATCTGGAATATTTAAAATCCCGCTTACATTCAATAATTTGACACAATTTTCAAATGCATTATTCATTACATCAATTATTGCAGATTCAAAAATAATGGAAGTTAATTGAGAGCAATTTTTAAATGATTCGATTCCTATCTTGCTCAAACCAGGAAGGGAAAATATAAATGATTTTAAATTTGAGCAATTCCTAAACGCATAATTCTCAATAGTAGTAAGCTGTGAATCTTCTTCAAAATCTATGTTATAAATTTCTGAATTTTCGAATGCCCTTTCTTTAATAGATTTTACAGTTTTAGGAATTGTTATACCATCATAGAAAATACGCCCCCAGAATTCATATATAATTGTTTGATTTGAATTCATAATCAATCTATTTGTAGAAATTATAAGATCAGATTCATTCAAATATGAAATCGAAACATTTGCATTCTTTTGAAGTGTATTAGAAGAAAAAAGTGTTTTGTGAGTAAATGACATTGTTAATTTAGAAGATTGACCGAACATGAACAATGCCCAATAAATGTTCATTGGTGAATCAGGAAAAATAATTAGTTCTAGATTTTCACAATAATCAAAAACTTGATTACCGAGGTAATTAACAGTTCCTAATAATGTAACATTAACTAAATTTTCACAACAGAAAAAAGCAACAGAATCTATTTTTTTAACACTTTCTGGAATCACCACATAGATAAGTTTTGAATATGTAAAGCAGTAGGATCCTATTGTTGTTAGAGATGAAAAAGCTATTGCACTAATTTGAGAACAATAGAAACAATATTCTCCGATTGATGTTATAGAATTTGGCAAAGTTATCGATTTAATCTTAGTATAATAAAACAAATAATCTCCTAAAGTTGCGACATAATCTGGAATTTCATATGTTTCAAAAGATCTGTTAAAAAAGTAGAATAAATTGCTTTTATTTGTTGAGAAAATAGCGTTATTTTCAATTATCAAATATTTATTTTTAGGATGAATTGTAATATTTGTAAATTTATAATTATCAAATGCTTGCCCACTGATTTTAGTTACCTTCTCTGGAATTTGAAACGAAGTAATGTTAGTTGCACCAAACACCGATTTTTCTAAAGAAGTCAAATTCGGGCTTTCTTCAAAAGTAACATTTTCTAATTTATGACAAAAAGCAAATGCATCTTCGCCTATATTTTTAACAGAAGCAGGAATTATAACACTTGTTACTAAATCAATAAATTCAAAAGCCCAATATTGAATTTCAAGTAATCCTTTTGGTAAAAGAATTTCAGTAACATTACGACAATAATAAAATGCACAATGTGATATTTTTATAAGTTTGCTACATGATGATAAATTAATAATCGTAAGATTATAGCAATAAGCAAAACAATATTCTCCAATTGTTTTTAAGTTAGGATTTTCTTGAAATGAAAATGAAATTAAAGAATATAGATTGATAAAGCATCTATCTTGTTTTATTTCACATTTTGCTGATATTCTAAGATTTGGTGATGTATCATTGACTTTAATGAGCGTTTTACCGTCATTTGAATAACAGTTTTGATCAATATCTTTGAAAAGGAGAATTGAGTAGATAACCACGGTGAATTAAGGTCAGGTATGTGGGGCTTCCAGGGGCTGCGCCCCTTCTAGCCCTAAGAATTTTGCCCAAGACCCAAGAGGAGGACCGAACCCCAGCCAACCAGCCGGTGATAAAAACCAAAACCGTTTTTTAAAAGTGACAGACAACTCCGTTTTTTAAAAGTGACAAAACCGTTTTTCACTATATAAGAGATATGCAAACAAAAAAGTGACAGCCGCATGTTTTAAACTACAAAAACCGCTTTTTAACTTCACTTAAAATGCCACGTAAGCTACGTAAGAATATACGTAAGAGGAAGAGAGCATTGAAACATCCAATAGTAAAACTGACACCACAACAACAGTTGCAACAACAAATGATGAATGACCCCACTATGTTGCAACAAATGTCAAGCAACCCTATGCTTTTAAACCGAGTTATTGGTGCACAGAGTGGAGGTTTAAGAGCGGCACTTTTAGCGAAAATGGCAGGCTATGGTGGAGCTGCAGACGGAACAGCTTATAACCCTCAAAGTCAAATGAATTTGAGTTCACTCAAAAATCAAATAACAGATGTCAAAAAGTCAAACATAGACATACAGAAACAAATAAGTGAAAACGAAAAGAAACTAGAATATGACAGACACACAAAGAAACTCAATGAGTTAAACGTAGAGAAAAAGAAGAAAGAAGAACAACTGAAAGAACTAAGTACAGAGGAATATGCGAAAAAAGTGTCAGAAAAAGCAGCAGAAGTAGCAAAAATGGAACAAGATGTTATAAATTTGAAAAACCATACTACTCAATATAAAGTACTGAAAGATGAAGAAATAAAACAAAAAGCCCTGAAGACATATATGGATAGCGATGAGTATAAAAAAGAAGTTGAAGCAAATGTAAAGGCAGAAAAACTTTTACAGTTGCAAAACCAAACCGTACAGTATGAAAACTTAGCACAAGAAAGTAAAAATAACGACGCAGCCATGCAAAAGGCAATGAAAAGCGCAGAATATATAAAAGCTAATAATGACTGGTTAGATGCCCAAGCCAACGCTAAAGCAGCCCAACTTATAGGGTCAATAAGGACAAAAATACAAGCGGATGAAGACAGTTCAAATGAAGCTTTAATGAATGCTGACTTTAAGAACGCCTTCGAAGCTCTTCATAGTAAGGTGAAACTAGTGAACGACTTCTCATCTGGAAAGAAACTGAAGTCTGAAGGTTTCGACAAAGAGTTAAAAGAAGTAGCACAAAATATGACGAAAATAACAGATGCAGCAACGAGACAGGCAGTTCAAAGTGCCTATGACGCCGTTAGAGCAACTGTTGTGGAAAGTCAAGAAAAAGAGTTACAACAGACCAAAACAGACCTAGTAAATGCTTTCTTAAGAACGAAAAGTCAGGTAGGACATTATGCTGCAGATGGAACATATGTGCCAGCTGGTGGAACTTATATACCACCAAACCCTCCAAGAGAAGCACCTGCACCAGGACTACCTAAAACATTTACATCGTCACATGGACACAGACACAGGCATGCACCAAAACCAACACAACAACCAACAGTTCAAAATCCAGCACAACAACAACAACCAAAACCAACAGTTCAAAACCCTGCACAGCAACCAACAGTTCAAAACCCTGCACAGCAACCAAAACCAGCACAACAACCACCTCCACAACCAGCACCACAACCAACAGTTCAAAACACTACACAACAACCAACAGTTCAAAAACCTGCACAACAACAACCACAAACAGAGCAAGGACATAAAAGAAGTAGAGAACAAGGAAACCAAGAATTCTTAAAAATGCTTAAGGAAGATTATGGTTACCCAGATACTCTTGACTTTAGTGACAGATATAAAGAAGCTATTAGAAAGTTCAAGGAAGGAAATACTGACCCGAACCTATTTAGCTTTATGGTTCAGCACCAAATGGGATATAATCTTAAACCTGGAAAATACAAGCTCGCTAAGGGATATGATTTAATAGCATATCATCCAAATGACATGAATGAATTTACTCCGAGATATTTGGTGTCAGAGCTAAATGATAATTCAACTCTCTTCATGAAACGCGTAAAAAATAGAGACGGAACGAAAGAAGAAAGGTTTATGAGTCCGGATGACTTAGATAGGGAACTTGTTAAAAACGGTCTCGGAATATATGAAATGCCAGCAGATGAGGTACAAGAAACTCAACAGGAAGAAGTTCAGATACAACCAGACATGGAAGAAATAGTTCAGCAACAACAGCTAGAAGAGCCTGAAGGAAACGAACAAGTCCCTCCTTTGGAAACTAACTTCACAGAACTAGATGAAGATTTGGAACAGCCGAAAAATCTTGACCCTCAACAAGAGTATGAGGTGAATATGGAATCTTTCCAAGAGTCTAAGAAAAATTCGGCTGACATAGTAGAAGAATATCGAAAAATGTTCGCCGACATACAAAAGACTCCAACATCAGATGAAAATATTCAGCATAGAATGGAAGTACTGGAAAGAAAATGTACGCAAATACAATAATCCTTTTTACTTACGACCATATAACGTTCAATCTTTGGCTGAACTCGGTGAAAATAAAAGGTTAAATTTCAACAAAACATATAGAAATGAAACATTGTTTAAAGTTCATTCAGAACCTAACCAATATGGAAACAAACCTACTTTTGTTTCTGCAGGACTATGGAACTACAATGAGATGGGGTCATAAAGCTAATCCGGATAGGTGGTTCATAAACTTACAACCACAATTCCAAGAAGTTGTAGACGCAATGGAAGTGAATGGTGAACCAGATATAGCTGGTATTTTCAGCGCGGCTTTAATGCCATTGAAAGATATGAAACATGCAGATATTTTGGACCAGTATGAAATGAACATGGCTGATGGAAATATAACACCTGACGTTCTAGAACATTTATCTCAAAGAACTACACAGAACCATAGAGATGGTATATTTGGTGAAGAGTTTAGAAAGAAAGTTAGGGAGAGAGAAGGAAGAGAACCTATTGTACATGACCTTGCAAACGAAAGTTTGCAAAATGTCATAAAAACTTACTTTGCAGACAATGAACTGAGAAGGGATGAATATTTAAGAAAACTCAAATGGACAGTACCAAATGAAATGTTAGTATTGAAAAACACGTTCCTTGACAAAATAAAACCAACTACAGAAATAAATGACGCAAGACTGAAACATTGGGTAAAAGCTTTCCCATTCACAAAAGATATTATTGGTTACATGGAAAGAAAACCAGAATGGCTACAAAAACATATATTTGGAAACGAGCTTATTCCATATGGACAAGCTCTGTTTGAAGAGCTTGAACCGGAAACTCAGGAAAGAGTCATGCAAACAATACGCGAAGACTCAAATACAAACTATGACAAAATCTTTCTAGGATATAGGTTACCTGAGATGGGCGACCAGAGCCCAAAGGCAAAAAGGACATGGGAAATTTACAACATACTAGGTGAACATGAGGCAAAGATGCAACAACTTGAAGCAGAGGGCAAGTTACCAAAAGCGACACCAAAGAAGAAGAGTAGAACAAAGTGAAAGTAGTGAAGAAGTAACTTCATCTAGTGAAAGTAGTGGCAATGAAGGAAAAAGAAGAGTTAAAAACTCAGTCAGGAAGAAAGTAAAGCTTGGTCCGAAACAATTATGACACATAAATCCAACTATTCTATATTTTTACCCATATGAAATGTACGCCGCTCAGAATATAACGCCAACAGTTTTGGATGCCATGAACGGAAATGTTTCCGAATGGTATAACGAATGCGACAATGCCATTAGAAGGTCAGAAATAGTTCCTGGAACTTACGAATATACAACTGCTGTTTCTTATGGAAATGTAGGTGAGTTTGGTGAAGGTTCTTCAACAACAGTAGATATTGCTTGCGACAGGTTTCATATTATTTCTATTGACAACTCATTCTTATACGTGGAACAAGACATTGAAATAAAACCTTCTGCCAAGTTGTCTGACAAGAAAGGTTGCAATGGAATTTTCTATGTCGGATACCAATATGCTCCAGAAGTTTTCATGGGATATAAGATATATTCTAACTCTGACTTAGTTCAAACAGTAACATGGGCAAACTATGAATGGTTCGCTTTGAGAAACTCAGTACAACCACAAGCTAGAGAACAAACAGACCAGTATGCAACTATTGAGAAAATAAGAAGACTTGACCCTAACGTTCCAGGAGTTTATGTTAACCTTTCTGGACAAACTGCAGCAGCAGTAACCAAAGTAAAACTGAAACTTAGAGTTCCTTTGTCATCTTTCCTCATCTTCAGGTTTTTAAGATACTTGCCAAACTGGGCAGGAAAAATTTCTATTGAACTTACTCCAAGCAAAAATAACTTAGTCATTGCACCAACACAAGACCCATTCACTCTTACAGACGTAATGGGAACAAATAAAACGTCATTCGCCGAATTTTGCAAAGGCAAGGTTGACTTAGACTTTGGTTTCTCAAACCTCAACACTGAAGTAAACTATTATTTCAATGCTGCTGGAAGATGCTTGGGACCCAGTTAAGTTCACATGCGAAAAATTTGAATGCAAGAGAATAGAAAGCAGACTTGCAGTCTATATGTTGGACCCAGATATTTCAAATGCTTTAGCTGCCAAATATATTGCAGTTCCACTTATGTTCCCTATACACCAAATATCTGTCAAAGACTTTGCAGGTGAAGTTGAAACCAAAGTGCTGACCCAGGTGCAAGAACAGATATTGCTTTAACAACTGCAATGAAACATGCAGATACTATGTTTGTACTGTTCAGACGAACTATAAATGACTATTCTTGTTTCTACAACCCTGGTATTAAATATCATATAAACATAGATGGCAAATATTATCCAAGAGAAGAATATTCTACAGTGAGGATATGAGGTCATACAACTTGACATTAGATGCTATGACTTTAACAACAACTTCACAACAACCATTAACCCTGAAATGCAAAGTTCTATTTATGCCATATGTGAAAGTATGGACTCATACAGGAGGTCAAAAAACACTCAATATACAAATGGAGACCGTTCAAACTTTTGGCTTGGCATTCCATTTGCTGACTCAGAAGACTTTATGGTGGTATTTCAACTGTTGGTACAGTTCAAATACAATATACTGGTGACAGAGACGGTCCAGATGAATTGAAAGCAAAGAAGTTTACAAAACCAATAAGCACTTTTCACGGAAGATGCTCTTGAAGATTCGTTCGATGAAACCTGCTGGGGCTCCTCAGATTGGCCATAACGACAGCTTCCATCGAGCAGATTTTGGCAGCAGGTCAGTAAGTTGTTCTTGAACTGACTTCTCTCCGTCAAATATTGACAGTACGCCAGTTTTGACATAATATTGTATTATAAACTTTCCTTTAGTAATATCTGTAAGTTTTGAAGTTATATTTTGTCTGCTTCAAGAACTTTCACCATTTCAGTTATACCAACTTTCTTTGCTTTATGAAAATATTTAGTTCAGCAAAGACTGCTATTCTATAACATTTTCCATTGTTTGTGTAAAGAACTATTCTGTCAATGTATTTGTATTGTTTGTGAGTATAAACTTTGTTCTGCTTCAATTCAAAGAGATATCCGAATACGTCCATCTTTTTATTCTAAGTAAAATGTCATTTCCGAAAAATAGAAGCGTAAGTGTTTCAAAAGGTTTAATGGCGGTGGCAGATGTGAAGTTAAATTCACCAACTCAAACAAACAGTCAAAGTGTTATTGTCAATGTCAAAGACAGAGATGTTGAAGTGGGGAAACCATACGAAGACGAAGATGGTATAACAATGTTCCTGTAAAAGAACAACCAACATATCCTGAAGTTAAACAGAGACTTAAGTTTCTGTTGCAGATATTCGAAACGACTACCAACAACTGAAAGACAAACTTCAAACTCAGGAGAAGATTTGTCAAGCTTTAGTATAATGTTAAACTTGGTCGAACACAACCCTGTAAAAGTGAACTCATATGTCATTGCACCTCATGAAGTTTTGAAAGAACTATTGAAACTTTTGACAGAGGCAGACGATATAAACATCAAAGAAATAGAACCCGACATTAGTGCTGTGGTGTTTCATATAATGCCATTGACAAGATATACGTTATGAAAGGAGGTGAAACGTTGAACTTAAAATATAGTTTCCAGACGTTATAAAAATATTGACGACCACAACATTTCATTAAAATTTATTTGCTAAGTAAATGGCAGAAGACATAATGGTTTATACTATTACGACTAAAAACCCTGAGTCATATAATTCTATAACAACAAACTTACAAAGTCCTCAAGGACGATATTGTAAAACTAACCTTAAACACAATGACGACTAAAGCCTGTTTTGCTCTTTTGACACCAGAAGACTTTATTGTTGTGAATGGTAAAAAATACTCCTTTGAAGATACTTACTCAGATATACCACCAATAGGTTTTGTTGACTTATTTAATACTTTAAGTACGGGTGTAACATGTGCTGCAACTAGAGCAGGTTTCATTATGTTTGGATGTCCGACTGATTTACTATAAACGATATGAGCTATAATACAAAACTTATTTCTGGTTTTTACTACCAACAGTTTCCTATAACAGGAAAAGGTGTCATACAAGGAATGTCTATTCCATTGACATTAAGCACACCAATCTTATATATTGTTTCAAACTTAGGTTCAAAGTGTTATTCGAATGTCGACAGAAACTATTATGACCAAAAGATACTTATGCGTATAAACAATACTTTCTCTGCTGGTTTGCCTATTGTTCATTCGAATGCAGAATTTTCAACCTTAGTGAACTCAAACACTTTGGCAAGTATAACGTTGACATTAGTTGACGCAAACTTTGTTCCTGTAAAACTTTTATGTCCTATGTATTTGTCAATGACGGCAGAAAGTTTCGAATTGGAAGATGCAACTGGTGAAAGTATTGTATTACAAGAACAACTTCAACAACAAATAGCTCAAGAACAACAAATGCAACAAATGGAACAACAAAGTCAAGAATAAAAAAATAATATTTTTTTATTTTTATAAAAATGTACAGAATAGATGTTTCAGATTTTTATGACTTCCAAGCATTCAGAAATATGTGTCCATTTCGAGACTATAACAAAGCAGTCGAGAATTTGAAACGTTTAGTCATTTATGTCGACTCTGCCCCAGAATGTTATGTCATGAAAGAATGGGATGTAGTCTTTAACAAACCTAAAGCGACAATAGTTTCAGAACAAGAATGTAGACAGAAACTTAAGAAAATAAAAGTCGTACAAGTTGGCATGAAGATGTTAGATGCTTGGGATATCTTATTGTCAAAGTTAGAAGATTTTTCAGTTCGAGGTATAAAGTTCTATACACCTTCTCCAAACTTCTATTCTATCTTCACTGGATATAAATATGAACAAGTAGAATGGAAAGAAAATATTATAGAAGCTTGGTTAGACCATGTCAAAGAAATTATATGCAATGGAAACGAAAAGGTTTATGAGTATATCTTATGTTGGTTTGCAAACATCTTACAACATCCAAGTGCTAAAAATGAAACTGCTCTCATTATAATTGGAAAACAAGGAACTGGTAAGAACACATTCTTTACAGATATTTTGTGCAAACTGTTAGAAGGTTATTCGAATCCGAATATGACAAACTTAGAAAACATCTGTGGCAAGTTTAACTCCTCAATAGAGAATATGAAACTTATAGTTTGCAATGAACTTCAAAGTATAGATACAACAAAAGTTTTGAACTCAGATGCTTTGAAGAGTCTTATAACAGATAAAGTTGGAGTTGTTGAAAGAAAGTATAAAGACCAAAGAGTTTGTGAAAATGTTGCAAACTTCATTATGGTTTCAAACAATGCTGTTCCGATGAAGTTAGAAAGTTCTGACAGAAGATATGTAGTTGTCAGAACGTCAGATTCTCATATGCAAGATACAGAATATTTTGACGACTTAGCAGAAACTTTGACATCTGACTTTTACAACCACTTGTTCTCATATTTTATGACATTAGATATTTCTAAGTTCAATCCAAGACAAATTCCACATACCGAAGAGAGACAAACATTGTTAGAAGCAAACAAGAGTGTATATGAACTGTTCATAGATGAAACTGACTTTGTGTCATTAGATGAAAGGTCATTGTACGATTCGTATAAACAATATTGTCAAGAATATGGTTATATGACAGCGTCTAAACGAACATTCTTGGCAAATGTCAAAAGTCTTTTAGATGTTCAGAATGGTGTATATACAAAGAAAATTTTTTCTGAGTAAATTTTAAAAAAAAATATTTTTTTATCCGATAGAAAAGATGACAAAATTCATCTCAGTAAACAAGTACATGTCAGGACTTAAAGAAGAACTAGACCCATTCACATATTTGAATGTTTACTTCTACCATTTTGAAAAGTCTTCATTCAGCAAAGTTTGGAACATCGAACCAGTTAAGTTTGCTATTGTGACTAAAAATGGTGCGAAATTTGAAGACTTAGACATAGAAGGTTTGTTAACAGTCAAAGAAAGTTTTGACAGAAGGTTCTCAAACCTTAAAGAAGGCAAAGCATACAAACTTGTTATACCTTATGAACCAAAGAAAGCAGACGACTATGAATATTATGAGTCTAAGATAGTTGAAGTTCAAGGTAAATTGGGTAAAAAGATTTTAGAGTCTAAGCCAGTGTTTGCCCCTAAAGAGGAAGAGAACATTGACATTGACCCAGAAATGTTCTAAAAATAAAATTTTATTTTTACATGTCAAATTTCTTTTTCTCTGGAACTGGTTCAGGTTCTTTCTTCTCTTCTTCTACTTTCTTTTCTTTCTTTTCTCTCTTCTTCTTTTCTGGTGGAGTTATGTCAAATTTCTCAGAACCATATTTATGTAAAAGTTCTTTGTCCTTTAATAGCTCATCTATTCTGTTTTCTATTTCATCTTCAAGAACAGCGCATGTGTCTTCTTTGCATTCTAAGAAGTTTTGTTGGACTTCATCTCTCCAAGAGGCGTCATCTCTGTCAACAAGTCTGTCATTGACAAATTTTAAGACTGCTCTGCTTAATGTTTTATGGTTCTTGTCATATTCCCAGAAACAGAACTTTAGAACAAATTCACCTTTCTTGTTTACACTATGTAAGATTTTATGGTCGACAGATGTTTTGCTGTCGAAAAGCTTGTCTCGAATATAGATAGCGAAATCGCTAGACATTTTCTAAAAGATAAAAATTTTAATTTTTCTAAAAATATGTTAGAAAAAAAGTTTGCTGACATTGACAAGAAATTTGAGAATGTTTTAAATAAGAACAAGAGAAAGTTAGAAAATACTCAGATAAAGCCTATACATGAAAAGTTCTTATTTGCTCAGAATGGTATAACAGGTCTAATTGCACCACCTGGGTCGGGTAAGACTTTCACTTATCTTAAAATGGCTGCACAACAACAAGAACTAGATGAGAAGAACCCATTCTATGAGTTAGTTGTTATTTGTAGTACTTCTGGTCAATTTGACCAAACCGTCAATTCGTTCAAAGATATTATAAAGAAGTCTAAGTTAGTATGTATAAAGGATACTGAGTTGTTAGATTGGATAAAGAAGTACCAAAGAAGAGTTTTGAAGTATAATGCTATAAATGAGTATATAAATTCTAAGTTTAAAGACCCTAATGAGGAAATGCAGAGAATATTAGAGAAGAAACACTTCAGAAACAAACAGAAAGAGATAGAATACATTTCGAAGAAATTGCAATCTTACGATTGGAAGACATACCCTCATAGATGTCTTCTTATCTTAGATGACTTTGCTTCTCATCCTTTGTTAAAGAACAGAGAACAAGACATGTGTCGAATTCTTAAGAAGCTCAGACACTTTAACATCTCAGTCGTAATATGTGTACAGACAGCAAAGAGTTTAAGTAAGGATGTTAAAAGAATACTTACTGACATTATACTTTTCCCCGGATTGTCCGAAGACGATTTCATGGAACTTATGAAAGAGTCCATGGCAGGTAAGTTTGACAGATATGAACTATGGGAGAAGTACAAAGTCATACAAGACCCTCATACTTCTTTCAGAATTCATATCTACGCAAACAAAGTTCAAATTGTAAAAAGTCAATAAAAATAAAGAGTTCATCTACCCTACTTGTTTGAAGTTGTCAAAATACTCTGTTATTTTTTCTTTCAGTAGCGGTAAGTCTTCTTTGAATGTAAGTATTGTACAACCTTTCATATCATAGTGTGTTTGAGGTAACGTATCTTGAACTATTTGTTTCACATCTTCATAGAGTTTTGGCGACTGAGGTTTTTTACTTACTCGCTGTTCTTCACTGTTTTCATAGAGTTTTGGCGACTGAGGTTTTTTACTTACTCGCTGTTCTTCACTGTTTTCATAGAGTTTTGGCGACCCAGATAAAAGTCGGTCTCGCTGTTCTTCTCTCGGTTTTCCGAGGGAAGCAAGCATATGCCATTTTACTCAGATTTTTGGTCATTTTTCAGTAAAAATAATGTTTAGGGTAGAAGGTTAGATCTAACCTGTTTTCTCACCTCATGAATTTTCATGATTTCATCGTATATGTTTTGTCAAGACTTCTTCGTACATGTTTTGTCAAACATGAACGTACATGTTTTGTCAAACATGAACGTACATGTTTTGTCAAGACTTCTTCATCGTAATGAGCGTAAATCAGACAAAAATAATGTTTAGGGTAGAAGGTTAGATCTAACCTGTTTTCTCACCTCATGAATTTTCATGATTTCATCGTAAATGTTTTGTCAAAACTTCTTCGTAAATGTTTTGTCAAGACTTCTTCGTAATGAGCGTAAATCAGACAAAAATAATGTTTAGGTGAAGTGGTGAGATCTCACCTGTTTTCTAACCTGTTTTCTCACCTCATGAATTTTCATGATTTCATCGTAAATGTTTTGTCAAAACTTCTTCGTACATGTTTTGTCAAACATGAACGTACATGTTTTGTCAAGACTTTTTCGTAATGAGCGTAAATCAGACAAAAATAATGTTTAGGGTAGAAGGTTAGATCTCACCTGTTTTCTAACCTCTTTTCTCACCTCATGAATTTTCATGATTTCATCGTACATGTTTTGTCAAGACTTCTTCGTAATGAGCGTAAATCAGACAAAAATAATGTTTAGGGTAGAAGGTTAGATCTAACCTGTTTTCTAACCTCTTTTCTACCCCAGTTATTTTATAAGCGTTTTACATGGTAAACGTTCTGAATTCGTGAGACTCTAAACAATTTCGTAGCTTCTATTTCTTCTGTCAGTATGTCAAAAGTTTTAACGATACCGAAAGTTTCTTTATACTTCTTCTTGACGTCAGATAGAAGGAAATCTTCTGCTGTTGGATAGTTTTTGTTCAGAAATTCTAACATGTCCATTTTATCTTCTACCGGCTTCTCTGCTTCTTTCTTTAAGTCTGCATAGTCGTTTCTCATTCTTTCTATCTCTTTGACTGAGTAGTTATATTTCCTCATTGCTGCTTTACATTTAGAACATTGCGGGTTCATTTTTGCGTTATATTCTGAAACCTTACCTGCTAAAACAACTAAGGCGTCAATTGCTCTCTTCATCTCAAACATAGCGGGTCTTATTTGTTCGTTCCATACTTTGCCTCTTCTATCTTTATCTCTTATTTCCCAAACACATTCAGCAACTAACGAAACAAAGTTGTCGTAGGTCTTAAATTCTTCAGATTTATATATGTCAGAAACATTCTTATATACCATGTCGCAATCTTTGTCCATAACTTTATGGTTGCAATGAAAACCAAGGAATTCATAATTTACCTTACGTATGAACTTCTTTATTTCTACTGAGTCAGTTGGTTTCACTTCAATTTCGTCGAATTCAGGAATAGTGAGTTTTTGTTGTTGGATTTCAGGTAGTTTAGGCAAATGGTCAATAATGTCCTGCATTTCATAAAGATATTCTTCATTTTCTTCATCTTTCGCACTACAGTCTAAATTACTTGTTAAAAGTTCTTGCTTTATCTTCTGGATTTTTGTTTCGAAAGTATATGAAGAAGGAATGAAGTTTTTCATCTCTACCAACATTGACGTAGGATTCATAACTAACGAGTTAGGTGCTGTTGTTGTTTGAACTGTTGTTGTGCCGATTGTTGAAATCATATCTTTACATACAAAATAAAAAAAATAAATAAAAATAAAGTTAGTTTTATTTTTTATTTCGGGGAAATTCATGAAAATTCATGAGGGTAGAAAAGAGGGTAGAAATGAGGTTAGATCTAACCATCTACCCGACATTCTCGTCAAATACAAAAAAATGAAAAAAATGACACTTTTTCATTAGATAACTGTTATTTTTTGACGAAGTGAAGAGTAACACTTCGTCAAAAAAATCTCTGAAATCATATCTTACATACAAAAAAATACAAAAAAATAAATAAAATAAAACTAACTTTATTTTTTCTATTTTTCACAAAAGACCAAAAATAAACGCTTTACATGTATTTTTCAGCAACTTCGTCAAATAATTTTATAGCTTTATCTATCTCATCTACTTCAAACGTTTCTTTACCTTTTATGGGAGCACCATACATTTTCTCAAACTTTTCAAGTAGTTCTGTTTCTGCAGCTCTCATATCATTAGCAAACACAACCTTGACTCTATTGACTGTACTGTCATATCTTTGAGTTATATTATATGTTCTTCCTATCTTATATCTCTTTGTATTGAAGTCCTTCGGTTTCTGAACGATGTAAAGTAAGCCTTCACTGCAACGTTCCGTATCGAATGAACCATATGTTATGAAGTTATATCCAACAACTGGGTCTAACCATAACAAAACTATTGGTATAAGACTTTTGTCTATAAGATATGCTCTTGTTCCATGAAATGCTACTGATATCATAAGCTCAGGATTTCTTGTCAAAATTTTCTGAGTAGAAGCAATTCTAACCCAGTCCTTCGGTCTCTTTCCAGATGGAGATAAAATGTCTGACAAAGAATATTTGTTGTATTTCTTTGAGTATCTTACGTTTAAATCACCTATTCTAACCAATTTGGTGTCATTGTCTATCTTTTTAACTGTTTCAAACTCAATGTTTGACATATATGTCTTTACATACAAAATAAAAAAATAAATAAAAATAAAACTAATTTTATTTTTTCTATCTTAAGGAAATTCATGAAAATTCATGAGGTGAGAAAAGAGGTGAGAAAACAGGTGAGATCTCACCACTTCACCTAAAATATATTTTTGTCTGATTTACGCTCATTACGATGAAGAAGTCTTGACAAAACATTTACGAAGAAGTTTTGACAAAACATTTACGTTCATGTTTGACAAAGCATATACGTTCATTACGAAGAAGTTTTGACAAAACATATACACTCATTACGAAGAAGTTTTGACAAAACATTTACGTTCATGTTTGACAAAACATGTACGATGAAATCATGAAAATTCAAGAGGGTAGAAAACAGGTGAGAAAACAGGTTAGATCTAACCTTCTACCCTAAACATTATTTTTGGTGTAAATTTCCTAAACTGACTGACTGACTGACTGACGGCACAAAGTGGCATAACGAAAACATTAATATATAAAATTCATGAAAATTCAAGAGGTTAGAAATGAGGTTAGAAAACAGGTTAGATCTCACCACTTCACCTAAAATATATTTTTACTGAATTTAGCAACAAAATGAACGAGGTCAGGATGTATGTTGCTGAATTCATTCATAACACCCTTTGTAAGCTCATAAAATGCTTGTTTTGAGGTCGAGCCACATTTGGCTCCACCGTATTCTTTCAACCAAAACTCAAGAATTTCCCGCATGAATTTTGTATAAAAAGCAACCGTCTGAATTCCGGCGGTTGCTATATTCTTCACAAAACATTTACGTTTAGTTTACGAAGAAGTCATGACAAATTCAAGAGGTGAGAAAAGAGGTTAGATCTAACCTCTTCACCTAAATTATATTTTTTGGTCCGGGAACAACTTTCTCTCAATTGGAGCTGTAGCATACTCTTTGCGTAAGCGGTTCAGACCTTCTTCGAACTCTTGGTCTCTCTTCGATTTGGATTGAGATTGGAATTGCTGGGGTGGAGCTTGCTGGAACATCCAAGGGTTGGGAAAGTAAGGCATAGGCTGAGGAGGGTAGTTCGGGAAGCCTTGTGGTGGGTAGTAACCTTGAGGTGGAAATTGGTAGAAATTCGGAGGTACTTGCTGGAACTGAGGTTGCTGAGGGGACTGTTATGGTTCAGACCTTCTTCGAACTCTTGGTCTCTCTTCGATTTGGATTGAGATTGGAATTGCTGGAACAACCAAGGGTTGGGGCAGTAAGGCATAGGCTGAGGAGGGTAGTTCGGGAAGCCTTGTGGTGGGTAGTAACCTTGAGGTGGAAATTGGTAGAAATTCGGAGGTACTTGCTGGAACTGAGGTTGCTGAGGGGACTGTTATGGTTCAGACCTTCTTCGAACTCTTGGTCTCTCTTCGATTTGGATTGAGATTGGAATTGCTGGAACAACCAAGGGTTGGTGGGACGTGGGACATTCGTTTGTGGCTTAACCGTCGGACCACCAACGATAAAAATCTCTGCTACTAGCAGTACTTTTACTGACAGTAGCAGTACTTTTACTGACAGTAGCAGTACTTTTTCTGACAGTAGCAGTACTTTTACTGACAGTAGCAGTACTTTTACTGACAGTAGCAGTACTTTATCGTCGAAAACCCTCTCAAATTTTCCTTTTTACTGACAGTAGCAGTACTTTTACTGACAGTAGCAGTACTTTTACTGACAGTAGCAGTACTTTTACTGACAGTAGCAGTACTTTTTCTGACAGTAGCAGTACTTTTACTGACAGTAGCAATGGACAACATCGAGCCATTAGATGAGGCAATTTACCTAATTTAAATTAACGAGCTTGTTAAAGACTACTTGCGCAAGGTCATGAAGCCCAAGGTCAAGTTCACCACTATTTCTGGAAGGGCTGCCTTGAATCTCGAGATTTCGACTGGAATTCCAATTGACGTACCAGAAGGCACTCCTTTCGACGACATAAAGCAAGCAAAGAAGGAAGCCATTATAAAGTTCTTTGCCAAGCGTCCTTGGATACTACTTCCAAACAGAGAGAGTCCAATTCCACGAATTATACAAATTCTCAAGGGTCTCCTTCACTTCTCGGGTCAACCATTCTACATAACTACAGAAGGCGACATCCAACCAGTTCAGTAAACATCTCATTTTAACTCACTTTTTTTATGTTTTTTGTGAAAGTGTCAAAAATAAATTGTTTTCATGAGTTTTCTACGATGTTAGAAAAGTGGTTAGAAAACGTGTTAGATCTAACATGCTAACATAAACATTATTTTTCAATACTTTTTCAGCACTTTTCCGTAGTTATATATGAAAGACAATTCGAGATAAAAGTCATAGTACAATGGAATAATATGTTGCACACCATTTGTTGTGAACCAAACTTGAAAGTCAGAGAAACTGTTACTAGGTGGTTCGTAGAATTTAGAAGCAAAGTCATAAAAGTCCTTACCAATACATAGAAAACTATTGTTGCTTGAACTGAAACTTGCATGACACATAACATTTTGAGGGTCAAACACGTTTCTATAAACTGTCAAATCTGCTGGTGGAAGTATAAATTGAAATGGACCATCTGGTGGTAATGGTTCGTTCTGGTTTAGTAACCGAAGAAATTGTGCCCAAGAACGTTTGTCTACTTTCCAAAATAAAAACTCTGTATCTCTTGGAGGGTTAATTTCAATCTTTTGAAATGAAACGGTGGAGTTCATCTTGTCATATTCTAGTTTCAGATAGTATGTTCCATTTAGTAAAGAGTCGTATTTTTCTTGAAATTCCCAATAATATTTGTTCATTTGAGTTTGAAAGTCATTTAGAGTTTTCTCAAGACTTTCGTCTGAACGAACTGTAAAGATTCTCATTTCATCAAATTTGTCTATTAGACCATCAGAACCTTTATACTGCCCATGAAAATATACTGCGAACATAAATGCGTTAGTTCTATTTGAAAACAAAACTCTTCTAAATGCTATTGCCTTTGCATCTGAAGGACTTTGAAGCCAACGAATTGGATAGTCAAACCTGTATGCTCGGGATGAAATTTCTTCATCTGAAATAGTCCTACCAGCATTTGTAAAGATATAGTCTAACGGTTTTGTATCTGCTACTTTTGTTCTTTGTTTTGCAACCTGAAGCATTTAATATATGTAAAAATATATTGTTTTAAAATGGTATGCCATTTCATATTTCTCATCTAACAAACAAGTTTCCCAACGGTCTTCTCCAACAAACTCAGCGTACATTTCAAATAAAATAAAAAAATGTCACTTTTTAAAAATAAATTTTTTATTTCATGCAATGTTTAACACATCGAAAGGCATGTTCATAAGACGTTCTTCTTCTAACCTCTCTAGTCTGTTTGGATAATTGGCACGTGCTGTTTCCAAATCCATTTCGTAGCGAAGACCAGACAATTTGTCATAGACTTTTATGGGTCTTCCCTTCCTATATTTAAACTTCTTCGAAACTCTCCAACCATATCTTTGCAACTCTGCTTTTATTCTAGCAGATTTTCTATCCATTCTATATGGGGGCATTTTTATAAAAATAAAAAAATATTTTTTTCTTTACTTTACATAACCGCCTGCTGCCATAAGTCTTTGACGCCAACCCATACCAGCTAATGAAGGTTGACTTGGTTTAGTTTCCAAACTAAACTTTGGTTTTGGTTTATCTTCAGTTTTTGGTTTTTCTTCTTCTATCGGTTTTTCGTCACTTTTCGGTTCCTCTGACTTTACCTCACCTGCAGGAACAGTTGTGTCGTCAACATCTTCATAAATATCATATGCCATTTGTTTTTGTTTTCCTTTCAACTTTTTGTGTTTGTTGTAAAGTTTAGAATATTTCGACTCTAAGTCAATGAGATGTTCTATAATGAACTGTTGGTCAGTGAAGTAAACTTTTCCATCTGTTGTCTCGAAAGCTCCTTCAGACTTCAATATTTTATTTGTGAGAGTCTGTTTCTTTTTTGAGATACTAGCCGTTCCATTTTTATGAAAAGTGACTTTGTAGTTAGGGTTTGTATTTCCAGACCTGGCACTTTCTATTATTGAATTTTTCTCTTCATCTGTAAGTTCTTTGACAGGTTTTGACAATGGTTCTGAACTTTTTGTTTGTGGTGTCAAATCTACCGTTTCAACTTCTTCGGTCATTTCATCTCAGTAAAAAATTTTAGTTTGGTTTGTTTTCAACTGGTTGTTTAGGTTTTTTAAGTCGGTCTAAAACTTCCTGAGGTATAGGAAGAACTGACAAACACGTGGTGTAACTGCTGGAAGCCGACAAATCCATCTTGAACCCATTTTGTCTCAATGCTGTATTGTTCATTTCATCTCAATAAAAAACTTTACATTCCCCACGTCGTTTTGAGGCGGTTGAGGTTGGTTATTGTTTTACCCACTGTTGTGCATGGTTATATCCTCTGTTAAAGAATCTTTCACCTTGGTCCATATAGTGTCCTGCTTGGTTATAGTAGTCATTTGCTTTGTTATAATAGTTTCCTGCTTGTCTTCCTACATTGTCCATCCATCCTTGAACTTTTCCTCTTGTTTCAGGATTTGGAATAAGATTTGTTCATCTCCTACATCCCAACCTTTCTGTACAGTTTGTATAATAGGTTGTGCTTTCTCTTTAAGTATACCTAATGTACTCAAAATCTCCTTCCTTCCAACTCCAAATACACCTCTGGCTATTGTTCCCACTGCGGGCAAAAATCTGGATGCAACTCCTGCCTAATGCGCCAAATAAACCCATTTCTTATGGGTTAAAAAATGACGAATCCAAACAAGGACCCCTATGTTTCTAAAGCGACAAAGAAAGCACTCATGATAAAAATCTTTAGTTCAACACCAAATGCTTGGTTTATGGATATCTTGAGAAAACATTCCGAGGTATAGAGAAGATGGACCACCATACTGGTTAATATTTGTTGGTCAAAACACAAGATACTGTGAAGCCATACATTATGGTCCAAAAATATTTTAGATGTGAAAACTGCTTTGACAATATTCGTTGACAAATACCATCCAACAAAACTGACATCTGACTGTGAAAGTTCTTTCAAATCAGATGATGTAAAAAACTATCTGCGTTCAAAAATGTAAACCAATATTTCATTGTCGACCAAAACCATTCTGCTCTTGGTGTCATTGACGGTTGTATAAAAATGTTAAGAAGACTTAAACCAACCACAAGGTGGTGAAGCAAATGAAATGTCATATGACGACAAATATAGACACTTCTCCATGGCAAAGATGAGACAAGTTTTAAATATTTACAATAACCGTAAACAAAAAGGTTTGGGAAACCACTCCCCCGAAGAAATGAAAAACACCCTGACTTAGAGAAAGACTATATATTTAATAATTTAGTCAAAAGAGACAAACAAGAAAGAATGCCGGGCTTCAAACTTCAGAAAGGTGACAAAGTAAAAATAGAAATACCTAAACGCGACCCATATGAAAATACTATTGACTATGACAAACAATGGGAACCCGATAGGTACTCACATTCGTGTTCGTAAAAATAGAAGAAAAGTATACAAGAGAATATTATGAAGTTTTAGGCAAACATGGCAAAATGTACACACTGCAAGCAGAAGATAAAACTACTATTGCCAGACCTCGTTTCAAACTTGTCAAAGTTCAAGGTGGTATACTTTCAAAGACAGTTCCTAACAAATATAAGACAACTCCTGACGAATATGCTAAAGAAGTTGAAAATGACGACTAAGCAATTCTATATACCATGCGTAAACTGTCATGTAAGGTGGCATGTATTCTTTACTTTGTCCCGTTGTTTGTGTATATCCTGAAACGAAAATGTGTATGGTTTCCTTCTCCCTGAGTGTCACTCCAGTACAATTTATGGCAAACTTAACATCGTCTTTAACATCATATCCTTTACCTTTTGTCATTCCTGACCAATCCCAATATCTATGCTTATGCCAACCTGCTTGAGATGTGCTTAAATCTATGTAGTGACTATGTGCAGGTAAATTTTCACCTGAAATCGTTTTACTTCCCCTGTTTCCTTTGAAGAGTTTGCACAATACAAAAACCTGTCGACTATTTGTTCCCATGCACCAACACCAAACATTACTTGAGGACCTCTTGCTTCCATAGATGTATAAATAGAACCTACTGGGTTCATTAAATCAAACATATGAGATATTATAGGATTGTCTCTTTTGAACTTAAAATATAGTGCAACTATTTCAGGTTTCTTCTGGTTTGTGTCAGAATATTTTTTATAATATAATCTTATGTTTTCAGGTAGGTAAAATCTTGACTATAATATTTATTTCTGTCATCTGTATAATAATATACTATTCTCGTTTTTTCTATTGCATTATATCTTTTATATCTATAATAATCTAAATATAATGTTAGCTTTTGTTCATCTACATGTGGTGTTCTGTCGTCATCTCCATAGTCATAATATATGTGGTGCTGGAGCTGGGTCAGCCAACATCATACCTGCCATTTCATAAACTCTTAAATATTTCTTTTGTTCGTCTCCATATAAGTTTAAGTAGCAGTTGTTGTCTAATGGAACTTTAACTTGTGTTCCATTATTCTTTATATAGCCTACATACATTTCATTGTTATTTTTCGGAATGAGTTTATACCGTATACCATTTTTTAAGGAGTGTACAAACTCCCATCTAAAATATTTGTTTTCTTCATAGACAGAAACATCCCCAACAATAGTTTCAATATTTTTTGTTGTTCCTATCAAACTTTGGTATATTTCATTCACATATTCCTTATCTGCTTTATTTTCAAGGCTAACGTTTAAGTCTGTTATTTCAGAAGATGTATGTGTATGTCCAACGGCACTTTTCCTGTTTAAGGTTTCTTGTAAGTTTGTAATATTTGCAATGGTATGTGTATGTCCAACGTCACTTTTCCTGTTTAAGGTTTCTTGTAAGTTTGTAATATCAGATATAGAATGTGTATGTCCAACGGCACTTTTCCTGTTTAAGGTTTCTTGTAAGTTTGTAATATTTGCAATGGTATGTGTATGTCCAACGTCACTTTTCCTGTTTAAGGTTTCTTGTAAGTTTGTAATATCAGATATAGAATGTGTATGAGTCTTATCTGCTTTTGTCTCTAATGTTTCCTTAAGACTTGGTATTTGGTTAATATAATGTATATGAGTCTTTTTAGAATATTCGTTTTCAGCTCTTGTCACTTCACTTGACATTTTATTGTCAACATATGTTTTGTCTGCTAGTTCAGGATGAGTATGTTCTTTTGTTGCATAAGCATTGTTAGCTCTTTCTGCTTCTTTTGCTATTGCATCGTCTACATATTCTTTGTCAGCTTTGTTGTCAACATCTGCTTTCAAAAGAAGTTCATTTATAGGTTTCTCGTTTAAAGTTCCTTTTGTTGGATTTATACAGACAGTATTGTTCTTCTTGTCTTGAAACAGAAACTCATCTGTCATTGGGTTTAAGGTCAGTTTTAAGTTTCCTTCTTTCAATGACTCAGATATCTTAGAATAGTTTGAAAAGTTTGTTGTGTTCTTATTTAGAGCTTGCATAATGAGTTGTCGGTTGTGTTGTATTTCTCTCATGGAAGCAATATCTTTCGACATTTTTATTATAGATAAAATATGCTTCCAATAGAAAAAGAAAATTCAAGAGTTGCTACAACTAAACCATTAGATGAACTTTTTACTAATGTCGGTCAAAAGTTTGAGACAGAGACCGTAAAGCATGAAGGCTATCGTTTTGACTACCCATTAAGATGGCTAAGAGACCCATCTGTCACAAAAGCTATTGGCTTTCGTAGAATGAAGTTCATTTCAGAAGCCATACATGGTTTCCCATTTACGGTCGGTTTTGAAGTTCGATACTATAACAAAGAAAAACGTATGTATGAGAAATTTGAACAGGGAAAACTTTTACAAGTTAGTTTGCTTGTAAACTTAGAAACAACTCTTCAAGCTTTTCAAGAAAAAAATAAACGATATCTATATCGAATATGCAAACCAGTATAACATTGACGAAGGAGAATACCATCTCGATATTATTTATGACAGGAAAAATGCAACTGTTAAAATCAATAAAATAGAAGACCTTGGAGAAAACGTTTATATTTCTACAAAATATAACAACTTGGCATGGTATAGATTTATGAGGATGTTAAATCAGCCTGCAGCATATCCAGTACACCCGGACTATTATGAAGTCGAAAACCCTAATGGAACATATGAAAATGTTTTCGACCCAGCTGCTATTATTGTTCATGCTTCATTTTCTGGCGCCCAAAACTCTTTCTTATGCTTGGCAAATGACTTTTACGAAAAACCTACAAAGTTATACGAACCACCAAGTGGAAGTATTTCAGACTTTCAAGTATGGTTTACTACAGATGGAAGAAAAAGAATAATTCCATTATACCATGCGTTTTACTTAGAACTTAGTTTCATATACAACTACTATCGAACGGTAAAAATATAATTTTTTAATACGGTTGAGGTGTTGGATTTGGTTGCCAACTAGACTGTGGTGCAGGTTCAGGCTGTTGTATAACAGGAGCTTGTTCTTCTGGTTCAGGGTCTTTAGGTATAATACCAACAAACTGACCTACTCTTTTACCAATATTTTTGACTCCGTTCCAAATTCCTTTTCCTACGGTTTTTATTCCATTCCATATACCTCTTCCAACTCTTCTGAAGAAGTTTCCAATACTACTGAAGAAACCCATTTTACTATATGTAAAAATCTAATGTCCGCCTAGTCTCTTACGTTTCCTGTTGAGTTCCATAGCATTCTTTAACTGGAGCTCATACATTCTGTTTCTCCTCTGGTAGAAAACATATTCTGGGTCAACTCCTGTGTTCGCGTCATCTGCATAAAGTTGTTTATATCCCACTTCAGGGTTTGTATAAAACTCTTTCCATCTCATATTTGCATACCATGGTGGCAAACCTAACGCAGCGTCATTTGACATGGCAGTTTGCATTTGTACATCTGTTGGCACTTGACCATAGTTTGCCATTGCAGTTTGTATTCTAACTTCATTTGGAATATTCTCTGGGTTTGGTTGTCCAGGTTGCTGTGCATTCGCTAAGTTCTGTGCGTCCATTTAATATTAGATAAAAATATCTCTTACGAGTACATATACTGAACATTTGCAGGCATTGGTTCATCTTCATATTCTCTATATCTTTCTGCCACGTCAAATAAATAAATGACACAATGGAAAAAACCTAAAACAAGTAGTCCTATTTCAAACCACATTTACTTACTAATAAAATTTCTTTATTGTGACACTTTCTCCGGTTTATAGGACCTCTCTCATATTCTATCTTGTCATATCTAAACTCATAGTCATGTATGTCCTCTAACCATCTCATAACGGTTTCCAAACCACTTTTATCGGATGTAAAGTAAAAGCATGGACAGTTATGTATAACGTCTAAAGTTTCTAAAGAGTCTCTCAAAGTCCAGTCTACTTGGTATTGAAAATCCCATGTGTTATAGAACGGCGGGTCCACTATAAAGAAAACATTTTCCTTGTCTTTATATTTTTCATACAACTCTGTCCAATGACATCTCACAAACTCTATACCCTCAATATATTTTTCTATGTCCTCTTTGAAAACATTTGTATAGTTAAGATATAAAACTTTTGACATAAGTGTTTCAATGTCATGAACTCTTATAGCACCACTATATAATAGTCTAGCAGATATACTATCCCAGTCTATATATTCTGCTTTTTTCAAAACCTCTCTCACAATATTTTTCTTATCTAATGGTATACGTTCCATCTTACCTATAGGTATCTTTTCTTTTAACTCTTTCAATATATTGTTTGTGTCTGGAATATGTTTGAGACGGTTCATATAGTTGTCGAAGTCATTGCATATAATCTTTGAGTCTGGGAATATTGTATGACATAAATGGGATATATAGAAACTTCCACCGAACAAATCTACAAATGTTAGACCATTCGGTAGTTTCTTAAGTTCTCTCAATATAATATCTTTACATCTACTCTTATTTCCAAAGAACGGTAACGGTGGTTTTGTAAAATTCATTTATATATAATAATAAAAATGTTTTTACCCGAAAAGTGACAGAAAAGTGACAAAGCATGAAAACATATATAATTTGTGAAAAGCGACACAAAAGTGACATTTTTAAAAGTGACATCATTAATATGATGTAAATAGCAACGGTTTTGGTTTTGTCACCGGCTGGTCGGCTGGGGTTCGGTCCTCCTCTTGGGTCTTGGGCAAAATTCTTAGGGCTAGAAGGGGCGCAGCCCCTGGAAGCCCTCCAAATATAAACTTCATTTATACTAAACATCTTCAGGGCTAGAAGGGGCGCAGCCCCTGGAAGCCCCTCATACCTGACCTAATTATAGATACATTTTTAATAAATGCATTAACTTGTGAAGGTGGTTTAAAAATTTCACTCAAATAAATTTCAAATGCAATAATATTCTTTGAAATTTTGTAGACTTGCTTAATTGTCACTAATCATATACACATATAACTTATTGCAATGGCAGTGACATCCACGTAATTAGATTTTGTAGTGATTTTCATATCCTCAGAATTTTTTGACTCTATACAACAAGGTTTTCTGAATACAGTTCAGAAATATATTTTGGATTATTATGGAACATATGTTACTTCAAATTACTCTGGATATTGCAAATTTAAACACTATTTAATTTGAATATACGGAAAAAAGCACATACAATTAATTCTATGAGTTCCTCTCAATTTAAAAGCCAGACCATATACAGCCTTATATTTATCTTTTAGCAAATAAATGTTAAAAAATAAATGAGTAAGTCATATTGAATCAAATTATAGAAATCTTGACTTTTCCTACGAGCAGAAATCAGGAACCCCTTGGTGATCTATCAATTCCTAAATGAATATATTTTCAAATATCATTGGAATCAATCCATTATGATCAGATTATGGTGCCTAGAAAGCGAAATCTAGCAGTAATTCCGGATTATTAAGTTTTTGATAGCATTCTATATAACAAAATTTTGTAAGAATGAATTTAAAATGTTTAATTGTCAACAAGTGACCTCTGAAGATACTATGTAATGAAAAAACGATTTATAGAAGATGTAATTATTGAAAATAAGCCTTTTATAACATATTTCTACCTGATAGAACATCTCTAAAATTAAAATTCAAAATCAATAGAAAAACCGAAATATTTCATGAGGATAAAAAGATATTCATAGTATTTTTAAAAGATTTTATTTAGAAATATGAAGTCAACAAAAATGTAATCGCTCCAATCCCATATATGCAAGGTGTTTCAAAATCACGAGTGTCATCGTAAATCTCACATGAAAGAATAAGTCGTCGTGGAATACCAGATTCAACAATCATTCTTAGGTAGTCAAGTTTTGTATCCTCAATAATAAGAGGACAACATATAGAATGACATTCAACAAATGAATGGTATTCAACACTTCTGACAGAGAAAGGGAAGTTGATGTGTTGAAGATTCTTGCAGTTGTTGAATGAATATTTTTCTATTAGTGAAACACTTTTTGGAAGGATGCTGATATTATATATGTTGTTACATTCATTGAATGCATAACTACAGATAACACTGCAGTTGATAATAAGAGTTTTATCTAATGATCTATTAAGATGGAATACAAGATATTCTTTTGAGTTATCTATAGAATAAAGAGTATTATCAATCCATTTACATTTATCTGACTCAAAATTACTAATATTTTGTAGTGAAATACAGCCAGAAAATGAATTGTTTGATATCTTCTCAATTTCATTTCTTTCTGAGAATTTGATTGATTTGAGATTCATGCAGTTTAAGAATGAATATTCTGATAAAGTTACAACAGATGGCGGGATAATAATACTCTCCAGGGAATAACAATTTTCAAATGATTTATATCCGATAAATCTTGAATTTTCTAGAATATTGACATTGCTCAATTTTGAGCATCCACTAAAACAACAATCTGGAATGCTTAAAATATTTTTCACATTCTTTAATTTAATACAATTTTCAAATGCATTATTCATTACAACTAAATTAGTTGAATTAAAACTTATTGAAATCAAACTTTTGCAATCTTTAAATGATTCAATTCCAACCTTACTCAAACAAGAAGAAAATATCAATGAAGTTATACTTTGACAGTTTCTAAATGCGTAATTTTTTATCACCGAAAGTTGTGAATCTTTTTCAAATTCTATCTGAAAAAATGTTGAATTTTCGAATGCTCTTTCTTTTATAATTTTGACTGATTTAGGGATTCTAATTGAATTTACGTAGTCAAAACACCAGTATTCATATATAGGGTGTCCAAAGGTGCGTTTAGCACAGCGCTCTATATGAGACTATTAAAGGAGATATATGCTGATTATAAATATATAATAAAAAATATGAATATATGTATATGATGAGTATGTTGTATTTTGGCGCCATGCCGGGATATAAAATGAATTTTGAGACAAGAGGCGGTTTCGCGGGAAATTTTGGCGGGATTTTTTTCCTTTTTTTAATGAATCATAAAGAAAACATCCTCGCTCTTGCAAAAAAATGCAAAGACTGTAAAAAATCTACGAGACATTGGTAAAATGCTTCGGTATGGATGCTCCTAGCTATTCCACTGTAACGTATCATTTTAGGATGTATCACTTCATGAACAAAAAGGCGCCCATCATAAAAATTGACAAAAAATCGCCGGATCAAAGAAAAATCAAAGCAATTCTTCAAGCGCTAGATGAAGACCCAAGAGCATCACTCAGAAGGATAGAGGAGATGACAAAGATACCACATACAACAGTCAGTTATTATCTGCACAATTATTTGAACTACAAACTAGCGTATACACGTTGGGTTCCGCACAACCTTAATTCAGTTCAAAAAAAATCTAGAGTCCAATCTTCGAAAGAGCTCCTCTCTATATTGGGTGCGTATCAATCCAAGAAGTTTCGCTTTTTAGTAACAGGGGACGAGTCTTGGTTTCAATATGCAACAGAAGCCAAAATCATGTGGATCCCGAAGGATGAAAATCCGCAAACATTCCCGAAGAAAAAAATTGACACACCAATGATGATGTTGTCGGTTTTTTGGGGCGTGAATGGCATCATCGCAATTGATATTCTTCAAAAACCTAATACGATGAATGCTCAGTATCTAATTGACAATGTTCTTACTCAAATTATCAATTCTGATGAGTTTGAGAAATCCAAACAACAAAAACAAAAGTTTGCAATTCATTTTGATAATTCAAGAGTTCACAAAAGTCATAAGGTAATGAATTACTTGGTGGAAAACAATGTCAAAGTTGTTCCAAACCCAATTTATTCACCTGATATTGCACCCTCTGACTTTTATTTATTCGGCACGCTAAAAAAGAGAGCTGAAGGACGCGAATTCGCGAGTCCAGATGATCTTGAAAATTTTGTAAGAGAGCAATTTGAGCAATTTTCTCATGATGATTTAAAGCGTGTCTTTCAAGCCTGGATCGATCGCTGCGAACGCGTGATTGAATCCAATGGTGATTATATTTAAATAAACTTTATATATATGTAACTTGTTTATTTCTATTCGCAGTATTCAGGTTTGTGCTAAACACACCTTTGGACACCCTATATAATGGTCATATTTGAATTCATAATCAATAAATATTTGTTAATTATTAGATCAGATTCTTTCAGATATGAAATTGAAACTTTTGTATTCGTTGTAATGGTATTAGTAGAAAAAAATGTTTTATATGTAAATGACATTGTTAATTTAGGGGATGAATAAACCGGACATAAAGCGTAATTAATAATCATTGTTGAATTAGGAAAAATTATGAGTTCAAGATTTTTGCAATAATCAAATACTTGGTTACCAAGAAAATCAATATGTCCTAATAGTGTGACATTTATCAAATCATGACAAAAAATGAAAGCAGCACGTTCAATCCTTTTCACACTTTCTGGAATTATAATTGATACAAGTTTTGTTTCTGAAAATGAATCCTCTCCAATTGTTATGAGAGAACATGGAAATGCTATTGTTTTAAGATTTGAATTATAAAAACATCCATTTCCGATTGTTGTAACAGAATTTGGAATTTCTATTGATTTATAATTACATTGATAGAATAAATAATCTCCCAAAGTTGTGACACAATCCGGAATTTCATATGTTTCGATAGGTTTGCTACCAATAAAGAATAAAACACTTCTATTTGCAGAAAAAACAGTATTGTTATCTCCGATTTTTAAGAATGTATTTTTAGGATGAATTGTAAGATTTTTTAACGTGGAAGTAGAAAATGAATAACCATTAACATAAGCAACTTTTTCTGGAATCTGAAACGAGGCAATATTTGTTCTCCAAAATACACCATATTCTAATGAAATTAAATTTGAACCTTCTTTAAAAATAACATTGCTTAGTCTATAGCAACTAGAAAAAGCATTTTTATCTATTTTTTCAACAGATGCTGGAATTGTAATACTTGTTAATAATGTATTATATTCAAAGGCGCTACTTTGTATTTCGTGAAGTCCATTTGGTAAAAGTATTTCAGAAACTTTATAGCAAAACTCAAATGCAGTGTAATATTTTGTTGCAAGTTTATTGCAGGATGACAAATTAATAATAGTAAGATTCTTGCATTCACAAAAACTACTAAATCTAATTTTTGTTAAGTTAGGATTTTCTTCAAATGAAAACGAAATTAATGAACTTAGATGATAAAAGCATTTATCTTGTATCGCTTCACATTTAGCTGATATTCTGAGGTATGGAGATGTATCGTTGACTTTTGTGAGAGTTTTTCCGTCATCTGAATAACAACTTTCATTAATATCTTTGTAAATAATAGACAAATTGGCAATCATAATGGTTTATCAATATATTATTTGTTAAGTAACAAATTCCTTTTGATCTTAGTGCTTTGTAAGATTAATTGTCAACTTGCCATATAAATCTTTGATTGAAATTACATATACAAGCATAATGCCAAGAGTTTATACTCGGTGAATTTTTTTAAGGGAAGTTTTTTCCCTACATTTTTGATTACGATATGTAAACTAGCTTTCAATTTTATCATTAAATAAAATCAGAATACCTTCTAAAGATATTGGTAGATAAAATTATTTCACATATAGTTTATGGGTGTACTGTAATCGGTTTGACACCCGCACTTTTTTCCCTTGGTTTCGAGATTTTTTTGCATGCCTTCAAATTATCATCCATATGAACGCTCATGAAAATTATAATTTGCAAGCTTTCTAAGTTATTACGATAGATAGTTTTATTTTAGAGTATGATGAAAAAAACAAAAGGGATAGATTGTTTTATTTGGAAAGACGCTTTGAAAAGAGATTTGGAGAAGTATTTCCCATCTTTTCGAAAACTTGTAGATTTTGTGTTGCTTGAAGAACTTTACATGAAATCAAAAGCCTTCTCGGAATTCCAGAATCAATAATCATTTTGAGGAAACTAGGAGATTTATTTTCAATGACAAGAGGACATACAAGTGAGTCACATTCAACAAATGAATTAGGTTGAACAGTTTCAACAGAAAGAGGGAAATTGATTTGTTTCAAACTAGAGCATTTGTTGAATGAATATTCTTCAATCAATGTAACACTGTCAGGTGCAATAGTGATATTCTCGATATTGTCGCACTGATTGAAAGCGTAACTTCTAATTGATTTGCAGCTAATATTTAATGATTTTTCTGGTGATTTGCATGCATGTAAGAAGAGATGTTTTCCTGTTTCATCAATATAATAAAGTGTATTATCAACACATTTGTAATTAGCTGTCTCAAAACTTTGCATTTTTTCAAGAGAAAAACATTCAAAAAATGCATGAAATCCTATATTACTTAATACATTTGTTGGAAGGAAATAAATAGTAGTTAATTTGGAACAATTTACAAATGAATAATTCTCAATTACAGAGAGTTGTGAACCTGTTTTAAAGTATAAACGAATAAATGTTGAATTTTCAAATGATTTTTGTCTTATTTTTGTTACTGTAGCAGGTATAGTTAAACCTTCAAAGTTATATCCCCAAAAATCATAAACTTCTGTTTGATCCGAATTCATAATCAACGCATTTTCATCTATAACAAGATTAGTTTCTTCCATAAATGAAATCAATACATTTGTTTTCCTTGAGATTGCATTAGAAGAAAATAATGTTTTGTGTGTAAATGACACATTTAATTTAGGAGAATCGGATGAACTGAAAGAATCAGAATTAACGATCATTGGTGAATTAGGAAATATAATAAGTTCTAATGATGGACAATTTTTAATAATACTATTTTCGAAATAATCAATTTGCCCTAAAAATGTAATATTTTTAAGTTCACGAATGCTTGTTAAAGCATGGTATTCTATTCTTTTTACACTTTCTGGAATTGTAATTGTTGAAATTTCTGTATATTCGAAACATCCATCTTTTAGAGTCGTTACGGAGTTTGGAATTGTTATAGATTTAATATGTAAATAATAGAAACAATAATCACCTAAAATGTTGACAGAATCTGGAATTTCATAACTTTCAATATGTGAATCAAAAACGAAGAATAAAATACTATAATTTGCAGAAAAGATGATATTATCTTTAAATTTCAAGTGATTATTATTGGGATGAATTTGAAGATTTGTTATTCGTCCTCTAGATAATGCAGTTCCTGAGATATTAGAAACATTTTCGGGAATTTCAAACGATAAAACATTAGTATTCCAAAAAACTGCATTTTCTAATGTTTCTAGATTTGATCCAGGTTCAAAAGTGACATTTTTAAAGGTAGAACAGCTAGAAAATGCATTAGAACCTATTTTTCTTACAGAAGCAGGTATTGTTACGTTAGATATTTTCTCGCATGAAGAAAAAGCAGAATTTAGTATTTCTTGAAGGCTATTTGGTAGAAGAATCTCAGTAACATTCTTACAATATGCAAATGCCTCTATGGAAATAGTTTATAGCATGCTGCACATTGATAAATTAACAATAGTTAGACCTTTACAACCCGAAAAAGCATAATTCCCAATTATTCTTAAGCTAGGGTTTTCATAGAACGTAAATGAAAGTAATCAATCTAGTCGAGAGAAGCAATTATTTTGAATAATTTCACATTCAGCAAATATTTTGAGATGAGGTGATTGATCATTGACTTCATTGAGTATTTTCCTGTCGGATGAATAGCATCAGGTCGGAATATCTGTGTAAGAAAGACATAAAAAAAGAACATTATTTTTAATATTTTTCGTGTCTCAATTTATTCGGTTTTAATTGAGTTGTAAAAAAATTGAAAGCTAGTCTTCTGTGAATGATTTGAAGCAACAATATTGAGGTATAATGTTTGCAATTAGTACAAAAATTTCTCGAAGAATTTCAATATTTTGATATTTTCAAATTGTGAAGCTTTTTTTGATTCAATATTTTAATCAATATAAATCGACTATTTTCGTTTAATTGGAATTAAAAATCAAATATGTTTTATCAATATACTTTCAAAAATTGAAAGCTACTCAAAATATGGCATTCTATATAAATCATGAACATCTTAATTGTATATAATTTTAAATTTTGTAAATTTTGTATATCTATCGTTTTTTTTAAGCGATGTAGACATACTGAAAAGCCACTTTTTCACACCTTTCCTCTCATTTTCGCCTGACATTCTATCGTATTTTTAATCCATTATATCTTATTGGGCGAAATTGGCGCCCTTCGGACGCCAATTTCGCCGGAAATTTTTTAAGAATTGCCAAAATGACTTCAGAATTGCCAAGTCTGCATCATTAATAATCTTTAATTAGTTGATAGCCTCCCGCCTGACATTTGACGCGGCAAATTAGAAAAGTGCAAAATTTTTATTACGAATTGGAATGTGAACATTCATAGAGAAACCTTCTTGAAAGAACTTTTTATAGGCAAAGAATGATTTCAGAATCAGACTATGCTTACAAGTCTTTAATAATAGTTTATGAAATTGAATTTTTGACTTTCAATTTAGTGGTTGAATAGTATTTTCCTTTAATTAGTTCATACTCAGAAATAATTTACAATAATATTCACTTTACACCACATAAGATCCATCACAATTACCAATATCTATCATCATAATATAAAAAAACATTGAGGCTATAATTTTGGCATACACCCTTCACAATATGGATTGTGAGTCGGATTTTTCCAAAAAATAATTACTGAACAAATTATATATTTGCCATAAATTATCTTGGAAATTTGATTAAGTCTTTGACAAAATAACGCCAAATATTGCTAATATAGTATTTTTAATTTGTTGGAAATGTTTTTATGAATAAATAAATTTTTATAATCCCAAATTCTAAATAACAAACAATATTTATCTACATTGGATGTTATTTTGAGAGAATATATTATTATAATCAGACTTTGTAGATTTGTTATTCCTTAATAAAGGAATATTATTTTCACAAAATATCAAATATCGATGGTCAAAGTTAATACTTATCCTTTTCTATCTATTTATATGTATTATCCAATATATAAACAGGTAGATATTGAAGTATTAATGGAAATTTGATCAAAAGATCAAGAAAATCATGAGGTAATATATATGAACAACTGCATCACAAAGGTGCTCTATGGATGAACATTAATCGTTGAAACAAGTTTAGCTTGGATATGATGGTTAGAGTTAATACAATTATAAAAGAATCGGTAATTACATAGTTATTACAAATTTCTAAAGATTTGTAAACGGAATCAGATAAACTGCTATATTTGCAACAAAATATTTTATTTAAGAGTTGTTAGGTTGATAAAAATTTACCAAACCTATGATGGAATTGTAATACACAGCTTTATTCATTTTTTACCGAGAACTATATCTGTGCACAATGTTTTAATATGAAATTGTTTGCACAATGAAATATATATCATTTGTTGATAAATTCTATTTTTATTTAGAAAGATGTTTCCAGAAAAGACTTGGTGAATTACTAACTATTCGTTTTATTATTTGGATATTATATGATCCAGCAAGAATATGACATGAAAACAGCAGGCGACTAGGAATACCTGAATCAACAATCATTCTTAGGTAATCAATAGTTATATTTTCAATAATTAAAGGGCAACGAAGAGAAGGACAATCAGTGAATGAATTAGATTCAACTGTTTCAACTGAAAGTGGGAAGTTGATATATTTAAGATTCTTGCAACTGTAAAATGAAAATTTTTCAATCAGGGAAACACTGTTTGGGGAAATACTAATGTTATAAACATTATTGCAATCAGTGAACGAGTAACTACAGATAACATTGCAGTTGAGAATTAGCACTTTGTCTGATGAGTTAAATGCATGAAAGATGAGATCTATTCCTGTTTCATTTTTGTAGTAAAGAGTATTATCAAAGCATTTATATTTGTCTGAATCAAAATTACTTATGTTTTCAAGTGAATTACAGCCTGAAAATGAATTGAATGATATTTTCAGTAGATTATTTGTTTCACTAAAAATGATTGATTTAAGACTAACACAGTTTGCGAACGCATGCTCAGATATTATTTCAATAGACGAAGGAATTTTAATACTTTCTAATGAATAGCATTTTTCGAATGATTTGTATGCAATTTTTGCTGCATTATCTCGAATCTTAACATCAGCCAATTTAATACATCCACTAAAACAATTTTCAAGAACATCTGCAATATTACTCACATTAACTAGATTATTGCAATTCTCAAATGCATTTCTCATAACAACTAATTGATTCGATGCAAAATTCGCAGATCTCAATTTTATGCAGTCTTTAAATGATTCAATTCCTAAAAACCTCAATAAAGTTGGAGAAAAGTCAAATGAACTTAAATTTGAACATTTTCTAAATGCATATTTCTCAATTGTTGAAAGTTGTGAATCTGCTTCAAAACCTATCTGGGAAATTGTTGAATTTTCAAAAGCACTTTCCTTGATTGTTGTTATATTTTTAGGGATCATAATATTAGTGTTTAATCCCCAATATTCATAAATTTCTGTTTGATTTGATTTCATAATAAACAATTGAGGCGTAATAATAAGATTTGATTCATTTATGTAAGAAATCAAAACTTTTGTATCTCTTTCAATAGCTGTAGAAGAAAAGAATGTTTTGCAAGTGAATGATAATCTTGCTTTAGGAGTAGTAGTTGAAATAAACAAAGGTGCATTAACAATCATTGGTGTATCAGGAAAGCTTATGAGATCAAGAATATCGCACTGATAAAATATATATCCATCAAAAAAATCAACTGGTCCTAAAAATTTTACACTTGTCATACGACGACAATCACGGAAAGCATCATCATCAATTCTTTTTACACTTTCTGGAATTATTATTGATTCGAGGTATGAATCATAAAAGCACATATATTCGATTGTTGTTAGAGTATTAGGTAATTTTATTGTTCTAAAATAAGCTCTGAAGAAGCAAAATGTTATTATGGTTGTGACTGGTTCTGGAACCTCAAATGAAGATAAATATTTTTTCCCAACGAAAAATAAAATACTTCTATTTGCAGACAAAACAGAATTGTCAGGTCCAAGTGTTAGATATTTATTTTTTGGATGAATTGTTAGATCATTTATATAAAGACTAGATAAAGCATATCCATGTACATATGCAACATTTTCTGGAATTTGAAATGTATAAATTAGATCATCGAGTGAAAATACTCCTTGCACTAATGAAGTTAATTTTGAACCCTCTGCAAATTTAACATATCGAAGATTATATAGGGTGTCCAAAGGTGTGTTTAGCACAAACCTGAATACTGCGAATAGAAATAAACAAGTTACATATATATAAAGTTTATTTAAATATAATCACCATTGGATTCAATCACGCGTTCGCAGCGATCGATCCAGGCTTGAAAGACACGCTTTAAATCATCATGAGAAAATTGCTCAAATTACTCTCTTACAAAATTTTCAAGATCATCTGGACTCGCGAATTCGCGACCTTCAGCTCTCTTTTTTAGCGTGCCGAATAAATAAAAGTCAGAGGGTGCAATATCAGGTGAATAAATTGGGTTTGGAACAACTTTGACATTGTTTTCCACCAAGTAATTCATTACCTTATGACTTTTGTGAACTCTTGAATTATCAAAATGAATTGCAAACTTTTGTTTTTGTTGTTTGGATTTCTCAAACTCATCAGAATTGATAATTTGAGTAAGAACATTGTCAATTAGATACTGAGCATTCATCGTATTAGGTTTTTGAAGAATATCAATTGCGATGATGCCATTCACGCCCCCAAAAACCGACAACATCATCATTGGTGTGTCAATTTTTTTCTTCGGGAATGTTTGCGGATTTTCATCCTTCGGGATCCACATGATTTTGGCTTCTGTTGCATATTGAAACCAAGACTCGTCCCCTGTTACTAAAAAGCGAAACTTCTTGGATTGATATGCACCCAATATAGAGAGGAGCTCTTTCGAAGATTGGACTCTAGATTTTTTTTGAACTGAATTAAGGTTGTGCGGAACCCAACGTGTATACGCTAGTTTGTAGTTCAAATAATTGTGCAGATAATAACTGACTGTTGTATGTGGTATCTTTGTCATCTCCTCTATCCTTCTGAGTGATGCTCTTGGGTCTTCATCTAGCGCTTGAAGAATTGCTTTGATTTTTCTTTGATCCGGCGATTTTTTGTCAATTTTTATGATGGGCGCCTTTTTGTTCATGAAGTGATACATCCTAAAATGATACGTTACAGTGGAATAGCTAGGAGCATCCATACCGAAGCATTTTACCAATGTCTCGTAGATTTTTTTACAGTCTTTGCATTTTTTTGCAAGAGCGAGGATGTTTTCTTTATGATTCATTAAAAAAATGAAAAAATCCCGCCAAAATTTCCCGCGAAACCACCTCTTGTCTCAAAATTCATTTTATATCCCGGCATGGCGCCAAAATACAACATACTCATCATATACATATATTCATATTTTTTATTATATATTTATAATCAGCATATATCTTCTTTAATAGTCTCATATAGAGCGCTGTGCTAAACGCACCTTTGGACACCCTATAAGATTGATAAAATGCATTCTCGCCTATTTTTTCAACAGATGCTGGAATTGTAATATTTACTAATTTTTCAACACCGAGAAAAGCTTGGAATTGAATTTCAAGAAGTCCTTCTGGTAGAATTACTTCAGTAACTGATTTACAAAATTCAAATGCTGTTTTACCTATTATTTTAAGTTTATTGCATGTCGATAAATTAACAGTGGTTAGGTTCGGGCAATATGCAAAACTAAAAGTCCCAATTGTTGTTAATTGAGGATTATCTTCAAATGTAAATGAAATTAATGAATCTTGAAAGCGTCCTTTTATTATTTCACATGCAGCTGATATTTTGAGGTATGAGTATTGATCTGTGACTCTATTGAGTGTTTTTCCATCAGTTGAATAACAACTTCTGTTAATATCTTGATAAATGATATTTAAAAAGAAAATCATAACAATGAAATTAGGCCTTTATTTTGTTCGCTCTTGATTATTGATGTTAAATGTTCATTTTGCCTAAAATCGAAAATTGTTGAATTAATAGAAAAGAAATATTGATGGTAATCATCAGCACAAGCCATATTTAGTGATATGGGAAAAATATTCCCAGTTCAATTTATTTCAGCTCGAGTTTGACACCATAAAAAATAAAAAAGTGACAGATGAATACGAATAAATCGCGAATAGTCCAATTCCCTGCTAAATGGGTATATATTTTTTCATGTGTATTTCCTTTAGTTATGATAGCAATTGCAGTGAGTATTTATTATACTCTCAAACATAACAAAGTTTATAAATATACAATTGTTACAATTTCCGAGTCAGTTGTGTTCCTCCCAGAATCAAGGATATTCAACATCAGTATGACAATCATGGCCCTTCTTCAATCTGTAGTATTTATCTTGCGCCATCATTATTTAAACGTTATTATTACAAGAGAATCAAAATGGTACCTTCACCTTCTTAAATGGATATGCATAATCTTCGCTTTCGTGTCTCCACCAGCTTTTATTGGTCTTGCAAACTTTACAGTACGAGAATTCTTTAATGTCCACAACATGTGCGCTTTTATCTACTTTTACACTGTTAGCTTCTACTTTTTATGCTACGACATCATAATTATTTGCGTTAAAAAGAAAATAAAATGGTATTCGATGTTTGTTACAATTTTAGGCATAATTTGTCTACAATTATCATTATGGCCTTTATTCATAGACCCTCACAATAATACAATCGTATCTACAACTTCAGTTTTCGAATTTATAACTGTATTCTTATTCACCCTCAAAACTACATTAACATTGGTTGACTTACCACCTCACGGCATTAAATTTTACTCTAAGTAAAAGTGTTTTTGGTTGTATTAAAGTAAAAGAACATTTTATTGTTTATTTCTTAAAAAAATTATTTTATGAAACATATTTTGCTAATTCTGCTGCTTGCATTGCTAAGATTGCTCTGTTCTGAGCATCAAGAGCTTGTAATGAATCTATTTTTGCTTGCATATCATTAATTAGGGAGAATAGATCAGTTCCATACATTTGCTGATACTTCTCACATGCAGAACATATAATATTAAGATCATTTTCAAATTTTTCGGGTGAATTTGAAATTTTATGACCAAAAATTGTTGTTAATCTATTAATAGTATCATCTGATATGGAAAATTCCGATTCTCTATTTGCATTTGCTATTCTCTCTTCCATGAGCTTCTGAGCAAAAGAAGAAGTAATTGAAACTTCTCTGATAAATAAAGCTTGTAATTCTTCTTTAGAAATGTTATTTTTGCTACTAGCAGATTCTATTAGCTTCTTGCGTTCATCAAAATTGACGTTATTTGATAAGATTGATTTCATCGTGTCGAATTTCGTTGGAGATACTGTTAAACCTTTAATTGAATCAATAGTTTTCTCAGCTCTGTTTACAATCATATTTTTGAACTTATTTTCAGTCTGTGATTGTATCAAGGAAATGAGAAAATCTGCATTATCTTTAACAATCCCTCCAAGGCGGGCAATTACTCTATTTTGATGTTTAATATGATTTATAAAGAAGGTACAAAGAGTTTTTATCTGTAAAATAGGATCATTTGAGTCTATAACGTAATTTAATTTATCTAAAGTTTTTTGATCTAGATCAAATGCATCGATTATCTTATTAAACTCCTGTAATATAGCGTCATCGATTTCATTTGAGTTGATTTGTGATTCTAATTGTTGAATTATTGCATTTTTTGCTTGCATTTGCTTTTTTAATGTATCATTCTCGATCCTAAGTGAATCATTCTGAGATTGGATTTCAAAACTTAAAATTGATGTGATGTTCTCCTCTGCCTCATCGTATTGATCAAGAATCTCCATTTAAAAATGAACAATTGATCAGCAAGAACTAAATTTCTATTGATGTTGTAAAAGAGTTTTAACAAAGGTGTGAAATTTAATGAGATATTAAGAATATAATTTGATTCAATTTTGAATAAACTCATTTATACCGATAAAAATATGTTTGAATGCGAACAAACAATCTATGTATTATGTTTATACTAACAAACAAAGACAATAATATAAAATTAATTCTTTCTCCTCAAATTTGAGCGAGATAGTTGGTTCTGTCTTAATGTCTTCATCAAATAGAATAGAGGAATACCAATTGCACATGCTATAAATAATGAATACTGTCTAATTCTTAAAGTTTTCGGATAAAGCGCTTTTGTTGCTGTTTCAGATGAAAGTTCTTGTTGTCCAGCCACAAAATTTTCATCCGAGTTTGCCGTATATTGAACGGTAGGAGAAAATGTTTCAGAAAATTGGGTTCTAAAACAGAATTTTTCGTTCAAAGATATGATTTTGTTCAATACAGGTGATTTCTCTTTGTATGTGCAGTTCTTAAACGCATTTGTAAGGTTTAAAGAACCGATTTTACTTTCAGATAAATCGAAAACGCAATTTACGAAAACTGCGGCTTTCGGAGTTATCATCTCAACTAATTCATTAATATTTACGATGTTCTGTATCACACAATTTGAAATATGTGTCTTTTTGGTGTGAATTTCAAATAATTTCAAGGAAGTTCCTGGATTATTGTCAATGAAGTTGCAGTAAGCAATTTCTGAGTCTCCTTTATTGCTATCTAGGAAGATCAGACCCGGTCCTTGGTTATTTTCAAAATGAATGAAAGAAAACCTGAAAAATTCTGCGTATTGAGATTCAATTGCACCACGTTCTTTAACTGGGTATGATTTAGAAACGTTTGAATTTGAGATATCAACTATTATATGATAAAATAACATTAATCCGGTAACATCTGATATATTTAAGGGGCCATTTAGTGAACAAGATATTTGTTCAATCTTTGATGGCTCTATGACAATATCATTAATGCTCGGATATTTTGGTCCTGTAATTCTAAACATAATATCAGATAATAAAGCATGGCATTTCTTAATGCATGTAGATTTAATATCATGAATCTTAGACCTAATGAAAAATGCTCCGCAACTTCCTGAAGAGCATTTGAAAAAGCAACAATCCGAAATCAAAATTTGGCCATCATCGTTTTGGTAGCTAATTCCACCACCAAGGCCTTTCTTCTTGGAGCATTTTCTGAAAATGCAGTTTCTGAATATTGCTGTAGTTTCGTCTTTAATTTTTTCTGGTGTATGGAAGAAATCGTTTGAGTATTTCAGAGTAGCGATTTTAACAGGCGTATTTAGAAACCTTGTAAATGCTGAATTAATGAATTCTGCATTGGTATTGCTAGATCTAAAAAACGAATTTGCGAATTTTATTGCTTTTATTGAAGAGAACTTATCGCATCGCTTTAAGGATCCAATTCCATGCAATATTAAGGGTGATTGCGAAATGCTGGAAATTGAAAGCGAAACTATAGTCGAATTCATTTGAGAAAGGAAATAAAAAATGAACTTTCGGAGAATAATTCTAGAAGAAACAAAACCATTGAGAACAGGAAAACGCTAATGAGAAGTCAAACAGCTGAAAATAAAAAATAATTTTATAATAAAATATACAATAAGGATTTATAAAGAGATCTCATACAATATACATTAAAATAAGCAAAATTCCAATCTGACATATATGGATTTGAAACAAAATTTAAAAATTTGATTTTGCACAAGAGTTAACCCCAAAATCATCACAAAACATAAAGAACATGATACAAACCATCAGTAGCTCTATTATAATAAAGAGAAATAAGGATATTTTCTGAATAAAAAGGAAATCTAACAAATGATTCATAGGAATGATGGTATTAATTATCATTTGGAGGTATGTTGGCTTCATTGTGCAATTAGACAAAATTTTGTTCCAATATAATTGATAAAATAACAAAACTATATGGATTACGATCCTTTATCGGGTTGAATAGGAATGGTGGAGCTCCTTCTTAACAGCGCTAGCAATTTCATTGAAAACTATGAAATCTGATCAATTTCACAAAAGTAGACATTCACAGGAGGGTTCTTTTTTACCTGATTTACCTGAGGAGATGTCATGAATCTTAAAGTATTCCCTGGATAAATATTCAAATGTTTCAACAATATTGTGATTGTTTTTTGCTGAGGTTTCGAAAAATTGACTGTTGAGTTTGTTGGCAAGCTCTTGGCCTTCAGCTTTTGAAACTTTTCTAGATCCTTCTAAGTCAGATTTGTTTCCGCACAAAACACAAGTAAATTTTTCTGTTCCTTTGCTTCTTATAAGTTCCTTGTAAAATTTCTCAACATCTTCAAATGAAAACCTGTCAATAATAGAATAAACCAATATAAAGCCTTCTCCCGTTCTCATGTAAGCAGTTCTCATAGCAGCAAAGTCATCTTGACCTGCAGTATCTGTAACATTCAATTGTAGTATTCTTCCATCTACGCTGAAACGTTTATTATAGGCATCTTCAATCGTTGGGTTGTAGTCTTTAACAAATTGACCTTGGACAAACTGAATAGTTAGAGCAGATTTACCAACACCACCTGCTCCGAAAACTACTATTTTGTATTCTTGGTTTGATGATGCGGACATTAACTTCGAAATATCTATATCAAATAAAACCGTAATTTTTTCTCAATATTGTGTGTGAAAAAAAATTGAATATCAAATACAATATTCTGCGGTTTTATATAATTAAGAGACATTCTCTTTTTGCCCGGTAGCTAAAAAATCGCCATCTGACATACATGTAAAACCAAAAGGAAGTTTTTTGATTTTTAAGATATAGTTTCAATATTGATTGGAATACTGTAATTAATCAAACTATGCAAAATCTCAATTAAGTGGTTAAATTTCACAGTAAGCGTCACTTTTAAAAACTATCAGATCACTATGATGACTGATAGTCTATAAAATTTATTTGGTAGATATTTTTGAAATCCATATAGTATATTCTTCATATTTATTAATCATTTTCCCAAAAATAAGGAATTGAAATTTTCAATTTTGAATCTTCCGAAAAGATCTTCAAAATCAATAACCCGATTTTAGTACTTTTCAATTTTGTAATAGGACAATTCAGATACTTCAAAATTTCTCAATGAGTTGACAAAAATTTATCCATATCTCGTTTCACATTGATGTATCTAAAATTGGACATGTTTGAGGCAACTATAAGTTTGCTGTAAAGTGAATAGAAATATAATGCATGATTTTTATATTCATTTTTTACAATGCCAGATTTCCATATTACATCTTTTCATACGCTCCAATTTTTCTCAAAAGCTGAATCATAATTTATACAATATAAGCGGTTCATAAACATTTTATGGCTTATTGTGTATTTTATTCCATTATCGATTTTATACACAATTTAATACGGGAATATTTTCATTTAGTTGAGTTTTATTTCCGTATTAAATTATTTTAAAATGATGCGTTTAAAGTAAGGAGTGAAATGAATTTAGCAAATTCTTATATGAATCGCATTTTGAAGGAAAATGCAAAAAAAAATGTTGACATATAATATCCATCATTTCAGATGGAAATAATATGAATACTCTAATGAAGAAGTGTTTACTAATTGTTTAATCACATTTTCCTTTTATAATTATCAAATTTTCAAACAAATAATTTTAATTTTCTGCTTTATGTGTATCTTCATCGAAATGTTTTTTCAAACATTTCAAGAAATCGTGTTCGTGTCTTGATTTTGCTATCTTAACGACAGTTAATCCCTTTTCATTTTTAATATCTAATTTCGCACCTTTTCTCTGAAGTAATCCAATAACACCTGAATTATTCATTCTTGCTGCAAGCATCAAAGGAGTCATACCTCCTCTTGTTTGAAGATTAGGATCTGCACCATTTTCCAGAAGCAAATCAACACTTTCAACATTTCCTTTCATAGATGCATAATGAAGAGCTGCAGCTCCTTGCGAATCAAGTGCATTTATTTTTGCACCATTTTCCAGAATAATTATCATAGAAGCAATGTCATTATTTGATGCAGCACAGTGCAAAAGCATGTCTCCATCTTGACTTTGTACATTTGGCCGCAAACCTTTTGTAAATAAAAATTTAAGTGCATGACTTGACTGGAACTTAACTGCTGCAAAAGAGAAAGGTATAATGTTATTAATTGCAATGTTTTTGTTCTTTTTGATGAAATTCTTAAAATCTTCTTTGTTCTTGCATTTTGATATTTTGCTAACTGATCTATCTAATTCGCTTAATATCTCTCGAATTTCATCATTGCTACTATAGTCTAAAGCAGTTTTACCATCTTTGTCTTTAGTCAAAACTGCACCATATTTCACGAATTCTTTTACGATATCTGTGTAACCTCTTCTTGCTGCAATGTGAAGAGGAGTTACTTTATTAGGTGTCATACAGCAGATTCCTGCATTTTTGATCAATAATATTTTAACAAAATCGAAATCTCCGATTTTTGTTGTGTGGTGTAGCAAAGTTTTACCACTTTTGTTTTTAGTGTTGATATCAAAACCGCTATCAAGAATTATCAACAATAATGACATCCTCTTGGTATCAACCGCTTCAAAAGCAACTTCTGGAGAAACAATAGTTCCTAAATATTTGATAGATAACATTAATCCAACAGTGTCACTTTTAGCTACATCAACAGCTGTTTTATTATTTGTATTTTCCAATAAATTTGCACCACCTTGGATTAAAACGAAAGTTGCTTCTTCTAACCCATTTATAGCAGCAATATGAAGTGCTGTATTTCCAGATCCAGGTTCTCTAGAGTCTGGAGAAACTCCGTTTTTCATCAAAAATGATATTATTTTCAGTTTTGAAAGTTTCACAGCTTCGATCAGAAAATCACTTCCAAATAATTTAATTCTCTGTGGATTTTCACTACAGAAGTTAATAAAATCATCATAACTTTTGTTAACAAGTATATCTAAACCTTCATTTCTTTCTTTGGTTTCTTCAAAAAGAGTCAAAATTTTTGAGTTTTCTTTTCCATTCTTTTTCGCATAATCTATAGGTGTTTGTCTATTTTCATCACCTTGAAGAACAGCACCATTTTTAATAAGCATCTCTGCTATCCGAACATTATTATTTCTCGCAGAATAATGCAAGGGAGTTAGCCGATCAAGTGTACGTGAATTCGGATTTGAACCTCTTTCCAAAAGAAACTTTGCCATATCATAATTGTTTGCTAGGCATGCAACATGAAGAGGTGTTAATGAATAGGCTGATTCCATGTCAATGAAAATATGCAAGTCCAATAGATAACTTGCGAATCGGGCGTTATTATATAATGCGCACAAATGAAGCGCACTATAACCCGTATCATCTGTGACAACATTTATATCAGCACCTTTTTCAATGAGAATTCGAGCAATTTCATATTTTCCTGTTTTGATGCAATATAATAAAACTGGAAATCCGTCTTTACTATCATTTATTAAGTTGGGACTAAACTCAAGGGTGTTTAGTAAACCTTGAATATAATTTCCATCAATCAAATCAAACACATTTGTATCCATTGACACTTTTTTATAAAAAAATAACTGACAAATAAGTTTTTCTAAGATATTGTAGTGCACGAGTGTTCATAAATGCATGAAACAGATTAAATATTGATAGTTCACCCCACAATAATACTATTTGTATCTTCGATGCCAAAATATGCTTATTTGTTTATGCAGTTGGATGATTACATTCCAAAGAAATATCTTTAATTCATAAATTAGTTTTCCATTACCATTTAATACTATGCCGAAAGAGATATGTAGAAATATATGTGTTTTTAGAATAGAAATAGAAAAGCAAAATCAAATGGTATCAAATAAAAACTACTTATGTCTTATTTTTGGTGAACATTAACATAACTCAAGATAATTTTGATATGTCAGGTTTATTACAAGGAAGATTTCAATTGAGGAAATTAATCCATGACAGAACTGTAATTTAATGAATCACAAATATTGAGAATCAGCATTACAGTCTAAATGTACGTGTAAAAATCTTATTCCTAAACACCTTATTCGATTTTGATTAGACCAGTTATTATAAAATTTTGAAAATAAGAAAAATGTAATGACTCAGCAAAAGGGATTTCAATTTTATTGATATCTTTTATTTGGTTGTCAAGATTACGAAAAATTGAGTGATCGATGTCAAATCGATGTTCTACATGTCCTTAGTTCGTGAAATAATATTAACTTGTTTTCTAGTCAAAACAATATTTTCATTCAATCTATATGAAAATAAAATATTTAATCTTATGTATAGTAATATATGATTTTTAATTTTTAGCTAAAATTTAATTGTGATTTAAAATTTGAGAGTATTTATTCGAAATTCGTATAATAATTTAGTTCATGAATTTCAAAGAAATTAATTATTAAAATGTATCGGTATCATAAAATTGAATTTTTGCAAATTGAAAATTTGTCCGTTATTTTGTAATTAATTAAAAAATTATTCATATTAATTATGTATATGTTATATTTTAAAAATTCTAATTTTGAGGGTTAATCTTTAAATCTAAAATAGTAAAAAAATCGAGTTATTTATTCAATGATTTTTCCGTCAGCAATAAATGCTCATACAATAAATTCAATTGTAAAACCGAAATTTTCTGAATACGCTGTTTTGAAAAACTCATTGCAAGTGTATGTTTAAATAATTAATCAAATTCTTTTCCGATACAATATTTTGCTTTTGAATAATTTAAAGATTCATTCCTATCCTGTTATAAACCGAAAATAGATTTTTTCGGTTTTCTCTTCAAATAATTGAAAGAATGATACTATTATAGGTTTATTATATTATATAGCATATAATCATGCTATAGCCGAAAATTATAAGTTTTGAGAAGATTGAATATAACACAAATAAATTTGAATGTAAGTTAAATTGCTTGTTGTTTTTAATAGCTATTTAATGAGAAATCCAATATTGCAAAATTCAAATTGAATGATTGAAAGAACAGAAAAAGTCATTCTTTTCAATTTCGAATATGTTTCATTGTATTTATAATTATATGGCAAATAAGATATTTAAACTTGATTTTTGAAGGAAAATTCACAAAATTGAATAAATTCAAATAATTTTTATTCCAAAATAAACTAGTTATTTGAGTTTAATACTAATTATCTATTCAAACTACAAAGTTTGTAATTTAAAATATTTTGTGAGATCAGATTGAATTAATTCAAGGTTCTTTTCAATTCATATTAATGACCATATTACGCATTTCGAACATTCTAAACCAAATATATAAAAATGGGGAGACGAATGTTAAATTTGCTAGACATGGGGGAGTTGTCTGCAAAGTTTTAGCTCTTATCTCTAACAAAAAATTAATTTTTAAAAAAAAGACCGAATACGTTTCACAGCGAGAAAAAAATAAAAGGCAAGATAGAATTTTCTAGACATAAAGAAGTTGTTTACCGAGTTTTAGCTCTTATCTCTAACAAAAAATTAATTTTTAAAAAAAAAGACCGAATACGTTTCACAGCGAGAAAAAAATAAAAGGCAAGATAGAATTTTCTAGACATAAAGAAGTTGTTTACCGAGTTTTAGCTCTTATCTCTAACAAAAAATTAATTTTTAAAAAAAAGACCGAATACGTTTCACAGCGAGAAAAAAATAAAAGGCAAGATAGAATTTTCTAGACATAAAGAAGTTGTTTACCGAGTTTTAGCTCTTATCTCTAACAAAAAATTAATTTTTAAAAAAAAGACCGAATACGTTTCACAGCGAGAAAAAAATAAAAGGCAAGATAGAATTTTCTAGACATAAAGAAGTTGTTTACCGAGTTTTAGCTCTTATCTCTAACAAAAAATTAATTTTTAAAAAAAAGACCGAATACGTTTCACAGCGAGAAAAAAATAAAAGGCAAGATAGAATTTTCTAGACATAAAGAAGTTGTTTACCGAGTTTTAGCTCTTATCTCTAACAAAAAATTAATTTTTAAAAAAAAGACCGAATACGTTTCACAGCGAGAAAAAAATAAAAGGCAAGATAGAATTTTCTAGACATAAAGAAGTTGTCTACCAAGTGTCAGCTGTTACTTCTTCTCAATACTGATATAAAATAAAAATCTTTATTATTTATTTAACCTTTATTGTTTCATTAAACTTCATTTATTTTATATTATAGTTTTATTCTTTTAGCTACTTGTAAAATAATCTAATTTTATATCATCATTTTACCGGATTATTCTTCAGTACATCGATTGTGTATCTAAAATAATATCATTATCCTTATTCTGTTTTTTCCAAAATTCTTTTAAATATCTTTTTTGGTTAGATTACTTTATACTTTTTACTTTTATTTTTTAATTTCAAAAAAAAATTTGGTGATTGTTCTATTCTGTTACAATGTGCATTATCATATTCTAATGAATTATTCATTACATACATTTAAAAAAACTTGTTAAAAATGAAATTAAAAAATTATGTTTATTATTACGCTGTGAATGTGTCAACAGCGGTCATGCCTGTATCTGTATCCCATATTTGCCACAACCTTTCTGTATCTGCATTTGTGTATTTCGGTTTCAGCTGATACATTTGATTTGGCGTGTAATTTGTTCCAGTTAATGGATTAATTGGGAGATCTTCATGCGGTGTGTTATTATTGTACTCCCAAATAAAGGCAGGAATAGCCTGAATGCTTTGGCAGCGCTCCAATGTCGGCCAGAATCTCTCAATCTTCCCATTTTGGTAGGGAGAATGAGAGTCTGTATGCCGCCATTGGACGCCCCAAAGATCAAGTAGATCTTGAAAGGCGCCCCTATTTTCTGAACCGTTGTCGGTCCAGAAACAATAAGGGGCGCCAAATTCAATGAAGGCGGAAGCCGCAACGTTCGCTGTCGTCGCTGCCAGCATATCTGGTATTTGTATACACGCTAGGACTTTGCGGCTAAAATCGTCGATTATGCCATAAATATACTGGCCACGAACACCCCTAAAATAATGAACATCTGCGTGCCAGATAAGATTGGGTGAAAGCGCCCAATATCTTACTGCTGTTTCTGGCCCGGCATGCTCTAATCGCGTCTTGGTGAAATGATTTTCTTTGAAGTATCTGCGTACTTCTCTATAAGATACATCAATTTGTTGTAATTTCAAACGTTTCCATTGTTTTGTTTGACCACAGGGAAAGGCCCAGTGGTCATGTATCACAGCAAGAGCTTTGATTTGGTCGTAGGGATTGATCCTACGACCTTTCTTGCCTTTAGGCAATGGGATATTCTGTAAGCTAAATTGATTTTGTAAAAAAGATTTTGAAACATCTAAATATTTGAAATCATTTGATTGAAGGGTTGGGGCGATGGGAACATGGGTGCAAGCTTCTTCCCATGTCATTTTACCTTCTTCAATCTGATTGGAAATACCAATTAGGTAAATTCGATCGACATACCCTTTGTAAGGATTCATTCTAATGAAGTACGTTAACAATCAAAATATTCTATAAGTGTCTAGTATGGAATTCAAAAGAATAAAGAAAATGGTAACATAAATAAAAGTATTATGAAATAATTTATAATTAAAATGAAAAAAAGAAAAAATAATAAGTAAAGTGACTGGAAACGAAAATGAAAATCAGTGTACAGTTTTATTTTTTTCTCGCTGTGAAACGTATTCGGTCTTTTTTTTTAAAAATTAATTTTTTGTTAGAGATAAGAGCTAAAACTCGGTAAACAACTTCTTTATGTCTAGAAAATTCTATCTTGCCTTTTATTTTTTTCTCGCTGTGAAACGTATTCGGTCTTTTTTTTAAAAATTAATTTTTTGTTAGAGATAAGAGCTAAAACTCGGTAAACAACTTCTTTATGTCTAGAAAATTCTATCTTGCCTTTTATTTTTTTCTCGCTGTGAAACGTATTCGGTCTTTTTTTTAAAAATTAATTTTTTGTTAGAGATAAGAGCTAAAACTCGGTAAACAACTTCTTTATGTCTAGAAAATTCTATCTTGCCTTTTATTTTTTTCTCGCTGTGAAACGTATTCGGTCTTTTTTTTAAAAATTAATTTTTTGTTAGAGATAAGAGCTAAAACTTTGCAGACAACTCCCCCATGTCTAGCAAATTTAACATTCGTCTCCCATTTTTATATATTTGGTTTAGAATGTTCGAAAATGCGTAATATGGTCATTAATATGAATTGAAAAGAACCTTGAATTAATTCAATCTGATCTCACAAAATATTTTAAATTACAAACTTTGTAGTTTGAATAGATAATTAGTATTAAACTCAAATAACTAGTTTATTTTGGAATAAAAATTATTTGAATTTATTCAATTTTGTGAATTTTCCTTCAAAAATCAAGTTTAAATATCTTATTTGCCATATAATTATAAATACAATGAAAATATTCGAAATTGAAAAGAATGACTTTTTCTGTTCTTTCAATCATTCAATTTGAATTTTGCAATATTGGATTTCTCATTAAATAGCTATTAAAAACAACAAGCAATTTAACTTACATTCAAATTTATTTGTGTTATATTCAATCTTCTCAAAACTTATAATTTTCGGCTATAGCATGATTATATGCTATATAATATAATAAACCTATAATAGTATCATTCTTTCAATTATTTGAAGAGAAAACCGAAAAAATCTATTTTCGGTCTATAACAATTCATTTCTATCCATCTTCATTTTACATTCTAACTAACATTATTTAATTAATTTAGCGACTTTACATTTTATAATTTTCTAAAAAATTGTGATTGATTCAAATTAAAAGGAATGCTGCCTGTGAGACGCGCCGGAAGTACAAAGAGGTTCAATCCACTCAAAATCCAGAAGCCTGTTCTCACTCAGTTATCGCGTTCTAAAATATCCTTTTCATCATCATTCCGTCTTAAAACACTTGAACCTATAGATTTAACTAAAGAAAATGCGTTCGCAAACGACGATAACCTCATTTATACAGTTAAATTACTTTCAAATTGGGGCGATCCGCAATACATGTGCTGTTCTTATATGCAATTTCTTTCACATGATCGAAGACCCTTAAATCCTATCAAGATGATGTCAGCACCAAAACTTGAAGAAGGTGTTCTACAGAAGCTCAACGGTGATATGGTGAAAGAGGAAGCAAATCAGTGGAGAATTAATTGGCCGCCAGATGAAGATGACATAATGTCTATTATATTTATGTTCCAAAAGCATCAAAAGCCATGTTTTATACGTCTTTGGAACCCTCAGACAAATATGGAGCAATCAATTAAAGATATTGAAATTTATAACGGCGAAAATCTTGTTGCAAAAGAAGAAATTCCAAAAGGCTTCGGTAAAGACATTCAAATATCTGTAAAAGAAGAATATGCCATAAAACCTTCGGAATCAATGCAATATTTACAGACACTTTTCCCACAGCTTGCACCATCATTATTTCCATGTGACTTATTTGGACAATATCCGTCATTTAAACTCAGGAAAGTATCATTCGAAATCCTTAAAAACTACGGAAATGAAAAAGTTTTTGGACTTAGTCAAATACTATTCCTGAATGACAAAAAGGCAATAATAACTCGCGATGAAATTAATAGAATTACCGTTGATAATTGCTCAGATTTTACTGATCCTTTAGCTTTAATTCCGACAAATAGAGATTTCCCTGAAAAATGCCAATTTGTTGCACATTCATCATTCGAAAGACATCCTATGCTGACATTTTACTTCGAACAAACTGTAATTTTATCAAAAATCATCGTCAAAAATTTAGATGTTGGTCCGAGCGGTTTCGATTGCGAAGTTAACCATATGAGAGTATTTGTAAATGATAGATGCGAATGGATTGGAAAGGTTCAGTGTACAAGGTTGAAGGAAGGTGTGAAACCTCCTCCTTGCGTAATCCACGTGTTACCATCATTTATAGTTTCTCATGGACAGTAATGTTTTCATACTGATTTTTATTTGTTATGATATAAAATTTTTGTAATTAATTTTTCTTCAACGTTCACTAATGATTTTTATAAACTACGATCTGTTTCCTCTAAGAAGTAGTATTTTGAACTTACCAAATCTCTAATCGAGTTATATTTTGAAGTTTATTTTTAGAATCGAAATAATTTTAGTTTTTAGTAGATATCTACATTACTTTCATGCCATATATTCTTGCTTATTGCAATATATAGCTTTAATTCATTGTTATAAGTAATTTAGCATCAAAAGTGACAAAAATGAATATAGAAATTCCAATTGATGTTCCAGCAGAAATACAAGAACAAGTTGTTGAAAAATTAGAAGAAAAAGGCGTAATAAAGCGCCTTGAAAGAAAAGTTCAGCTTGGAATCAACATTGCTATTCAAGAATTAGAATCTAACCAAGCACAAGACAGTGTTTTAATGCGTAAAAGTACAATCAGGGAAGCTAAATCAGAAAATGAAGCACTACATAGAATTTACAAATATTTGCAAAACAAAGGTCTCTTATATACGTATCAATGCATGAAAGAAGAGGTTGCATCTTCTAAAAAACGTTCATACACAAATAGTAGTATAAGAAAATGATTGATTTTGCCTTAACAAAATCGTTTATATTTTCAAGTTTCCAAAATAGCGAACTTTTACTAGGATCACTTCATTACACTTGTTTTATGTTTAACATTTTATTGTATTATTACACATGAAGTCCAAATTTTTCAATAATTTTTTAAGAAAATTGCTGAAAATGGAAAATGTAGTTAATGATTTGACATTACTTTAACTATTAACAGATTTTTCAAATGCATTCATTGTATGAAATAACGAAATACTTTGTTTTTTATTACATAACGGAATAAAACCTTAATATTACTATATAATTTTAATCACATAATGTACCATTTGCCATATATAGGCTGTAAATTTTATGTTGTTCTTCTAAATATATTTTCCATTTTGAATATTGCTTGAAATGAAAGTATTTGACAAGGATGTTGATCTATAGGTGTTTTAATTAATATAGGATCACTTAGTTAATGGAACTGAAGTATGGACATGGGATCAATATTCTAAGGCGTCAAAAATTTTCTCACTGGGTTTTCGTCTATCAATCCCAGCTCATTATATACGCAACCAATCAAAAATCTGATATGGGAGTCCAAGGCTAACTTTTTGTTGTCTACCTAATAAAAGAGGAAGCAGCATTAGTGAGAATAATCGCAAATATTCAATTTAAATTATCTTTTTATTCTTAATTTAAAGTGACAAAAAGAATAAAAAACCTATTCTAAGGCATGTTGTTATGTAAATGAGACTAGACATCATATTTTATGTTATGAAAAAAAAATATTTAGAATTTTAGAACAAAATAAATAGAAAAAATAGCATAACTTATGGATGTGCGTATATTAAATTTAATAAATTAAGAGAAATTATTTTTGGCGCCAAAATTATTCGTTAACTCTCAAATTTTTCTGAGTCAATAAGCCGCCAAAAAAGTGTCATTTTGTTTCGTTAGAGAAAGATGAATTGTCCATGTCATCCAATCGGGAACAAGGGGGATGGGGATTAGATGATAAAGAAGCAATTCATGCTCTCTATCTGAAGCAATCAGACTTACCAGCAACAATGTGAATCGATTTGGCTTTAAAGTTAATATAGCAGATCAGCTTGTTACTGGAGAGACTAGGCATTACGATTGATTCGCTGTAGTGCTCTACTTTAATTTAAGAGTAGTAACGGATAACTGAATTCCCAAAATTCTTTAGGTGATCCAAAACACTGTAGCTGCTTGAACTTTGGACGAGCCTCGCACCCCAGAGAATAGAAATCCCAATCTTGCTCATGTTTAGTTGAATTAGTCTGCAGCAGTACAGCTCTGATACCACAAGATCGTGATGTATACAAAGTCACAACGCTATTTGATTCAACAACTAGCTAGTTTTGACATCAAATTGCAAAATTTGACTTCGTTATGAGCTCTTTGTAGCAAAAATACATTACACTTAAAGACTAGTTGCTAGACTGTAGTAGTTTGTTCGTATATATCTATTTTTCCCCAACGTATTGCATACTACATTTTGACAAGACTTGCAACCTTATAGTAACCTCGTTGGGAATTGTTCAAGCAAAGCGTAGGTAGTTAAGGTCGAGTAAGAGTTCTTCTTAAATCTTTCACTGAATGAGTAGGTGTTGGAAGAACTGTTCTCTAAAGCGATACAGTTGCGCTACATGTTCGTCAACTTGTCTAGAAATAAATATATCATTTGTTTTATACGTTTTTTCGTAATAAATCTATTTGTATTTGTTGTATTTGAGTATGAAGATAACAAAAACTACGGCATAAGACGCAGTACACTGGGCTTCGTTGCCATTTTATTTACCATGTTAAGAATAAACTTAACAGACATGCTTTGTTTTCGACGAAGCCATCTAAAATAACGTACATCTAAATAAAACTAAAAAACTGTAAAATTTCTTTATTTGATAGTATACTTCAAATTATGCACTATACCTTCTAGAATTCTATAACACTCTTTGCATATAATTTTTTAAAAAAAAAGTTATATCTCGACAAAAATATGATTTATCAATAGAGTATGTAAAATAAAACTCATTCGCAGTATTAAAAAATCGTAAATCTTTCCAAAAAAATTTTGAATTACAAATTTTAAAACTTAAAACAACATTTTTTGAAGCGAAAAAACGAAATCTAATTTTTTTTGGAAAATTTAGAATAAATAGAGCTCTTTAACTCGTCGAATACAAATTGTTTTCAAGTTTTTTTCGACCGGAAATTGAACTTTTAGAGTTTATACAATAAGATTCACATGAAAAAATACGGGTTTAACAAAGAAATCACCAATATAAAGGTTTTTTTAGTAGAACGAGATTGATAAAAACTATGGTATGATAAAAAGACGATAATTTTTTTGGCGGGATAATTGAAGAATATGAATGATTCGAATTACAGACATACTCTAGTCCGAAACTTACTATGGTTCGTGACTTATTTTTGACACAGAATAGCTGTAGACTAAGGCTTACTCTAGATCCAGACTTATTATACAATTAAATTTGCTTTTGGAATAAGACTTAATTTTAGTTACAAACTTATCTTAATATCAGACTTATATTTAGAATCAGACTTACTTTAGTCTAGAACTTACATTTAGAATCAGACTTCCATTTCAAGTCAGACTTACTTTCGTCCGAAACTTCCATTTCAAGTCTGTCTTACCTTCGTCCGAGACTTACATTTCAAGTCAGACTTACTTTCGTCCGAGACTTACATTTCAAGTCAGACTTACTTTCTTCCAAGACTTACTTTCGTCCGAGACTTACATTTCAAGTCATACTTACTTTCGTCCGAGACTTAAATTTCTAGTCAGACTTACATTTCAAGTCATACTTACTTTCGTCCGAGACTTAAATTTCTAGTCAGACTTACATTTCAAGTCATACTTACTTTCGTCCGAGACTTACATTTCAAGTCAGACTTACTTTCGTCCGAGACTTACATTTCAAGTCATACTTACTTTCTTCCAAGACTTACTTTCGTCCGAGACTTACATTTCAAGTCAGACTTACTTTCGTCCGAGACTTACATTTCAAGTCAGACTTACTTTCGTCCGAGACTTACATTTCAAGTCATACTTACTTTCGTCCGAGACTTACATTTCAAGTCATACTTACTTTCGTCCGAGACTTACATTTCAAGTCATACTTACTTTCGTCCGAGACTTACATTTCAAGTCAGACTTACTTTCGTCCGAGACTTACATTTCAAGTCAGACTTACTTTCGTCCGAGACTTAAATTTCTAGTCAGACTTAAATTTCAAGTCATACTTACTTTCGTCCGAGACTTAAATTTCAAGTCATACTTACTTTCGTCCGAGACTTACATTTCAAGTCAGACTTACTTTCTTCCAAGACTTACTTTCGTCCGAGACTTACATTTCAACTCAGACTTACTTTCGTCCGAGACTTACATTTCAAGTCAGACTTACTTTCTTCCAAGACTTACTTTCGTCCGAAACTTCCATTTCAAGTCTGTCTTACCTTCGTCCGAGACTTACATTTCAAGTCAGACTTACATTTCAAGTCAGACTTACTTTCGTCCGAGACTTACATTTCAAGTCAGACTTACTTTCGTCCGAAACTTACATTTCAAGTCATACTTACTTTCGTCCGAGACTTACATTTCAAGTCAGACTTACTTTCGTCCGAGACTTACATTTCAAGTCATACTTACATTAATATCAAACTTATATTAACCTACGACTTACTTTTATTCCCAGACATCTTGATCCACACTGACATTGAAAACCACTCATACATCTGAAGCCACTCAAACATCTAGATCCACTACGACATGGAGATCCACTCAAACATAATTTTTGCTCTCTAACTACATTTTTATATGATTTTACAACCTAAATTTTCTTCTTTACCTAAAGATTATTCGCAATATCTGAATATCATTAATTAATTGAGATATTCAAGTTTTGACAGCGGATTTGGAAAGCAGACTTGATGGAGATTTTAAATCTGATGTCAAATCTTGGTTTTGTGCATTATTGGAAGAGAAAAAAGGGTGTTAATTGCAAATCTTAAATATAGGTTTTTACGAAAAATGTAATTAGGGTTAGAATCATAGAAAGATATATCTGTCAGACATTGTTATGTGTGACAGATAATATTGCATCTCATAGACACTGTTGCATCTGTCAGACACTGTTGCATCTTTCAGACACTGTTGCATCTCATAGACACTGTTGCATCTTTCAGACACTGTTAAATTTCATAGACACTGATGCATCTCATAGACACTGTTGCATCTGTCAGACACTGTTGCATCTATCACTTACTTTTGCTTCTGTTAGATACTATTGTATCTCATAGACACTGTTGCATCTCATAGACACTGTTGCATCTCATAGACACTATTGCATCTCATAGACACTGTT